CGTAAATTTCTAAGTGGAGGTCGAATATTTATTTCTTACTTTTGCTTCTTTAAATTCTGTTCTAGTAAACAGTTGTTTATTGTTATTTATAATATTAACAACTGTCTTAATTATAATACAACCTGGAAAAAAATCATTTTGGCTAAATTTCATTATTTATGGTGCAGAAATGGTTGAGTAGTATGGTTGCTTCGATTCGCATCGTAGGTTGGCTTCTCTGCTTAGAGGCTCCGACAAGTAAACCTGTGGGTGGCAAATCTGAATTTAGAAAACCCACTGATTTTGCTGATCCACATTCTTCGCTAGGTGAACCAATTAGCACCTTAAAATAATTGACCACACTAGCAGCCATCGGGAATAATTAGCGCTAACCACTTTGCCCACATATTATTTATTACTTTTAAGTTGCTTGGGAGAACAAATATTTTCATTTCATTGTTCGAGTTTTACAATGAATTGATTAAATCAATGATTTTTTTATTCAATAATCAAATTTTTTAAATTTTTTAAATTTTCTTATTAGTAATTACTTTTAAGAAACTTGGGGTACTATTTGGGGGAATTTCTTGTTTATTTCTTTCCATCTGACTTTCGAGAATTTCACTTAACTGAATCTGAGAATTCGGTACAAACTATCTATAAAGTCAAATAAATCAAAAAATTAGCACTGCTGAAAGAATTTCTTCATTCTGCATGATATAATAATTGTTATTGTTATTATTTATTATTTAAAGCACAGTTTTTAAAAATTGTGTCCAACTTCTCGGCATTTAAAATACACTATAAATGGTCATATATACGATTTTATGTGGAAATGTTAGGTGAAAAGAAAAATTCAATAAATTCGTGGTGCTTCGTGGTGGGTTAGAAATTGGCTTTAGGCTTTAAAGTAGCTTTACAATTAAAATGCAATAAAAAAAAATTCTTTTTTGCCAAGCAATTGAATGGCAACAAAATTAGAATGGCCGAGCGACTACGACTGAACCACAAAAGGTACAAAATTCACTATTCACAAATGGCTCGCCAGAAGTGAAATAAAATTTCATCCCTATAATGAAGGCAGAAAATTAATGCAGAAGAAAGAATATGGTACTATTTATATTTGGCTCAAAGATACCTTTAATTTAACTTTAGTTTTAAAAACATATATGATTAATTTTCGGCAAAGATAATTAACTAATTTAGAAGACATTGGCTGTTAGACCTGTTCCGTTGGCTATTAGTTGATTATTACAATTTCGCCGGCGGGTAAGTCCCCAGTGTTATTCCAAATTTCTTAAGTTTGCCAAGTTTGCTTGTGCGGGCGGATAAACAAATCATGATGCTCGAAATAAGATAACAACTACTCAATTGCTTTACCCTAATTATATAGATCAATATTCTGAATAATTTATAATTATGATATAATTATGTAATAAGAGTGAAAATTTTTCGTTCTTTGTCTTATTAGCGAAGGGCTAATAAAATGAGGAAGAATACCACGATTTACATGTGAAAATATAAAAATCAATCGACGACAATCACTTATCATTATTATCACTGCTAATAAATAATCTTTTATCACTATCAATATTTTAATCAATCTTTTTTTATTTTACATTACTTCCTATCTCTGTTTAAAAAATTTTTTAAATCGGCTGAAACTCAAAGAATCAGGTCATTAATGCACATAAAAACTGAAGCAACTTCGCTAACAAATCACTTGAGAATAGAATTGTAGGTGGAAACCACTGAAATTGACTTATAATGATAAATTTATCCTTATCAACAGCGAACTAATAATAATGCTGGAAGTGATAATCCAGGCAATACGTACATGTTTGAGCGTAACATACAGAGTTAAACATGAATTAGATAACACTTTAGAATATTTTCATAAAATAATTATTAAGAAATTTTAAAAGATAAATGGTTCTTTGTTGCAAAAATAAAGAAATATATCAAAAAGTATAATAAAATTCACACGATGAAGCACAATGATCGCCATTTATGCTTTTATTATCGAATATAAATTGAAAAAGTAAAAATTTAAACTTCATTTTTTTATATCCGAATAATTATAATAAGAAAGTAGATTCTAGTAGGATCGGAAATTTTCGCCAAGAATTATTCAGCAATAGAAATGGGTCGCCTGCTAGGTCGCCACTCTGATTTCTTAATGTCAGTTTAAGTCTTATTTGCTCAAAGTAGAAGGGAAAGCCGAATATTTCCTCGCAGCGTATCACTAATTTCCCCTCCCTCCTCACCCCACTTCGTCTTCTCCATTAATAATTATCTCCCTCTCTCCTCCTTAATAAATGTTCTCGCTTATTCATTCACTTATTTTTTTTCTGAAGATTCGAATATTTACCAAAGAAAAAACCGCAAAATACTTGTAATGAAAAAAAAAATTTAGGTAGAAGATGAATTCTTGTCATTCGATTTCTTCTCAGTGTATCACTCTCGATTTTAGCATTTTTGATTTACTTTTGCGGCACTTCTTCACCTTTTGTTATTTGTTTTATCACTTAGCTAAATAAACATTAGACTTACAATAATATGTCATCGAAATTTTCATTTAGACTATACGACTTAAGCAAATTTAAGCAAATCCCAAGTACTGGCTGCGAACGAGTTCCAAGTGAGTTTCTGGTCATCGTCGATGGAACCAACCAAGTCAGAAATGATGTTAAAACAAGGAGATTTTCTGGTTGCACATTTTTCAACTGCTGCATACCGTAATCATTTTTCATCAGCAACATCATCGTCGAATTCGTTCACATTCTTTTACTTCTTTTTTTATATGCTTTTTTGCTGAGTCTGTTATAAATTTCAAATGAAAAAAGTTTATGAAAATTTCTTTTTCCTCTAAAATGAAATTTTATGAAATTTTAAGAAATTTAAATTCTTTTTCTGAAAGAATCCTGAAAAATCGATTGCCATTTGTTGAGGTGAAAATTTTCAAGCTGAAATGAAAAATATTTTATTTTATTCATCATCGTAATACATTGAAATAGTTTGTTGATGTTTTTGTCGTAGGCGTGACATGATTTTAAATGTGGCTCAATGTGGGATACTTTTGTGCAATGCGCAGCAAGTTTATTGGTATGCGGTGATATGAATCTCAGATAAAAATCGCTCACCGACACCACCATCCATTCCGTCACGCCAATTTTCTCCATTTTTGCGGTTCATTTCTCTCCAACTTTATTTCTATTTCCTAATTTAAATTGAATATTCCCTTAATAAATATTTAACTCCTTCATCTTAATAGTATCCGCCATTTTTGATTCGACTAACCCGGCTAGTTGCCACGATTACTTATTCATTCCATTAGAAAGACATTTAGGAATAGGAATACAAGTGGATCCTCAAAGACCATGCGGATTTCATTTTTCTTGGCAAATTTACTGTCGTCAAGGATTTCATCAAATCAGAATTATATTTGATTTCATTGAATCAGTGTATTATTATTCGACCTTCATGCCTAATTTGTTAATTTGTTACATAATTTACTAAGTTGTTGTTAAATATTTGTCGCATTCTTTCAAATTTCATTCTTCCTATACATTTTAACAGCTGAAATTTTGTAATTTTACACCATTTGTAATTCATTAAAAAAAGATGAATAAATAACTGCGGAAAATATTGATGATTCTTGTCATTTGTGGGCGAAAAGTTTTATTTTTTGAAAAGATAAGTCAACCAACAAATGCCGACATTCACATTCATATCTTACGGTTTCAATTTGTGGTTAAGCATCTGACTTCGTTTCTTCAGTTTCTCTTGAATTCATCTGGCATTGCTTGAATCGTTGTTAGGTGCAAGGTGACAAGGTAATAACTTAAGGTTGCTGGCCAATGAAATTCTTATATTTTGTAAAATTTACCTGCTTATCTCCAATTTTTCATATTAAATTATCATTTAATAAAAATTGATGAAATTCTTTTTTGGATTTATAAAGGTGGCTGGATTCTCGAAAATTTCAAAAAAAAAATTCAACGGATTTGTCGCCTGTCATTGAGAAAATTTATGATAGCTCTCCAGTGTTGTTCGTGGCCTCTATTCAGTTATCCTTATTTTAGTTTCATTTCATTTTAATCTCTTTTTTTTTGCTAATTTTACTATATTTAAAACTTCGTACGTTATGATTTGGTTTTATTGGCAAATGCATAGCAGCGAAATGTTCGACTTTACTAAATCACAATGTGTTGTGGAAAGAAGAATGGGAAAATGCAATAAATTGATGATCATTAGAAACATTAGAAATTTTATTAGCACTGAGGTATGACCTACTCGCAATCATTTGTTCATTTTGCATAAAATTCATCTATAGGTGTGGCAATGTTCTTGCAAAAAAAAGTTATCTTCTGGTTGCTGTGTGGTTTTCATTTTTCGATTGCTTTTGTCTCAATACATATCTTTAAATATTCTTAAAACAAATTCGATTCCAGTCGACGAAAATATTTCATTAAAATAATCCAAAATTTTGCTCTAAGTTGTTGTAAAATTTGGTAAGAAAATTTCTTTAGAAATCTCATTAGTTTCAGTCGTTTATTTTAAAATCTATAAATTAGCTATGATATTGTTAAATTTTCAATAATTCATTATAAAGCATTGTCTATTTAAGAAAAATATTTTTTTTTTGAATTCAATTCGTAATTAGCGCTAAAAAATATGAAAGAAATTATTCGATGTGGTAAGCGATGTTGATAATTGGCCATTAAAAGCCAAGTTTTGCAGGTTAAGTTGCTTCGCCCCCTATAACAATTTACTGCTTTAAATCCAAAATGGTTGTACTTCTCCTTGTGCTGTAATTCCAATAGCATTTGATGATCTCGGCTTTGAATCAACTAAAGAAATAAATTTTAGAAAATGTTTTCTTTTCCACAATGATCAGATAGTTCTTTCTTCTTTCTTAATCTGATAAGCGAAAAATGAAAAATTTTTTCAAATTTTTTTGGTAACAATTCCATCGCATGTGACCAAACCACTTTGAGAGTTATTTTTTTGCAGCAAAGATGGGAGCTGACTATGAGAAAGCTTTAATTGCTTTAGAAGAGACTATGAGTGCTGTTAACTCATCTGTTAAATTATTATCTACTGGATGCCCTAATATAATTTGCACTGAACTTCCAACACATTGGAGGTCAAATAAATCATTACCAACACCATTTATTGTATTCGCATTGGGTCCTGTTCCAGATGGTACAGTGGTTACAATATCGGCTGGTAATGAAGAAAATTCTTGCGCTGATTTAAGAAATAATAAAACATGTATGAATGGGCAAATTGCAAGGTTTAGCGATTTGCGTTTTGTTGGCAAAAGTGGCCGAGGTTAACCATTCATTAATTACTTTTTTAAAAAATATTTTATGAAAAAGATTTTCGCGACAAATGATTAAAATCTTTTTGAATAATGAAAATTTATAAAAAATGGAATTTTTTTGCAAAAAACTGGAATAATTTAATGGTTTAAATTACATTATTGATCTCTGTTAATTTAGTAAATAAGCAATTGATAAATAAATTACATAAAAAATAAAGATTTTTTAAAACAAAGTCCATTTTAATCATAATTTTTTATGCAAAAATCTATGTTGAACAGAAAAAATTAAATTATTAAAGGAGATTGTTTGAAAATTATGCGATTGTAACAAAACTTATGATTTATTACTATTATTATTAATTATTATTATTGTTATTATTATTATTACTATTGTTATAGGAAAAAATTTTCATTTAACAATAACGATTGAAACAAAACCAGTGCAAATTGCAATTATCGAAAAAGTAATAAAGGTAACCGTTGATGGGCCGAGAGATTCGAGAACTAATAAGCGAACTGGTTAGTCAATTCGCAGTCGATCATCTCTTATTGTTTTTATTATTTCATTAACTAAAATGATTTCATTTCATTTGACAATTTCATCAATTTTAATTATATTAATTATATTATAATATAAACATTTTGGCAGAAATTATCGGAACCTTTAATTTTTTAAAATAATTCAGTGACGCATCGACGATCAGCCGCATCAGATGAAAGTAATATTAATATGAAAGTTCGTCGTCGATTATCACCAGTCACAATTCCAAGACCGGTACCAACATTGGTCTCTCCGCTGCCCGTTTTTTCACCGCTTTTTAATTCATATTCATTTGTACCGAATACACCAATCGCCCCAGCAACAACACGACTCCCTCTGACTTTTGCGAGTACAATCGCAACTCATCATTCTATAACACCTTTATCTTGTAGTATTCCTGTTAACTTACCTCGAGCTCAATTGCGAATGAGTAATGATATGGAAGAACCAATCGGTGCACGAACAAGGAGGAAAACAACAAAAATTTGGAAACCATATGTACATTAACCATTATGCGAAAATCTATTAATTTATTGTTAGAGAAAAACTGGTGAAATAGGCAAATTTAAAGGAAAAACTGTAAATTGATTTAAGATATAAATTTTCTGAATTTTTATAAAAGAATGGATAATGATTGGACAATAAATGGGTAATGGAAAATGCTATAGATAAACTGCTTGCAAATTCTGTGTATATCTGACTGACACCTTAACAAAGTGTTTTGAGTACTGCAATTTTATCTATATTGTGCGGAAACACTGCTTGTTGATAAGCTGATTACGACGAAAAACAAAAACAAGTGGCTAAATTTCAAATAGCAATCACCACTTCTGCTTCGTCTAACTTTATTGGCTAACAGAGTCTTCACTGGCAAATTGGAGTAGAGGTGCAGTAGAGTAGAGCTTCTAATGGCTGATTAAATTCTATCAAAGAGGAAGAATGGAACTGCTCACCTGGAGGAACATTACGCGCAGCCACTGTGCCTCAACTAATTACTGATCTCATTCATCGCATTTATTTGATTATAACGATTAATATGTCTTTTCTCGGTTTTTTATCATTGTTTTTTTCCAATTTTTTTCCTTTCTAAAATTATTTCATTGAGCATTATTTGAACTGATTTATTTCCAAATTTTTCCTTATTATAATGCATATTTTATAAAATATTTTTATTATTTTTATTTAATTTCCTTCTCGGTGAATAAATTTAAATTTAATTTTATCGAAATTTCTTCAAATTCCATATTCATATCTATCAAAATTTTTCTCACCCTTTGTAGGTAGTATAGGTCCTCGGCTAAAAATCTGGCGCAATATTTATTAGTCCTCATAGCACTGTATTCTTTGGATAGAGATCTCTGATGTTCTTCCTAAGATCTCCTTGAGCCACTTTTTCGGTATATTACATATATAAATATTAAATACGTGTATATATTGATTGGTAAGAATGATGTGATGTTTGCTGGTTGCTAACTACTGATAAGCATCTATTTCATTCTCATTTACTGTCGCGCATCTTGTTTTCCCTTTTTATCATAATTGTTGATCACCGAAGACACGCAAATCACACGAAACATCTGCAACATTATTTTGGTTGTCCCCACAACTATTTCACCGCAAATCCTTCACCATCATTAAAAGAATGAAGTAATTTTAATAGAATGATTCCACAAATATTTTCCTGCAAAATTAATATCAAAAACCAAATCAGCATGATAAAAAGTTCTAAATAATAATCGCAATTTACTGAAGGTCAGCTGAATTACTTCGAATAAACTTAATTTTGCAAATAACAATAGGGATGTGAATGAATGATCGTCGACACCTATGAATAAAATGATCTTTTCAGATATGTACAGAAATAGTTTAGTGGTACTAATCCAAAATTCTTGCCATCAACGCTTGTTATAGAAACAAATTTCACACGGTCATTTGTAACTGAAGCTTTCAAAAGGTATAAATGGTTACATTGGTCCATATTATCTGCTTCGAATTTAGTAGAATTTTTGGCTGATTTCAAATTCTGCACCATGCTGCCATAATTCGAAGGGATCGCCTTAGGTTTATTCAAGTTGAAATAAGCACCAATTTATTTATTCATGGATTTTATGGATATAATGCGAATTAAACAAATGTTAACAATTAATAATTTTATTTTAATGCTTGAAAAAAGAAAACATTGTAAAAATTTGATTCCTAACGAAACCATTAATGATTTTTTTATAATGATTAGATTTATTGCAAAAATTAACGCCAAATTTCTTTTTATACGTGATTTATAGGTACTGGGGCGATATAGTAATTAGACTTAGGACCTGTATCGAGATATAAACCCAAGATTTAGGAAGAACAAGGCTCCTGAGCACAGCGTTAAACTTCTGGAACTATTTTGGTGACTATTTGATAAATTTTGTTTTTTTTTTTCTCGGATGATTGCCGTAACTTTAAGGCTTTATGAAGTATAATTTTTTGTAATTTCGTGAAGAACTATGTAAAATTCAAATCACTGAGACCAGTGTTAATTTCCGAATGCATGTTTTAAACAATATTAAAATGTTTTAAATGAATTCTATGAATAAAATAGTTTTTAAAAACAAAATAATGGCATGAAAAAAAAAAATATCTGAAAAATTCGAATATAAATTCGAATTTCGAAAAATTAAAAAATAAAATTAAAAAATATTATTAAAATTAAAATACGAATTTTCGAAAAGATTCGAAAAATTTAGGAAATATTTTCATACACATAAAAACGAAATAACGCTAAAACTTATTTTTTGATTCGTCTTTTCCAAAAGTTCGCATCGTTTCTGGTTTGGATGGCACCACTGGTCACTAGGATAAGATAAGCTTTCCAATCGCCTGAATTTACTGAATCCTTTCTCTTTTCGACCACCTATCGCAAGGTCATCTGTGCATTCAACTGGGCTTTTTGCTATTTGATTATGTCCAAGTTTTAGCATATGTGCTCTAAAGAGTGCAGATGACATTATGCGCCGATTTCATTCGATGCATGTGGTATTAGAATGAAGTCGCATGCAAGCATGTCGCATGGTGTATAAGATATATCTTCGGCAGAAAAGGAGAATTTCCTGATATCATTCACTCAATATTTGAGCACCTCAGCAAAAGTGCCAAGCTTCGTTTTCAAGTTTTTTGATTTATAAAATAAATTTAGCAAAAAAAATTTTGAAAAGAATAAACGATGAATATTTATGAAAATTTTACAATAATATTTAATAAAATACTTAAAAATATTTCAATCAATTTTTTTAACAATTTAAAATCAAATTGAAAGGATTTTTTTTGGCAAAAAAGGGCTTTGAATTTCAAAAAAGCATTCAATAGAAAATAACAACGATTGATTTTAATAAAGCAAAGGAGAATGAAAAAAATAAACCAAAATATAAAAAAATTCATTTAAAGCGAAAGAAAGTACGAATAGTTCGATTGGTTTGGTTGTTTAATTAAAACATTTTGATTTTCGTGAATTTACCATCAAGTTTAGTATTTTGGAGCGGCTTTAAGCTAAACGGCTTAAAGCTTATTTCTTTATTTTAAAGCTTAATTTGCAAATTTTATTTAGTGGCCAATTTAGGAATTGGCCTCTGCCAAGTGACTTGGATGCTGATGAGAGTTCGCTCTCGAGATTCCTACTTCTTTCTCCAAGTGAGGCTTTGCCATAATTGTTTCTAATTGTCAGTGGAATGAGCCAAACTAGAAATGGTGTTTGCTGGGTTCCAACTAACCTTAAATTTCACTCGTCAGTATGCATATGCTGTAATATAGAAAAAAATCACTTATCAGCATTAAATCATTGAAACTATCGAATAAAATCTAATATCCCATTATCAACCCACTAATATAATTAACCAATTATTATTATCACTATTGTTTTTATTATTTTTATCGTCCACAATTATAGTTTAATGTAATTAAATGGACGTTTATTGCTTTATTAGGTCAGTTATTTATTTGAAAACAACCAAGCAGAGTGACAAGCGCCATGTGATTGCATTTATAACATGCGAAGCCTATCGGAACGAAATAAATAAGATCGATATAAAATAATAAATGGTGTGTAAATAAGTGACGAAAAATTAACTTAAATATAAAAGGAACAGAATGAAAAAATGAAGTCGTGGAAGATATTATTTAATTTTTCTTTAAAAATAGCTAAGACACCATATCTCTAAGGATAATAAGGATGACTATGTCGTTGGTTACTTCATGGTACTTCAGTAGTTCATCATGCAAGTGAAAAATTCGCGAGTTCTTAAATTAACTCTACAAATTTTAGAAATTTTATTCCATTAGATTTCGTTGGGTTCACATTTAATCCAAAATTATTTGAGATAACCGTGTTAATTTTATATTTTATATTTATATCTTAACATTTGACTAGAGAGGAGTTTAGGTGTATAACTGATTAGGACTACGGGAAACGAGGCGATCTGTAGTCCATCATTTAATTTACACGTTCTACGAAGTGTTTATTCATTCGACTTAAGCAAAAGCCGAATGTTTTTTATACTTTAATGAGAAAGTTCTTAGTTCTATTTTTAAAGGCTGAAAAATAAAATTTGATTCTCTTTTTTACTACGACGAATATCGAAAAGATTTTATTTGAGCAACCACAGTTCAAAATTTAAATTGGAAGTGCTATTTTGTCCACTTTAATATCATTTTTTTTGAGTTTGTAGATTAATAGATTTTCAAAGTTTCTGAATTTCGGAACTTTCTATATTCGTTTTTGATTAAATATTTTGACCCGGAATATAGACAAATTCCTGAAACCAAGACGCTTCATCTTGAAATCTGCTATTTTAAGTACTTCTTTAAACTTCGAATTTTTCTTACAGGGCCCTCACCGCTGGCTTGTCGCTCTAAATAAATATGCCAAGGAATCTCTTGGCGATAAAAATACGGGTGAATCGCCAGCACCACGCAGATTTTTGGATAGGTCTAATTCTGTGGAAAGCAGGAGAATAGCATCGGCGCTTCGAATTGAGCAACATTCTATTCTCACTGAGCCATTCTATCCCCAAAGTTTCGAATTCCTTGCTTCTAATTAATTAGTTGCTCTTTTGTTTTTTTCAAATTTTGCTCAATCTTAAAAAATATTTCTCTGTAATTTTTTAATAATTTAATTTTTTAATTAATAATTTTTTTAATAACTATATATTTTATTTTTTCTTTTATCTAATACAGTTTGTTTCTTTTTTTTATGCGAGAATAAAATTTAAATCTAAATTTAAATAGGAAATAACCGAATTTAGAAGAAATTTATTGACTTAGCGCTGTTATCTTTCATCATCAGTTATGTACCAACCAGCATGTCACTTGTAAGATTGATTACTCAAATAATCCGATATATTTTCTAAAGAATGGTCAAGATTCATATATTTTTCCATGCATTTAGCAGTTCATCTCCTCGAAATTTCCTTTCTGAATTTTTCTGAATGTGCTTTTCAGTTGAACTTTTGTTCTATTGCAGTTTAAGCAATCGCCAAGCACCTGCCCGCTAATCTTGTCTTTTTTCAATCGAAGCAAATTGCTTTTTTTTTTTAAAACTACGCTCGGATGAAAATTTTTTTTGAGAAATATTGGCAATGCAATGATAAATATTTAGCAAAATTTGAAAAAAAATTTCAAATTTTTTTTTGCCATTTATATGAAAAATTAGCTCGAAATAAGGTTCACATAGGAATGATATCACTAATTTTGAAGAATTTAAAAAATTAAACAGCCAACTCAGCGAAAAGTGATACAAATTTTTTTCTCTAAAGCCATGCAATTGGCCTCCGAGTTGAATATTATTCGGATAATGACTTAATAGTACATTTTTTTCTAAAAAGAGATATCATTTTTGCCTCATTTTTCCTCCAATTTAAAGGTATAAAATTGGATTTTGCAAATTTTTCTGAAAAAAAACAGGATTTATATGTTTCTCAATATCGAATGTTACTACAACCATTCACTTTTTTCCCTTAAATTTAATTTTTTTCACATATTTTGGAATCTGAGAATCCTGAGAAACTTTTCTATTTTGCAGTAGTAAAAACATTTAGAAAAGATTTAAAATGAGCCTAGCAATGGTAATTACAGTACCTCATCGGTTAATTCTTTTCAAAATTGGGTTGAAATTATTGTTTTTTTGTTAAAGGAAATTTTAAAAATTCACGAAATATATAAATAATTTAAAATAATTTATCGAATTCTCCTCAAAAGTTTAAGTGGTAAATTGATTTTTGTTGCTTCATTTTCTTTTACATTGTTCCATGTTCCAATACATCCGATTTCCCTCCACGCTTAAAGGTTTTATTGCGAAATTTATGACTACAAAATTAAAAATAATCTTTTCTCTAAGAGCGCTTACAATTGCTGGTTAGGTTTCCTCCGCTGGAATCTTCTTGAATCAGAAATACTTTAGTGAATGGTGATAGAGTCGCCAAGATCATATCTTTTGGAAGATTTATTTACTCTTGCAGAGTAAACAATTATTCCAATATCAATTATTTTACTTTTGCAGATACAATTTGGACCTCAAAACAAAGCGATCTGTATAAAGAAGGAAGAATTCAGAGTTTACGTGTTTTTTTTATATGGAACCACACTAATTTCTTATTAATTTTCATTTGGAAGATTTTCAAGTAAGCAGCAGAATAATTGTTTTCCCCATTTTTATTTAGTCAGTTCAAAGCAAAGAATTAGGTATGCTTGATTAGTTTCTTTTATTCTATTTCATTTGAATGTATTTCTTAAGTGAACCTTTAATTGTAAGCATGTTTTAAAATATTTTATATAGCATGCTGAATGATCAATTCATCAAAAAAATGTTTTGTAGGTTGGCGCAAATAAATATTCGCATAATCACGTCCAATTTTATCAATTAAATAAAGTTATATAAGTAAGTGGTTATCAGCACTTATCATTTCTGTTTAGGCTCGCAGTTGATATGACAATTTTGCTTTACTTCGGAAGATGGACCCTCAGAGTTTTTGAATAATATATTCGTTGAGGCAATACATAGAATTGGCTCTGAATCATTCAGTTTTTAGATATTTATTTACTATTTCTTTCTTCTAAAAATGGGAAGGAATCAAATTTCGTATTTCATATAAATTATTTTGAATTTGAGGAAACGACAACAAAAGAAATTATTTGATATTTTTCACATTCAGTCGAATTTCCCATTTTTATTTTTGTAATTCATTTTTTTTACTTTATATATTTTATATACATTTTTTATATTTCATTTATATTTTTTTAGAAAATACATTCTTTTTTTTTGCATTATAAATCATTCGAATCATTTCAACTGGCCCATCTCCTCCAGAAAATAATATCATTCATGGATCGAAAAATTTTTTTCATTTGGGAAAATTTTCAGTTGTAATTTTTATACGGCATTTGATATGATTATGAAATATATCCATTCAATTTCAAATGATTTCATTAATTTTCCTTCATTATTACTTCGTGCCGAAAGAAGCGATAAAAATATGTCGGGTAATTGAGAAAGAAATTAGTGCATTATTTAATATAGTTCATTTACGAATCGGCTATAGACATAGGGTCAGTAATTGGAAGAAAAATGAGAACTACAAAAAAATCAAATATCTTAACGATTTACAATGGATTAGATTTAAATAAAATTTAATAAATAATTTTTCAGCATTTTCTGGAAGCATTATTTGTGGAATTCTGGATTTTATAAGCCATGAAGCCATTATTCATAAAGACTTCCACAAATGCAAATTGCTGATTGTTTTTTCTCAATTTTTCTTTTCATTTTAGTTCATCTGTTATGAATTATTGGCCAAAATTCGATCTTCAAAAAATGAATTTACTTTTTTTTCTTATATTTTTTTGACTCACCGTTTATTTTACTTGGGTCCTTTCATTTAGCGATTATTCGAATTTTCATATCTATTTGAATGTGAATCTAAGGCCAATTGATGTTTGGCAAAAGTACCAAGGAACATATTAAATAGTCACTGAAGTTAGCCAAACCAGAGAGAGAATGCTGTTTGAATAAGTTGAAAATTATTCGATTCAAATTAGTTTAATTTAATTTCAGGCCTAATTCTTCATTATTTCTCCAATTTCGAAAATTCTATTTTAGTCAATGCGCAGCTAAATTGCATTAGCTGTTCAGCTTATTCAGCAATGTTATTCAACATCTTAATTTTTACTCAACTATCGGTACTCATTTATGCCCAAGACTGCAAATTCCATCATAATCATCGTATTCCAATTGCACTTGGCATTTTCCTACCAAATCAATACAAAGCAGCACTTGGACCAACCATTAATTTGGCTTTGGAACATATTCATTATCATTCATGCATCTTGAATAACTATTTTTTGAGTGTTTTCTTCAAAGATACAAAGGTAATATAAGTTTTATTTTGCTTGCAGTCGTATTTGCGTGAAAATAAACACATTTCATGGCAAAATGGTATCAATCTAACGCACGTCAATGCGTTGTTCTGAAATAAATGATCGGATGCACAATTTTTTGCAATAAACAAATTATTAATTCATATAAAACCAGAAATTTTTTTTTAAATAAAGATCTTAAAATAAGTTTGAATAAATTTAAAATAGCTCAGTAGAGAGAAATTTCAATAAATTCGCTTTTTTTATAAAATCGTTCTCTATAGTGGTAAATATTTTTAAAATACACAGAGCCATTGTTTCCTGTAAGAAAAGGGACCAAAGACAAATCCAAAAACCAAACAAAAAGCCAAATTCTAATCTCCCATTTGGTAGTAAATCTGTCGTTAAAGATGAAATTCGAGTATTGTCGACTCACTTGCAGTTAATGGCTCTATGGTGTTAAGTGACTCTATTCTGAATCAACTAATAAGTCAGAAATAGTGAAAATAGTGAAAAATATTAGAAGTCGGTTTATGCAGGTTTATTTTGAAGTGAGCCAAGCTTATGTCTGCTAAAGATATTATTTTTGCCAAAATTTTTTCCAACATTTATTACTTCCAGAAATTCTCCGATATCATTGTTATGTGCGATAGAAGATATTAATTTATTTCAGATGAAATAAGCTGGAAAATATTAGACAATCTATAAAATTAGTCTAATTTAAGTCCTAAATTTTATGGCTGAATAAGCACCATCCCGATTTCAGTTTTACTGACAAGTGCAATCCTTTCAGTAAAGCTGAAAACCATTCTATATTGTGTCGCCTTTAGCCAGTATTGTTTATTTTTCGAATATTGCTTCATCGACTTCAAGAAAATTGCAGTTTTCATGATAAATCTTAAAACTTTTTGGCGGACAATATAGATTATAGAGAAATTTGCAATGATTTTAAGAATACTTTCAATAATAATTTTAGCATAAAAATTTTCATTAATGGTCGCATTCAAAACTAATTTTCTATCCTTTCGAGAATAAACGACGTCTATGGCGACGGCGAAATGCGTTCTTTTTGCTCGCCTTTTTATAATAATCAACAAGAACGAACTCAACTCGCATATGCGTCATTATTATATTCAAAAAATTTTTCGTCCGAAAATTATTTGATTGAATTTTTTTGATACAATTTTCCATAATTTGCCACAATTTTAATTCTAAATGGCTTCAAAAAAAAGCCTTTTCTTTATCAAAAAATTCACATTCAATCGATTTGCATTTGGCATTTGGAACAAACGATTCATCCAGCTTTTGATAATTCGGAAATAAAGCCATTAAAGCCATTTTTAAGTGAATCGGAGGCAGTGCGATCGATTAGTGATTTCATTTTACTATAAAATTATCATCTTAAGCGCCATGGTCTTGTTTCTGAAAGGGGCAAAAATCTGGGTGACACTAGGTACTAAGTACTGGGTACTTCTACCCTCGAGTGACTCACTCCGTTACAAGATTATTTTATCTTAATGGCCACTGGAAAATGCCTGAACACTAAATATATCGAAATGAATTATCAATATAGTTTGATTTGACTGGCGAGTAAAAAATAGAAAATAGGTCAAATCATGTCTTGGAACCCGAAAAGTACTTTTAAAAATTTCATTAAAAGCTTTTAATAAAAAATTAACAATTAATAATTTTTATTAATAAAAAATTCTAAATTATTTTATCAAAAGAATCATTTAAATGCACCGATTAATTAATTATGACCATTAAGAAGTTGGGATTATTACGAGTTTAGACTTTTAGTAATAATAATCTAAGCCTAATGAAAGATTTTGATTTCAAAAAATTGCTCATCTTAAAAATAAAGGCCGTAAAATCTCGGGATTTCAATTTTTATTATAGCCAATGCTAATACAATTAAAATAGCTGATAAAGCAAAAAAAGATTACTAAAATCGCTTAGAATTTCCACCTTTCGCTTCCATCTTTCATCGCTTATTTATTGGTAATTAAGAATATTTAACTATTCAGATATTATTAGATTAATGACAATTAAACAAATAAAAAAGAAAATTTAAAAATTTAAGATAAACAGATTATCAAATGGTTACTTCCATAACGGCCATACCACCATTGTTTCCATTCCTCTTTTTTATCTAAGAGTAAATCTGCAATTAAAAATGAAATCGAGTTAAGATAAGTCAGAGTAGACCAATACTTGGTTATCCATGGATGGCTCTTTGGCTCTGCCCCATCGTAATCGACAATACAATGACGAAAAACGATAGGTGCTGTTAGAAAAGATTTAAGACTGAACTGTTACTCATTTGCCCAAAAATAATATTCAGACATTTATCGTTATAGCTCTTTTTGCGAAACCAATTATAAATATTTTTTATAATTTATTTATGATATATTTTCATTCTTTAAAAACTATTGCAAATTTTGTTTGAATATTAAAATTTAAATTGGTACAATATGAATTATGATGGGCCAAAGTGGGTCATAAAAGCTTAATTTATAATAAATTGTAAAAAATTAAGGCTATAAAACAAAATTTATTGAGCAAATTATTGCGCCAAGCCTCTTCTTGTTTGCACATTTTTTCTGCTTGATGGAGTTACTTTCAATAAAATTTTCTTAGCTGAATTTTTCGTGTCATAGCTTCTGTACTTACATATTTTCTAATTTTTGATTGTTTTTTCCATTTTTTAAGCATCAAATAAATGTAAATCTCGTCGATCTGCAATTGCAATACCTAATGCTCCAATTCCTCAAACTTCCTTTTCCAGATTTGGCTAACGTTTTCATCTGAAAAAAAAGGAAATTTTTTACAATCGCATGAGTGATTTTGATAAGAAGATGGAGGAAACCTTAATTAATTGCATTTTAAATCTCTCGAGGCAGAGGGAGTAAAGTAAATTTAGCCTAACGAGTGAAGTTGCTTGCTTCATTTAAGTGAAAAAAAGCATTCCTTATTTAAGCGATCCATTAAATTTCGATGACGATTCAGCGATGAATACATAACAAAGCATATTTAATAATTAAATAAATTGATCATTGCAAAATTTTTGCAAATTTTGCAAAAACTTTCATGAATAATTCTGAAAGTTAGCGGAAATCTTCATGGATAATCCGACATTTCTAGGACTTAATTTCTTTTTTTACCCTTTATTCAAAATTACAACAAAATTAATATGTGACATTGTGAAATTTTAGTGTCAAACATCGCTCGGTATGAAAGCATTATTCGAGCTAATGAATGTTAAACCTCGGCCTTTTGCATTATTTGGTGATGCTTGCACGAATGTTAATGAACCTGTCGCGATGGCATCCAAATATTGGCAAATAATACATCTTTCCTATGCTGAAACACACGCCAAATTTGCAACAGCTGATTCTCAACAAGTGAAAGCTTTTATTTAGAAAGGCAATCATAGCTATTTTAATAATTAATAATTACATGGTTCAGATTATTGCCACATTTTTTTTCTAAAACTCTGGAATTCATTACGTGTGCAATTTCAGAAGCATTTCGGGTGATAATTTCTATTTCTATGAACATAGTTTTCCAAACTGAATTTCGAGAAATTTAGGGCCATAGGAATCCATTAAATATATCGTTCATTTTTTCTTTAGCGAGAAGTTACAGTTTTCTTACAGTTTAATTAACGATGTGGTTTCACACAATTTCAATGAGCCATATATTTTTAAGGGTGAAATGAAGTTTAGATGTATCCGACTTTTTTTCGAGTGGTTCCTGGTCACCGCAATCTTAACACAGCTCGGTGTCGGCTTATTTATCATTTCAATTGGAGAAGAGTCGGAACACTTAAACAAAGCGATGATCCCAGATTTGCACTGGTATATTTGATTTATAGTTTTTTGGTTTGTTTTATAGGATTTCCTCATTTTATGACTAATATTTGATTTATTTGTATAAATTTGGATTCAGAAAGATTCAGATTAATTCAGATTTTGATGAATTCCATATTTTTAATCTTTTTCTATCTTTTACGCCTTTTCGCATTCTTCCATTTTCTCGATTTTTCAGTATCTACAAAATATAATAAAATAGTTGATGGACTCAAAGTCAAAGAAAATCGAAATTTTCTATTTTTCGTAAAGGCCTTAAAAAAATGAAAATCAGCTCAATAATTTAATCGCTGACTTAGAGAATAGATAAATCTCCTTAAATTTCGAAACTTTTTCCTCGGAGATCAACGAATGCAAATTAAAATTTATAAAATTTATTCTAAAATTTATAAAATAAAATAATAAAATAAAAATAATAAAATTTATGAAATGTAAAACAAAATAAAAATTTTAAAATAAAATTTTAAAATCTAAAATTTATAATAAAATAAAAATAAAATTAATAATAAAATTTAATAAAATTTTTTAAAGACTCTTTTTAAGCCTAAATTGTTCCGATTAGTGCTAAGAGTCATCATTCCCTGCAACTGACTCCGAAGTGGTTTTACCCTAATTAGCCAAGCTAGCCAAACTAGGAATGATATTATAGAAGAAAAGAACCTAAATTGATCTGCATAGCTCGATATGATGAAAATTTTAATCGAATTCCTTAATCCTAATTTTCTCAGGCATAACAATTTGCTTGTATAACTAAAAAATTAAATTGAATTCCGTTTGAGAGGAGAATATTGATATGGACGCACAAGATGCAATGATAATATGCTTATGACACACGACAAACTGAGCATTATCAGCTCAAGAAAAGCATTATTAATAACTTTGAGATATTCAAGATGAGAAAATTAGTATTTATTTTCAAGCCACACGAGCCTTTAACAACAAAACTGGAACATGGTTATGGCATAAAAGTAATCTATACAGCTGGTGTAAGTCATGATGAAATTAATAACATCGCTAACGAACTCGATGAATTAAAGGTTTTTTTTTCGAAAATTTCAAAATTATTAGGAAAAATTTAGTAAAATAAAAATTTTTAAAATTATAAACCAAAATAAAAAGTAGCATTGAATTTGAATTTCGCCATAAGTCACTAAAAATTGCTGAATATTACTTAAAATGCTTCAATGCTTCGGGGTAAAAATTCAACTAGGAGGCTAAATCATCGGAATTTTTAATATTTATTAGTCTCAAATTCGAAACCATGTCGTTTTCTAGATTTTTATCAAAAAAAGAAATGAATGGTACTCAACAGAAGGTTCAATTAGAAAATTTTTTTCCATGCTTTATAGAATAGGGCAATTTTATTTAATTCAAAGATAATTCGAAAAAATTCAGTTTTTGAGTTTTCCATATTTGCAGTATTATTCAGACTTTTTATGAAGAAAATTTTGCAAAAAGTTTCGATGGAATTTTTCGATAAATGTTGATAGAATTTTAGATTCTTTGTTTTTTTTCATGGAAATTTTCTTTAGTTTTTTTTCTTCAATAATTACTCTTTTATTCTATAAATATGTAATTAGTTCCACATTTTTAACAATTTTAATCAAGAATTAGCGGGGATGGTAACAAACATCATGGCTAACGGTTTCTAATTTGATCCTGAAGTGCACTAAAAATTCTTTAAGATCTAGCAGGATTTTGGCTCATTATATTGCAGTTAAATGCTAAACTTGATCCGAGCATGAAAACTGATATATTTCTTCAAAGTGTATGAATATATTTCATGTTTATCAGTCAAATTACATTTTTCATTCGGTTGATTTTTTGGTATTAAATTAATTTTTCTTTCAGAAGAGAGATGTTCGAATATTTATAGGCGATTTTGATGAAGCGATTGCCGTTCGGATTATGTGTGAAGCATATCGGAAAGGACTTTACGGCGAAAATTATGTTTGGATACTTCCCGGATATCATAGTGGTCAATTTTTAAGAACAAATTAAACAAAAAGCTTAACAGAAGAACTTTTTTTTTTTCTATATCATTTCCCTACTTTTTCTCTTCTACTGGATGGTTGGATAACTTTCGCAAGTGAATCACTCGAGTCACTTAGGGTTAAAAGTATATCTTATTTTGGTTTTATTTCTAGTATACTGCCATAGTATTGAACTGATAGACCAAGTAACTCAGCCATATTGCTAATGATAACATGTTAGGAAATGTACGATATCCGGAAATTTTATTTGTCTCTTTAGGAAATCTAAGCGGAGGGATGGTCGAGCAATATAGTCGCTTCGATTCATGTCGAGTACCATAGATTTAAGTCCCTATCTCAAAATATTGAAAGAAAGTGACATTTCGACAAAATTTTCAATCGTGCTAAGAGCCAGCGAAGCTAGCTTAATCAGAGAAATGGTTGGCGCTTTAGAAGATACCTTAGGAAATCTTACTAATTCTACTTTAGAAAGTTGGTTTAAGAATGTAAATAGTAGTGGATGCTCGTTGCAAGAATTAAACATTGCATTGGAAAGTCACTTTTCTATCGAATATGCACCTTATTCACCTCATTTGGACCAAATGACCATTGCCAATAAGGTTATTTTTCTTTTAGTAACAATAAATCTACAAGGAATAAATTTAAAAAAATATGAATTCGAATGATTTAAAATTAATTAGTTTTTGATTTTATGCAAATTTAAGGCAAAAAAAATTTCAGACAGTTGGAATGATAAAGGAAATATTGGAGAAAGCTTGTGGTTCCATATGTTTTGAGAACAAACTAAAAGCTTACGTCTACGATGGAATATGGACTCTTGCTCTTGCATTTCATAACGTATCGATGCGATATAAATCCAATCATGGCACATTATATGATCCACGACTTTTCTCATCCAATTATAGTGATATTCATGCTGATCTTCTTCAAGAGATTACTAGTACTTTATTTGAAGGAGTAACAGTATGTTTGCTTTTTTTCGTTTATCAAGACTCATTTCCTTATTATCTTAAATTGGTAGCTAAAAAGCATGAAAATTCGACTTAGGCGAAAAGGGAATTAAGAAAGGTTGGAAACTTACGGGCTACTTGCAAATAAATAAAATTATATGGCCTAAGCGAGAAAGGTGCAAAATTTATATGATTTATTTATATTTATTTATTTATATCAAAATTTATTTATATGAGAGATGATTATTAGCTTATCATCCTTTTTTAAGGGTCGCGTCCAATTCGAAAATAATGAACGACTTGGCCTTGTTGAGATATTGCAGTGGCGAAACGGCTCCTATATTGAAATTGGATATTTCGATGGCTCAAATGAACTATTCACTTTGTATCAAATTATAAAGACTGGTGTGTTTTATGCAAATTTTCCCATCCTTAAGTGCTTCTTATCTACGAACGACTATTTTTTAATATCAAAAAATAAGCCATACTTTCGAATTGCATGAAAAAACCATGAAAAATATTAAATATACCGAACTGTAGGAAATTCATATTTGTTATTGTTATTCTTTTTCTTCAAACAGCTCTCACCATTACTGGTTAAGCTGGCTACAAAGGTAAAATAAGACATCTCCAAGCTGTTTGGTCCGATGCCATTGCTGAAAATTTGAGAAACTATTCCTTTTTCTATCGTCTAAGTCCATATATCTCTGGTTCCTCTATGTTCAAAATCTTTAGTTCAAGTCTGCATCAGTCCAAGTTTTGATTGGTCCTCCTCGTTTTTCACGCCATCCATCAAAGGTTTAGCAACTAGTGAAATATGCGTCAACTTCGTAGCGGACGATAAAGAATGTGCTTTGTCCAGCAAAAACAGTGTTTGTTCTATGATGGCAGTGTTTAATGCAGATAGTATTTGAAAGAAGGTGGATGCGATCACGTGTGGATAATTTTATCCACTCGGCGATTCCGTAGGACGTATCTTAAACATAACCGGTCAAAGGCAGATAACTTCTTAATATCCTCCACTCTCACTCGTCATTTCTAACTATCGTTATCCGGATTGTGATTTCGTCTTTTGCATTGCACTTATTTTAAGTCGTACGAAATATCGTAAGAATAATTTTAAGACAGTAAATATTTGAAGACAAAAAAAATAAAATATTCTCACAAGAAAATCTTCTACCAGAGAGGATGAGACCGCAATATTTTCCGGATTTTTTAATGATAGGCTTATTTCTGAAATAGAAAAGGCCCTAGCCTTAATACCTCAATACGATAATGAACATTCGTTGCTTCCCATCGTCCCATCGGTTCCTCTTTTTTCATGGATTGATTCTAATTCACAATTCTAAGGTTATCAATAATTGGAAACATATTGCAGATTGGCATGCGCCTTTAGATGCAACTATTCTAGTTCGTCAACGTCAGTATATTTCTTACGCTCTTTTTATATTTTTATCACTCCTATCATCCATCGGTGTTTTACTTGCTTTATTCTTTTTATCCATCAATGTTCGCTATAGGTATCACAGGTCAGTTACTTTATATTTTTTTTTAAATTCTTTTTTTCATTATCAATTAAGAGGGCTTATTTATTTACCAAAAAACTTGTGCCGCAAGATTGGTGTCCCGCAAGATTTTATCGTCGAAGAACAAGAAAAAAGCAGTAAATTAATCATAATTATAAAAATAAATTAATAATCAAAATTAATAAACTTAATTAAAAAAGTTTTTTAGGTTAATAAAAATGTCGTCACCCAATATGAATAATATAATAATAGTTGGATCTATTCTCACTTATATAAGCGTCGTACTGCTTGGTTTTGATACGAGATTCGTTTCTTCGCAAACTTTCATTACTCTTTGTTATGTAAGAAAATTTTATTAGTTTAAATATTCTGTTTAAAGTGAAGGAAGGCGTTCAGCAGATGTAGAGGATTCAAAAAAACTCTTCGTCTCGCAGATTGTGTTGGCTACATTAGCTAAGTTAAGGCGTTTCTAGAACGACTGATCCGATGCTACACCTGGGAATGGCAATTTTTTTCCGCCTATGCCTCCATATGTCCCTATTGCGATTCCTATCCTTTTAAAATTTTTTCTAGCTATATCGAGTCAAATTTTGTTTCAAAACGGAAAAAAGCCAAGGCTAAGAATTAAATTCTCTAGAATTTGAGAAGTACGGGCAGATTCCAAAAAATTAGCTCGAAAGAGGAAATAATTTCAGGCAAAAACATGGGTATTATGCTTGGGTTTTACTTTGGCGTTCGGTTCGATGTTTTCTAAAACCTGGCGAGTACATTCAATTTTTACAAATATCCATATGAATAAAAAAGCGATAAAAGACTATAAATTATTCTTTTTCGTTGGAGCTGTCGTATTTCTCGATATAATAATACTAATTATGTGGGCATTTATTTCACCATTTTCCCTTTCACTCATCGAATTACCCAAAATTGTTAGTATTTTAGAATTTTCTGAAATATTTTTTATATTTTTTATTTTACAAATTTCATTAAATTGTATTAATTATTAAAATTGTATTATTAATTGTATCTCTATTAAATTATGTTAAAATTTATATTAAACTTAGATTTTTCTACAGAATAAACGGAACGGTTTAATCAAAAAAATTGCAAAATTTATTTCTAATTCAATTTCATTAAATTTGCATTTTTGTACCAAATGGCTAAGAGGAAGAAAGCGAAATCGCAGCTCTGGTGGAGCTGGAAATAACTTTGACGAATTCTCTACGGACTCGTCGCGAAATCACCATCACCATCATTGAAATCACCATCATTGAAATTTAAATTTAAATTTAAAACATTTCTCAGCATATTTCTTTTAGTATTTGGATAATAAAGTGATTGCTCCTGAAATTGAAAGATGCTACAGTGAGAATACGGTGGTTTTTCAAGCAATAATATTCGGTATAAAAGGTTTACTCATGGTCTCTGCTTATTTTATTTCGCGATACTTTAAAATTTTTCAACTAAATATTCAAATATTCGAAAAAGAAAGAAAAAAAATTTAACGGTTATTAATTTAATAGTCGTTGTTTAAATTATTTATCTCCCAGCGGATGAATATATCCAATTTCTAAACGCAGATTCTTGGATGTTTTCTTGCATGGGAAACGAGATATGTAAATATTCCCGCATTAAATGATAGCAAATATATAGGAATGTCCGTTTATAACGTCGTCGTGATGTGCGTATTGGGACTTTCACTTGCGTTTATTCTTGAGGTAAGTAAACCACGATGATTTGTAAAATTATTTCCGTTATTGAAAAATGATCTGGTTAAGCTCTTTATTTGCTGTTGCTGTGCTGTGAAATTTTTACCAAGGGAACACTTTGGAATAGAATCATAAGTGGGCTCCCTGCGTTATTCGGATTTCTACTTATAAATTTATTCATATCGTGGGCAAAATCCAGACAGTGGTTCACGAGACGATGGTCTGGCCAAAAACCACTACTTATCCTGCATTTTTAGCTGACGGGTCATGAGTATTTAAATGAAAGTAGTACCTACAAAAAACTGGGGCGAAATACTAAAATTTGTCATAGTTCTTATTTAATTAATTAAAATTTATAAAACTCTTCTAGAAAAATTACATTTTCTACGATCGAGTTCGACATTAAACCATAAGCCATTCGATCTATTCCGGCAAATTAATTTGTTTAATCTTTCAAATAAATTACAGGATCAGGTTGATGAAGCCTACGCACTAACGAGTTTTTTCATAATATTTTGCACAACACTTACGCTATGTCTGGTGTTTGTCCCGAAGGTAATTTAATTTGATTTTAATAATTTTAATGGTTTAATTTTTTTATTCTTTTCTAACTATAGAATTTTAAAAAGTGTGATAATGGAGAGCTTGCCTAAAGCTTCTAATTATTATGTAAATAAATAAATCAAAAATTTAAATAGGAAATTAAATTTAAATTTGAATAGTCCATAGTAATTCCATAAATCATTATTTGTCTTTTAAGAATTTATTTAATAAAATTAAGATAATCGAGTTAATCAGAAATCCCATTGGATCCGAGCCACATTATCGTAAAGGTTTAGTGAAATCAGTCATAGGGCGTCAAAATAAGCAACTTTCACGACAATTATCAGTGTATGAAATTTTTATACAGTACTTACACAGTTCTTTTTAAGTATTAAAATGATAACATTATAGATGTATTGTTAAATATTCAAATTTGATAATTAACTAAATAACTGGTTAGCACTTCTGTTAAGGTTTGCTTCACTTGTTGTTAATACAATTAGGTTTTTTTGCCGAAAATTTATCGAAAGAGCCACTACGCCAACACCATTAGAATTGTTGTTTAATAACAGGTTTAGACCTGTTAGGAATCAACTGAATCTTTGATGCTTTACTGATCAAAGCAACCATCCCACTCGGCCATCTATCCAAAATCTATTTTTATTACTAATAATAAGGAATAATTATTTTCCAAGTATTTTTTTCAACAAGCATATTTATTATCAAAATATAACAAAATACATATTATAGGAATGTTTATAACAATGAGAAAGATCGATTACAACGTCTTGAAGAAGAAAATCGAATTTGGAATCAATTTCTTGAAGAAGTTAGTTTTATTATATAAATAATGAAATTTATTGGAATAATAAGAACAAAAATAATAATGGATTATTATTTCGATGATAAAATTAAACTGATAACTGCTCCATTTCGAAGCCAAGAACTGGGCAATCGGCCCTCTCATAAGTAAGTCGAAACTTCCTTAACTGGAATAAACATCGCAAAAAAGTTATAAAAGAATTTTTTAGCATTTAGCAAATAAACTTTTAAAAGGCTTATTGATTTCGATAGGTAAATGCATATATTTTCCTTATTTTTATAAAATTTTTTTGTTATATTCGTTAATTTTAGAAAACAAATATTTTATGGAATTTAACAGAAAAATTTTCAAAATTATCGCAGAATAATCAAATAATCGCTTTCGATAATAAAGGTTGGCTTTTTCTCCTTCAAAAAAGCCAGTAGTTCTTTAAAAATTTCTTGTTTGTTCTTCTCGAGCACATTTCTGGTTTTGCTGGCTTTGCTGGCTGTTAGTATAAAACTGTTTTGCCAGAGAATCATTTTAAGACAGATGAATGCCAGCACCACCTCGATTTCACTTGACTTTTAAGGAGAGGTTCGCTAATTGTGAAGGGCCCACGAATCGAAACTATGCGTTGAGGTTTAAATAAGAATAAAATTTCAACGATGAGCTGGTAAAATCTATCGCAGCACTTATCAACAAATCTTTTATTATTTTGAGATGGCTATCTATCCGTAAGCAAGTTCCAATGCGTGTTTCAATGATTCTCTGCGAATATTTTTTTTTAGAATTCTTGTCAAAAGAAGATTTATAAATTGTTGCGGAACAACAGTTGTTTATTACATAACCTCTAATCCTACTCGTTTATATTTGCTTGTCTTGCAAGTTGACACTTTCGCCAGTACATGGAGAAACATGTAAGCCTACAACACTTCGATTTTTGCTGCCAAATGACAGGAATTGTCCCTTATAAAATTATTGTTATTATCAGCGCTATTATGCGGTCATTTCTATTAATGTTGACATCCTAAAATCTTTTCATTGCACATGAGTTCCAACGAATATTTGCACTGGGCTGCTCTATTGATTGCTAGAATATGTAAGTGAAATGAGTAAATGAGTTAAAAATGAGTAATGAGTATGAGTAAATGAGTATGAGAAATGAGAAATGAGAAATGAGTATAAATGAGTAAATGAGTATTTGAAATGAGTATTTACATAAGAAACAAATCCGTTGGAACTAATCAGAGATCATGAATTATAAATTATAAATGTAAATATTTATGTATTATAATCGATATTAATAAATATAAAATGTTAATATAACAAATTAATAAATAGCGAAGATTTCGCTAATTTTCTGGTTTAATTGATCAGAAATATGTAAAAAATTTGTAAATTTGCAATAAAATTTGAAATCGGTAAGATTAAATTGATTAATTAATTAAAATTTAATTAATTAATTAGAATCAATTAAGATTTCACCATTTATATTCCCAAAATCAATCAACATTTTTGAATAATCGTTATTTTAATATTTTAAAATTTATAAAAAATAAGTTTGCACCAATATTTAATTCACTGAAAGCTTAATTTCTCTACAGAATTCATAAAAATTATATTCCATAAAATAAAATAAAGAATATTTAAAACATTTCGGTTGCCTTAAAATTTTTAAAAAATTTGAATGATTGATTTTAGGCAATTTTGACGGTTGCAAATTTTTTCTTTGCAGTTTTTTTGGAAAATTCTTTAAATCTCTAAAAATCTCTAAATTTAAAGATTTAAAAATCATATTCATATTCATATTCTTTCATATTCGATTCGAGCATTAAGCGGTATAACTTATAAAAATCACATTCGAAATGAAACGAATGAGGCGAATAGAAATCGTTGAAGAAATTAGGAAAAGGCCCGTTTAGGTTTTTTAATGGACCAATAATGGATGCGAAAGCTATTCATTTTGAAGGTTTTTTTGGTGTGTAGTAAAGTTTTGACTCAACGAACAAATAACTTTTCAATTTTTGAAATTTTTTGAATTTTAAGCCAAAAGTAATTTCGCAAGCAACAAAACCTTCGATTTATGAGAACTGGTGAATTTAACGAACGACTGCATCGATTAGATTGGATTCGAATATTTCTATTTCGGCGAGATTCAATTACAAAAATTTATTCATGAAATAATAAGCTTAAAAGCTTCTCCGTTTCATATCCATAATATTCAAAAATAATTAAAATTCTCATCGAAAAAAAATTTTAAAAATATAATAATTGATGTATTTCGTAAAATAAAGATTTTCTAAAATTCGCATAATTTATGGACAAAAATTATTCCGATTCGGAAAAAATTCGGAAAAAAAACCTAAATGAAGTCGTTTCTCGTTGGGCTTAAAACTCATATAATAATTATTATTATTGTCAAAAATTTATAATTAATAAAATTAATAAATGAAATACAATAAAAAAATAATAATTTTGTTGAAATTGCCCACGATTTATTGTCGTTAAATTAAAATCTTCAGTAACATTTTTAATATCGTATACATTACATAAATTTGTTGAGCAACAGCAAAATCTGAAATTTAAAAAATTTAGAGATTAGAAATTTATAAAAGATAAGACCTTCAGGCTATTCGAACTTCCTCGTTAATCTCATCTATATAAACTAATTTTGCAAAATTTGAGGATTATTTGAGGATTTAAACAAAAGCGATAAGCTATTGAAATATATTCGATTGATTAAAATCAACAAAGAGTAAAATATTAAAAATAATTTAAAAAAATTTACATATTTCATAATTTTCATGGACTTAAATAAGAATGTATGTACAAAATATTTCCAAATATTTTCAAAATGGAAGTGAAATAATCTAAAGGAATGAAAATAGAAAATAATAAATAAGCGACTATAACAATATTAGATGAACATGAAAATGATAACATGAAATAAATTTTTTCTACTATAGATAAATTTCCGATTTTGCTGAATTCCATGTGTTGCTGGGAGATGTATGTACAAACAATTCTCCGACACCACCCATATTTTGCTTCACTCTCGATAAGAGGCAACAGTTAGACCTATGATGAAGTGACGAGACACTGCCACGCGGTAGCAGATGAATCCCCTTATCCCTTGTATGAGAAAGATATTGTCCAAGTCAAATTAACTAAAAAATTAGGAAAACATAAATATTATGTTAAATAATGATGATATCCACAAATCGCACAACTTATTTCTCTGGTTCTCATTCATCATTTCTGGTTTAACTGAATCCATTTTCACCAGATACCATATATCTCTTAGCGAATCAGTAGGGGAAGGCTTATCAGTAGGCTTATTGCTGCCGAAGAAAGAGAATCGAATAATATTCTGCTTAACGTCTGTTGAATAAACTTGTAATTTCTCTACATCTTTCATTGAGCCAAGTTTTTCAATTCGCATTTTTAATTTTTTTAAATTGTTAAATATTTTATCAAAAGGGAAATAAGGAAAATCCATTAAAGGAAAATTCAAGGCTCATTAATTTATTATTAAAAATTTTTTAATAAATAAACAAATTAAAGAACAAATCATTTCATATATTTGAATTGCTTATTTAAATTTCGAATTTTATTAGTGGAAATTAAATTGGAAAAAATTTAAATAATAAAATTAAAATAAATGTGAAATAAAAAAATGAACGCCAATAAAAAATTACATTGGATAACACGGATTGTAATTTACTTTTTGTAATAAATTTTTAAACTTAAATAAATTTTAATTGTAATTTACTTTTTGCAATAAATTTTTAAACTTAATGCAGATTCGTGAACGGAAAATTCTGTAAATTTATTGGCACAACATTAACCTTGAAAGAATTAAATCGGATTGTTGAAATCCATATTTCTTCGCTATATTCTCATAAAATGATTTTTGTACAACGCTGTCGAGTTGGTTTATCGTTACACAGTTATTCGCTATTCCTCTGTATTCACAGTCATTTGCATAGACGCAAAACCTTTCAAATTTATTGATATATTTTCCATCAATTAATACTGAATAAAATTCGCTATAACATACCTAAATTCTTATCGTTAATATCGTTAATATATATAATTAATTATCCTCATTAATCGTTATCATTATTGTGATATCTTTTTCTTCTTCTAATAATTCACAACAATTTTTGGCTCGGCTGGATTATTGAATTGAGGTTCTTTCGCCAGAAAGTTACCTGAGGTTAGATTCACAAGCAGACCGCTAGAATCCACAAGATATTCGTTTAAATGTTTTTATTCAAAATTTCAGTGGTTGAGGGCACATTAAATGTTGTTATTGCTAAGCTAATTATTACTGTACAACTGTTGTACTAAATCTTGCTTAATGAGGCTAACAGAAATCATGAAAAACAAATATTAGTAAGTTATTCTTGTTATTAAGTTATTCTAATAAGTAAATTATTCTTGCCAATGTGCTAAACCAACCAACCAATCAACAATAGCCAACAAAAATTGGGATTGGAACAGAAGGACCAAAAGTTGGAAAAAAAGATGAACATTTTTTAAATTTCACATTATTTCTGTGAGTAAGTGGCTCTAACTTCGAGTAAAATAAAGTAAAACTAATATATGTATATACATATATATATATATATACTATACGAATTGAGTGTTTAAGTGATGCTAACAAGCCTTATCAGTGGCTTTATCTTTAAGCGCATTACATTACCACAATAAATTAGAATATAGTTTGGTTCACTGTTTCACTACAGTCGAAGCTAACTGGTTATCGAAAATTGAAATTTCTGTTAGCAAGTGGTTCTCTAGTCTTCCATGAGATCTCATTTTTAATAATCAGTCTAGCCAGTCAGTCAAACAAAAATAAAGAAAAAAAAGAATTTCTTTAACAACTACCCTTTGGAAAAATGCTTTATTAAAAATGTTAATGAAGCAAATTAAAAACCTGGCTGTATTCTGGACAATCCTTCGGATTTTCAGCAAACTGAGTTGACGAATCAAAACATTTAAGTGGTTTTGTCGGTAATAAACCTTTGCAAGCATTATTGGCCAATAAAATGAAAATGTTAGAATAATAAATAAAATTTTTATTTGGAAAATAAAAAGAATATTTCATCTGAAAAAGCCTCACTTGAATCGCTATTGCGGATATAATGAAAGGACTTTATTATCGTTCCTACAAGGACAATCACGCCTTAAGACCTTATTACATTTTTTTATGAAAAGCCTTAAATTCGTTGAACCTCATTAAACTTCGATTTGCTTCGTTCGTTCTTTTAATTATCCTTGTGCATTTAAAAAATTAGAATATCCATCGAATTATCATTTATAAATGGCTCGGTAAATTTCCAAAATCAAAAGGAACCGCTGAACAACAAAAGTTCTGATGTCTTATATAAAAAATTGGTGAAAAAGACCAGATTCTTAGTTCCATAAAGTCAGAAGAGAATAACTCGCAAAAAATTGTTAAAATTTTCCAGCCAATGGAATCTATAATTGCACTTCGATTGAATTTTAAAAAAAGCCTAAATTATCTCAATTAAACAAGGTACTTGTCATAGGAACGACTGGAAAAATAAATAATAATAAAATAATGTCTGCGAAAATGCCGTAAAATTTTAAATTAAATCAAATATTCCAATTTCTTTAGCTCAATTTAATAATTTATTTGAATGAGAATGCGGAAAACGCATGATTGCTGCTTTGGAATAAATAATTTTGAACATAAAATATCCTCGATTAATGGTAAAATATCATTTAAATCGTATATTGCCGCTACGAGTAGTAAGGATTCGATTATCTCAACATGAGTAAACCTGTCAATAAAAGTGACACCTTTCAAGCGCACATGTTTGTGTTGTTCATCGCTGCTTGCCAGTGAGGCAGTTACGGCGATTCGTCCCACCTTTTTGAAATTTTTTCATGAGTTCTCAGTTGCGAACGACATTTAATCCTTAGAAATCTTTCCGATATCCTATAAAATACTATGCGATCCTTTGAATACTGCCTTATGACGTAGTATTTGCTATTTTGCCACCTTAAAATAATAATTATATGAATTATTTATAAAGTAACATAATCGACCCAAAAGCCTAAAAATTATTTCATGTTTTACTTTTATCATTTTCTCCTTTACTGATTTTTTCTCTTTTAAAATGTTTTTATCAAATATTTATTAAGATTCAGCTCACACGCTGTCGGATGTTTTTTTAAGCAAATAAAATGATTGACGAAACTAACAAAGAAGAAACTTAATGATGGATTATAATGGATTAGGAAACTAATGAAAAATTTACAAAGGAATTATACTAATTAGCTGAAATGTCTCCATAGATTAATATAACATAGACTGTAATATAATATTCGGGCTGATGAATAAAAGCTATAGCAGAGTAAGAAGTAGAAATGTCATGCGTAGACGAAAAATGGCCAAGCAAGGAATGGTGAGAAAAACTAGTAAAGACTGCAGATTTTGGATAATAGGCCAGGAGACATTGGATATTAAGACGAATTGGCTAATTATGCTTGCATTGGACAGCAAATAGCAACCAACAAGTTGCAAATTCATTACTACTGTCTTATAATAATAATCACGATTTCTGCTTTGACTCGCTCCACTACTTTTTTAAGAGGAGACTCTTCTACAGAAAATCGCATCGTGGAGATTTCCTTCAATAAGCTAAAGATTCTAAATCGAACAGCTACGAAAACAGGACAACTTCGAATCGTCAAAATGGCATCCAAAATACGATTTCTCTTCAGATTTCGCTTATCATTTGTATTTTGCTTGAAAAAATTTTTTCATTCTTTTTAAATAATAGAGGAAAATCGTTCTTTGTTTTACTTTCGGCATATATAAAAATCAAATGAATTTATTACTAAATTATTTACTAAATTATTTAAATTTATTTAATTTACAAATTATAAATTACATTTATTAATTTAATTTTATAAAATCAATTTATTTAATTTGTCCAAATGTTATAATTTTGTAAAAAGGATAAAAGTGGGAACATTCAATGCGTATAATAAGTATAATAATGAAATAAAAAATTTGGAAAGTAGGTTCACTGAAGCAACCATTGATATCAATTTAAATCAGATTTCACAACTTTTCACATTTTTTTTTTATTGGTTCTTTTAGCAATGATATTTTTAGCCCACAAGAATGGATGATAAGAGGGAGACCAGTATTGAGGCTTCCCAAATGAACGGCTTAGAGTCGTATTGAAAAATTGCAATAAATTTATTAAACTTGACTTATAAATTTGTAAAATCGATAGAAAAATTACGAATAATAAATTTTATTATTTTCCTTATATATATGATTAACGTTTAAAACAAGGAGCGGATTTCGACAAGAACGAAAAACCAGCTCTTTATCCAGTTTGTATCTAAAATTTGACAGGCTATATCAAATTAGTGGTTTTAAAAGCACAAATGAAACGCTCTTCAAATCCTACAATTCTCCCACTGTTTTATATTCCATCATCAAATTGCGGACATCATATCCCACTGATGATAAGCCAATACGGATCAATCGGATAAAATTTGTCACATTTACCATTCGCTTCTATTTTACATTTCAAATGAAGAAGACCTGAGGCCATCCAGAAATTTTTGCAAAAAATTAACTAAAAATAAGCTTAATAATAAGATATAACTGATAAATCTCAAATCTCAAATTTGAAGAATAACATACTTCATTAAACCCATTTTTCAACGCGATAATGTAGCTTATGTATGTTCTATGAGATTGGGCACATTAGAAAAGATAGTTCCCATTGTTCCCATCTTCAATGGAACTCCGATTTGAAGATATTTACCTATAAAAAATAAACTATATGTATTTAAAAAACCAACGAAAATCAATGTAGGTAACCAAATCTCGGTGGAAGTAATCTCACAGGCCACTGAATATTCTGCATTTTACCCTTCGGAAATTTTCTGCATCATGGTTTTTGAGAACCTTCAATTTGAATGATTCGTGAAAAGTTGGAAATAAATGAATAAATAAATGAATAATTCAGTCGCAATTTTATGACTTTTCATTAGCTAATTTGAATGAATCAGTTTTCAGGTAATTCACTTGTTTGCAAGCTTTTATACATCATATGGAATTTTGAAGGTATTTGGAGTTACAGGAATCGTTCTAGGAAATCCAAAAGAAACGCAACAGTGGGGACTTTAAGCAATATGGAAAGGTTAAAAGGTTACTGAACTGTGGTTAAAAAAATCCTGCAAAATATAATGGAAGCACTAAGCGACAATTTCGACAGGTGTGTAGGACTTATAAAACAGAGTTCAAGAAAATTTTATGGAGGTATAGGGGACTTCGAAATTGATGGATTGATTGTTAATGAGGAAGAAAAAAAGGCGATTGAGATTGGGTTTGAGAAGTTGCATTTTAAGGAGAACTGTGGAAATTTTCAAAAAAATAAAATTAAGGTCGTTAGAATCCCTTCGCCATGATCAACTCTAAGCACAGAAATATAGATATCTATCCAGTACCATTCCGCTATTAGAATTAAAAATCCAAAGGTCGAAATTTTTTATCGCATCGAGAATATCAATTGTATAGAAACGCAGGCAATCTCTGCTATAGATAGCAACAGTGGGCTTATAGAGTTGCTCAGCAATAGTGCGAACTGAATTCGACTTAAGAAATCGCAGGATCCTCTAATCAGCACTCGCACTCACTTTTCACGTTTACATGGATGTCCTCGGTGAAATAAGCAAATTTTAAAAATGTGCTAAACTGAGAGAAGAAATTGCATCCTAACAAATCATTATGTGCAAAATATTTCCAAAAAATATAAGTGAAGATAAGATAAGAAATGATAAACTTGATAAGCCGATGAATTCTCCTTCATATCGTTTTTGTTTCAGCTAAAATCTTCAATAAAGTTTTTTCAGGTCCTTTTCCTTGCCTTTTATTTAATTTCTTTGGCCAAACCACTTAAAGAGCGCGATTTTGAGACTGAGTTGAGGCTCAAGCTCGTTTTCGCTGTCATTTTTTCGATGCACTAACTACTGCTGCTACTGCTTTCCCATTTATTTTAATCCCATTAAACCCACATCAACCCCATCTGTGATTATCTGTTATCTACAAGTTTAAAATCTATGATTCAATGATCAGATTTTCGCCAATTACTTTATGTTGACAATGAACATTTAAGTACCTTTACTGAATTCTTTAAGTTTTCTGAGCCAATATTTATGCGATTTTAACTGTTCTCAGCATTTAAACAAAACTAAAACTGATATACTTACTTCTTCCAACTTCTTATTGAGGTTACTGCAGTTAGAATGGCTTTACGATTGCTGCTTTGTCACCAGTAAAACTGCGCTATTTTATACGGTCCAACGTTCGGTTCATTCATATTCGTGGTTAATAAATATAACTCATTGTCATCCACATAAACTTATTATCGGACATATCGCAATGTATCATCTACTTTATTAAATAAATACCGCGAAAGACTGATGAAAAATCCGCGAAAATTATGATATTTTTCAATTTTTTAAAATTCCTTTAAGCGAAATTAATCAATGAATCTATTAATTATCGAAAAATATCGAATTGCTCAGAAATGACGAAAGCGTAAATGTTCCACAAATGCACCAAATGCACCAAATGAATGTTTATTCACCTCAAAGAGCCCCATTCCATTTCAATTTGCTGCATCGCTATCACAATCAACGTTTCATCCACGTAAATACGAAGGAAGTAGGCTAGGCGAACGCCACTGCTGATTTGGCTAACTCCGCAAGGGCATAGGCCACATTTGCCGTCATTAATACCGTCCCCACCACTATTGCCAATTTCATTACTTTGGCTCCGGCGCATTATCTTATTCCATACTTTATATGGCTTTTTGACAATGATAATGGAATAAGACTCGTGATCCGACAATTAGTTATACGCGAACTGATGAATAGAAGCACTACTAGTCGTATCGTATGATTGTTTTCTTTTTGAATTTGTTGTTGGCCAATTGAATTGAGTGGATCGTTGCGGTGGCCAATTGAATTGGCTGTAGCAAGGTGGTATTTCGCATTGCTTTTACTGCTTGTTTTATTTATATTAAAGCGAAGATTAAGATTTTGAGTTGCGCGGATTTAATACTTTTGATATTATTTTATTTATTTAATATTCGCTTAAAATAAAAAAATTTTTTTTTAAATTTTTATCAGTCACCAAACTAATTGATTTATATGTTTTACATTTATAATCGCAATATTATTTCTATATTTATTTATGGGATAACGCGGGAAATATCGAATAACTGACATAGATAACTGATAAGTTATCTTTTTGATTAAAGAGATTGCTATTATCGAATAAATCGGCTTATTCGTCGGTTATCTTAAAAATTTATCGATAAAGAAGTTGAATCGGAAAAATGGAAAAATTGGAACATTAGAAGCATTAAAGATTAAAGCATTTTTATTTTATATTTATTTATTTATTAAAGTTTGCAATGAGAATAATTCTTAGATTAGCAGATTTTTCGTTCTATTAGTTTTATTTGTTTTTATTTTTTTTTTAGTTGTTAGATCGATTTTATAATAAAATATTTTATTGTCGATGAATTCTTTATTTTTTCAGAAATCATCGAACTGTGAAATGGTTGCCAAACCAAATTTACGCGCTCGACACGGCACTAATCGTTCGACAAATCCTTCAAATCAAGCAGCAAAGATAGAAGAAAAATCGAGGCAAATCTTTATTAAATAAAATTTGAAAATTTTTTTTTCTGTCTAAAAGCACTTTTAGGAGTACAGAATGTGCAGGTGTTACAGTGCAAATACATCCAATTTGGCCAGAAATGCCTCAAGGGCAAGGAGAATTGTTTTTCGAATGTACGCTGTTTTTATACTCTGTACTGGCACTTTTTCTACAGTATCTCAACTTGTATAAAACACTTTGGTGGCTGCCGAAATCGTATTGGCATTATTCATTGGTAAAATTTATAGAAATTTATTTGATCTCTGGTTTTTTTTTATTTATTGTATTCTATTTTATTCTTTTTCTTCTAACAACTCTACCATTATTGGTTATTCTGGTTCCACTGCCTACAAGGGCAAGACGTTTCCAAACTGCACGAACTGATGCTGACGTCGGCAGTAATAGAAGCCATTAGCCATTCTTTTTCCTATCGTCTAAATTCATATATTACTGGTCCACTTATAATACGTTCAAAGTATTTTCTGACCTTATTAGTCCAGGTCTTGATTGATCCACCTCGCTTTAGATACCACCTATAATAGGAAGTTTAGCAAGTAACGAAATATCAACTCTGGTGGTGGATAACGAAGAACGTATCCTAATCTATATCTAAAAGGAAGATGACGCTCTATGATAATTAAGGTAGATGCGATCATGTGAGATTTTATCCACTCAGAGGTAGATAACTTCTTAATATCCTTCATTCTCATTGTCCTTGTCTCGCAGATCGAACGAATCATGGTTTATTGCAATTTTTTGTTGGATAAATTTTATAAATTTTGGTGATATTACGCTTATTTAAAGTGGTACCAACTATGATTTTTTTGTTCAGATTTCCAATATTATTATTGTTGTATTTTCAGAAATTTCATTTGATCAATCCTTATTTGCTTTCTTGTGTCGGTTTACTTCTTGGTTTAAGAGTTACGAAATGCTTTTGGAACACAGTAATTTTTAAATTCTTTTAAAGTTTTAAGTTTTAAAGTATAAGTTTTTAAAATTATTTTTATCGAAATTTTCTGTTTTAATCAGTTGTGGAGGATTTATGAATAATTTACTGTTTTTGATGTATGCATGCTAATAAATATTCATTTAATTTTTAATGATTTAAAAATATTAATATTTTTTTCAATTTAATTGATCTGATTTATTTTTCATAATGAATTTAATTCAGATCACTGAATTCGTATCTACAAGCTCACTTGGCGTAACAGGGATACAGTTGGTTGTTTGGAAAATAGTAGAATGGGGAATCGTTAAAACCCCCATGTTTTTTATGGTCGCTTCATCGTTTTTATTCAGTTTCTCGCGTGTATACCATGATTTTCCATTCAAATCCCTTTTATATTTTGGACATCCGTTAGTTTTATCTTCTTTTTTTGTATGATTTTGTGCAAAATATATTATATTCATTATTTCAAATATTGTATTATTATGTTAATATGGTCTGAAAAATTATCTTCAATTAATTTAACCAAATTTTTCATTTTTTCAGTTTCTTGTTTTTTGTGCTTTTATATTTCCAAGATATTGTCTATAAATTGCAACGAATGGTATCAGTTGTTTATTTCGTTGTAACTGGTGGTGATATAGTCCAGAGCGCCACGGCACCATCACTTTATCCATCTATCCAAGTACCGCCGTCGCTGGTAGATGTGGAAGATGTGGTTCATATGTGCAGTTCAAATTCAGGTTATTTAATTTTTCTTAAATTTTTTAAAATTTTTTCGATATGCTATTGATAATTTTTAATAACTTTTATTTTTATTTTAGCATTAATTTAATGATTTTTTAATATATTGAAATTTTAATACTTGCTTTTGTTTGGTGAAAAAATTCACAATTTATATTTTAAAATTATTTAATTTTGGCAATTTTATTTTGCTTTCTTTTGGTTTGAACATAACTTCATGCGATAATTTTTTTTGTATGTAAATAAAAGTTACAAAAAATTTTTTGAAATTTTTTTTATAGCTCAAATTCGTGAAGAAGTGGGAATTTTAATCAGAGATTTTAATCTGCGCATAAAGCATTGTTTATTCTCTGGTTTATCCACTGCTTACCTTTCAATATGTGTGCCTTGTGTCTTCACTCCCGTATATATTTTTAAATTTTTTTGTTTTTTTCTAAATTTTAAATTTATCTTCATTTTTCAGTTATTCATTTTTTATCAAATCAAGTTAATCATGTAAAAGATAACTCAAAAAAGCAAAAAATTATTTTTCAGCAAAAATCTCCATCAGGAATTCCGCAACAGATGTGGATCGATGGTGTTTGGGTTTGCGAATTATTCATTGTTGTCTTTCTGACTTCTTTTTCACTTTATGTTACATATTTGTTTCCTATACAGTACTGTGATTTGTTGCATCGGAGTGCTTCTCATCTTGGTCACTGGGAGAAAATTGAAAAATGTGTCACAACAGGTCCAGCTACATCCACAAATGCACTCTCTTCTAGTGCAAATATCTATCCACCAACGTATGTTTGGTATCATCGACTAAAATTTTACTGGCATTTTCTTTTTATTTAACATTTGTAATAATTTATCGCTTAGACCTCTTTATTCTAATATTTAATATTAAATATTTATTCTAATATATAATATTTCTAATATTTATAGTTGGTCAGAACTAGATGGTCTTTACGCTGATGGTACTATAGTTCGGCATAAAGGAAATTTCTATCGAGCCTATGCAACATCGGGCACAAGTGGTGTTGCTGCCGAACCAGGAGAAATAGATCATTGTCGTTTCTATGTGAGTCTTTCTAAATTATCAGTAAAAAAATTTACTTATTTATTTCAATTTTATTATTCACATCGTTGAATAAATTAAAAAATCGACAGAGAATGGCAATCGATCCTGTTACAATCGTTAACGGAATGTGCATTTTTCAAATATTTCTCATCATAATGCAGTTTTGGATGCTTGTGCTTACCACTGATTGGCAACATATTGTCACTCTGGTTTTATTGATGTTCGCTAATTATTTATTATTGGCTAAAGTATGGTTTCTTTCTGTGGTTTTTTTCTAAGAGACCACCACTGTAAGATTCGCTCTGCTGGAACCAGATATATTTTGCCCAGAGAATCCCTTGACGAGGCGATAAATGCAACCACTGGCATGAATTTTTGAGGGAAAAATTTATTCCTGCTAGAGAAGCCAGTAGAGTCACAGCTATTTCGGCAAAACTGTGTAAAAAATAATCTATTTCCTTTTCACTTTCGGCGTTTGGCGACATTGTTGTTCGACGAGCGTGAAACGTGATAGGATTCTAACCCAAGCCTTTTTTATTGGTTACCATCATATTACTAGAATATGCAAATTCACCTTTGCCTATGCACCAGTTAGAATTAAAATCTTCATTCCTGAAAAGGATTGTTTTTTTTTTATTTATGAAAAGGGAGGCAGTGAATTTATTTATGAATTTGCATATTCTTTAAAGTTTTGACCAGTTTTTATTTTATTTGGTCAGAATAATATGGAATTTTTGATCAAGGAAATAGTCCATTTGACCGATTCTAGGTTTTCAAGGATCGAGTCGTAATTGGAAGGATTTATAATCCATCTCCAGAAGATTTGCATTTAATTAAACAGATGCGACAGGATACGCAATTATGATACGTAGGCGACGACGTCACATCTACATGTGCTATATTAATATGTTTTGATCGTCTGTTGATTTTTATGGGCATCATCTGAGAAGTTTCCTTTTAGCCTTTATATAAAGGCCTGTTTAGTTTTTGTAAAATTCTATGACGGAAATTTTTGATCTATTTGATTGTTAATTTTATAAAATCAGTTGCAAATTTTCCTTAAATATTGGAGAAATGGCTGTTTTATAGAATTGAAATACAGATTATACAAAATTATGTAGTCTGATACAAACTGAAATTATTATTGTTAGATATTTTTTCATTATTGTGCTTGCTTCTTTGTTATAAATTTTTATTATTGATGTCAAATTTTATTATTCCAAAGTTCTTCGCATCGCTGAATTTCATTTTTTTTTTTCCTCGTAATTTTCTTATTTGCTAAAATTTTGAATAACGATTGTTATGAGCGAAATGTGTACATGAAAACAATTACCTCGAAAATCACAGCATTAGGGCCTTCTATAAATTTTTTAAATCTTTCTAAATTTTAGTTTATGAAGGTCGCTTTATTCGTTTGGATCTCGATTATTCATTAATATTTTAACTTTTAATATTTAATAACGATAAAATTATAACTTATAAGAATTTGCGAATTGGAGAGAGGGAAATGATGAAATTTGATAAAATTTTTTATTTTTAGCGTTGCTATCGTTATTTCCCTTTTCATTAAATTCTTTTTTTGTTGACTCATTTACTTTTAGCTGATAGACGATGGACAAAGATTCATTGACTTTGGAGCAAATGCCAATATCGTCTTTATTCGATCTTTTGGGTGAACCAGTTATGGTAACGCTTATCGATGGATCAGAGACGTTGGGCAATATTTTTACGATTGATCCATTGAATTTTACGCTGATACTTTTTCACTTCGAAAATCAAGGTTTTAAAAATTTTGTAGATAGAAGATATAAAAGGAAATCGTCGTGAATCTATACAATTAGCATGGTGCACTGGCGATAAAAAAGCAGTACGACTAATTCGAAGTGATACCGAGAATGCGGAAAACTTTTAGCCTTCAATTTAACAAGCATTATTTAGTAAAATATTCCGCTTTTAGTTGATTCGTTTAAAAATTTTAGTTTAATTTTTTAAGTCAGTCAATTCCCTCATTTAAATACTTTGCATATTTTTATATTTTTCTTATTATTCAGATATTAAATCGATAAAGGCGATTCCGAAGCATGCTATAAAATGCTTAAAGAGAGTTTTTAATGATGAACAGTTGCCAGAGTGTTGTATCAGGAATTCTGTTAAATTGCGTTCCTTCATGAATAATATTTTTGGTCAAAGCCGTTCGCCTGTGGGCATTGATGTTCAGCTGAGGTTATTATATTTTTTTCATTATCTCGTTGTTGTTTTAAACAAAAATAATATTGGCTGGATAACAATAATCGCAAGTGGGTCTCCATCGAAGGTGACTCACTATAGTCAAACGAGTGGAGCCAGTCAAAATAAAAGCGCAATGTAATATAACTTGATTAATATCTGATTGAATAAATAATAGCAGGCCAGATTATTATTTATTAAAGTTTGCTGCTATTTGTTGGTTATATTAGAGCTGTTTTCCAATTATTTAGCTAATTAAATTGATTGTAAGATTAAAGAGCTATAAATAACTGGTCAAATATTTTTTTTGCTAATTTAAAACGTTGATTTGGAAAAAAATATTAACTTTTGAAAATTGAATTATTTAGAAAAAAACAAGTGATTTCGTGGCTTGGTGATAATCATGTTCCTGTTAGCGAACTAGATGATGGTTCAATTTCTATTTTGGGCTCTGTCACTGTTAATCCTCCGTTCTATCCTGAAGATTGTATGTGTGACAATGTAATTGTTTTATCGCGAGTTCGCAAGTTGATTGAAGATCTACCTCAGTTATGAAATTTAATTCGGTTGTTTCTGCGAACACATACTATCGACGATTTACAAATTTTTTTTTAAATTCATATAAAAAATTCGTACAAATTTCTTCCTTATTTTATATAGTGGTGAAATTTGGTGAACAGTTAGTTTTTTTTCTATTTTTATTTTTTTGTGATCTTTTATTGTTTTCAATCAGTTTTTAAACTCATTTTACTAAGTTTTTTAGTGATTTAGTGGTTATTTTTTATGATTTTTTTTTGAAAAAACTCTTATTATTTCTGGTTGAACTCGGACCGAACGAATTCTACTAGAGAAACTCTTGGATTTAGATGACCAATATCCATATTTTTGACACTTTCAACACTTCAAAATGAGAACAACGCATTTAGCTTCTATCTCTACCTGTTAGCGATTATTATTATCATTGTATTATTGTTTCTTATTTTTTAATGTCTTATAGCCATTTAACCAATTATCATTAGGATGTGTGAAATAGAAAAATGAAATGAGAGATTTTGGTTTTTAGAAGTCTATTTTACGAAGGTCTTTTTGAAAAACAATTGTGTTAGTCTTTCATTAAAAAAATAGATAATAAGGGAGGGGGAGGGGGTGGGGGTGTGGGAGGAGTAGTATTTTAAACAAAAATAAATAGTGGCATTTAAATTTCATAGAATCATAGAATGTTTCCAGTTTTTGAGCCACCGATTCAGTGCTTCTTCATTATATTTCCTCCATTGTATGTTGATACGGATTGAATCAATTCCTTGTTCTATACGTGGTTTGGATGCACCCAGCTGCAAATTATGTTCGTTATATTCAACTCAAATGAAGATTTAAGAATCTTTCTCAACAAAAATCCTGTTTAAATTTTTAGACAATTGAATAATTGAATTTAAATTTTTAAGTGAATTTTTAATTTTTCCGTAAAATTTTGACCCCTTACAAAAATAAATGAAATAAAAAAAAAGGAAGAATTTGATGAAAATATTGAAGGAGACAATTGAATAATGTTATGAAGTTCACCTGTTTCCCCTCAAAGAACCTCACACTTTCTTCTAATGCATATTGTGTGCTGAAACTTTCGATGATTGATTTTGCAGCGACACCAAGCATTGTTGTTGTTTTACCAATTCTAAAGCACCAAAATTATGGTTTTATAAAATATTTATGGCCTTATAATTAATTGTCGCTTTATAATCTTAAAATTTAAACGGCTACAATTTGTTGAATTCATCGTAGTGAACGCAAAAGAATCGCCAAACATGAAGATTTGCGATTGGATTTTGCACGAGAAATCCAATTGCTTTTGGCAAAACACTTGGCTTAATAATCGTGGGCTTCAAGCACATATTTAGATATCTGAAAAAATTACAAACATCATGGGTGGCCAAAAAATTTAAAATTTAATTGATAGAAATAGAAATTGAAGATTGAAAAAATCAAATTGGAAGACTCATTGGGTTCTGGTTCGTATCACAGACAGTATGGCTTCAATTTCTCTTCTTTAACAACACTGGATTATTGCTTGGAGGCCAACTTGTCCATCAAACCTCTGCTGTGAACGAGTCATCTCAATGTCTCCGTCCGCCAAACAAGGAGAGTAATTAAATTCGAGGGAAGCGTCGGAAAATTGCTTTTCAGTTCAGTTCAGTTGCAAAATAAACTAATCCACTCCAAACAACAAATGCATTCCCAGTTCTACTTTTCTTTTATCGATACTTTTATTGAAATTAAGACTTCGATAATTCCTTCTAAGATCCACTGTTTCAATGATAATAATCGACTGCTTCATTTGGCGCTGTGAAATGGAAGATCTCAGAAAATCTTAAAACCTGGTTGTAGAACGAAGACGAATCAGAAAGCATTTTGTAATATTGTAATCTGATGACTTATTTTCGAAAGTGAATAAGATTACCTGTATATCAATCTCAGATCGTTTGTTGCAGAAAGTGCCGTAAGAATCATAATTTTTAGCGAAGGATTTTTCGCCTTAATGAATTTTGAGTAAAGCAAATCCCAGTCTTCGTACGAGCCTTGCTTCACTCCTTCTTCAAGTACCAATGGTTGAATATCCACATGGACTCTGAAGTACCAATTTGTGTAATTTTTAAAATATTTAATGCTGTTTTGACATTTTATATGGAACATCGCTAATTTATTTAAATTCTATAGATTTTTTTTTAGAACAATGGAATTGCACGTTTCTGTTTGTACTTAGAGAATTCCTCTAGAAAAAGCTGCGAGGCTGAGGATAATTGCTGTTGTTATCAAATGATTGTTTATAAATTATTCAGCCAATAGAATATATTCTACTGGAAAATTTATTTCGCTAATTTGATTTTGGCCCCGTTTGACTGCTTTGATTGCACTTATATTGCTACGAAAGAGGTATGCATTGTTAGATTTTAAGGAATTCCAAGCCAATGAATTTTTATAGTTCCAATAATTTCGCAATAAACCTACGAATTCTCGTCGTTAATCCATGATCGAAACCTCTCCATAGCTTGAGTTTTACAGTCTTCAACATGAAGCCGACAAGCAAGTGAAAGTATTTCAGTTTGCAACATTCGTTCAGTTTCGCGCTTTTTCCACGACCATCCCAAATGTTTGTAAGTTGATTTGACCAATGTGCGCATAAATTCCTAAAAATCTTCCTGTCCACTTCATTTATGAATAATAATTTTTGTTTTCCTTTTGGCTGAACATCAGTAAAATGAAAAAAAAATTCGCATTTGATCGAAGGTACAGAAAACAGTCGACGGGAAATCTGAAAGTTGTCCACGGGAAATCTACGGGAAGTATAAAAGAACTATTGGAACCACGAGGGAAAGCAATAAAATTCAGGTAATTCAAGCGATTCTAACAAAGAAAATACGCATCGTTAAAAAAAATTCAAAAAACTTGGACTGAAGTAAACAAATTATGAATATTTGAAAAATTTTAAATCAGAATGAAATTCGATGAACACTAATTAGCTCACAAATGGACTCCAATTGGTTTCGAACGGCAGAAAAATAAACGATAAACGGCCCGTAAGCGGTCAGCCCTGTTGCACTTTACTTTACTTTTACTGGCGATTTTAACTGAGCCAATGTTGATCTTAATTGTTGGCTAATAAAAGGAAAGATAAACGTATCAAAGGAATTTCTTTATGCAGAAAAAATAACCTGAAATTGTGGCAAAGAATCAGTTTCATAAATAATACTTTCAATCGTTCTGAGATGGTTTGTGATAACACTCCACGGTGTTCGATTCAGTTCTTTGCCCTTTTTAACATATAATATCAAATTTAATGCCTGAAAAATACTAATCCAATCAGACATTCACCCTTCCCTTCTGATTTGAATGAAAGCCGTCGCTGAGTTAAATAAGAGACTGAAAATTGGAAAAAGAAGATTTCAACTAAAGTCTGAAGCAGACGAATATCGAAGCGGAATAAAATTAAAATTTTTCTACAAGCTTAGACTGAAATTCACCGTGTCAATCGCCATTAAACCAGCTTTGACAAAGGAGAATGCGTCATTGATAATTACAGCACGATCCACCGCCGAAATTATCTGAAACATTTCGTTAATTCGATGCAAAGCAAAAAGTGAAAAGCAATAAACTTATGAATGAGCGACGATTTATAGGAAGGAATGAAATCAAAAGCGAAATTTAAAAAAGTGGGAAAATTTTCACATTTTAGAATTTTGTGAAGAATAAGAAATCCGAAAAAATCCACGATTCCTCGTTGCATCTACGAACCTTAATACTTTTGCTTGGGAAAAACTTACAGTATGATTCACTGCGAAATGCTTCATAAATTCTTCGTATATCTCTTGGTGGTAAAAAACCCGAAAATATCCGAGTGAATGCACATTTGCTAATACCCAACGAGGCTTTTCGGGTAATTCAATTTTAACTGAAAAACAAATTTTGGCATATTTTAATACCAATTATAATATTTGCGATTAAAAACTTATTAAACCTTTTTCTTTCTTTTTTAATTTTTTTGTCCTCAAAATTTTCGATAAGCCGATAAATTATTTGATGATTGCTTATCTTATAAAGCAAAGATTTGAATGTCAAACCATGAAACAGCCGTGAAATTAATTATTTCTCAGTGTCGGCAAATGCAAATAAATTCTGGAAAGGAATACACACTACTAATTATACTTTCACGATCCATATTACTATATTGATGCAATTGATATTAATATCATACTATCTTTGTCACCGCGTTTGAGCCACGTGAGGTTTAAGTTTTCCGACAAATCAGTTCTGTACTGTATCGGTATTGGCCAAAAAGTTGACGCAGCCTTTTTTCGAGATTCTTCGAGGTATAAAAAACGAGTCTAAATTTTTTTGAAATAAGATACAGTCTATTTGATGAGAGCAATTAAAGAATGATTAGTAGTATATTTAATAATAATGATAATAGTGATAATAATAATAAAATTAATAATATTGGTCTATTTTGCAAAAAGAACTTACCTGGTTGTGCAAAATAAACGAATTCGTCTTGCTGTCTATACTTACAGCCACCATTGGGTATCCGACCTGTGTTGTCCAACAATGAGCAATATTTACGACGCTCGTATTTTCCGTGTCTAGCGATGTATGCTTTAAAAAAAAGAAATAAATGAATTTCCTCGAATTGAGCAAAAGTATGATATTCAAACCGAAAGAAAAAAGGAGTTATTACACATATATCACAAATATTTATTCCATTTTATAGGCCAAATTTCTACCGAATTTTGCCTGGTGGCAATCCCAAAAATGTTGAACTTATGCAAAAAATCGATAGTTCCATAATATTTTGATTTTCAGCAAGGGAAGTTCATGCTAATAGCTATTTAAAAAGTTGCTTCGAATAACAAACATCTTGAATAATTCTCCAAAGATCGTCGCCTTCTGCATTATTGTACGCGTAGATCTGCAGATATTCTCGAAGTGCTCTCTGGAAATTATCAGCACCAGCCAAACCCATTATCATTCCAATGATTGATGCGCCCTTTAATAGAAAAATAATTTTTTTATAAAAATAACAAAAAATATAAAAAAAAGGGAAATAAAGAATCCTTTATTTAAAGAGGCAAAATAAGGAATTAAGAAGAATGCTACTTTACCTTCTGATAAGAAATAACATCAAATATCGAGCCAATTTGAGCTGGATCGTTGACTTTTGTTGATATGGCGTGTGACGTTTCTAAGCCGTCCAACATCATACTTGTCACAAAGTTTTCCAAGTAAAAATTTTCTATCTAAAAATTCAATGGTTTATTGTTGTATAAAGTTTTGACATGAAGGAAGATAAATAACTATTTACCACTTTCCATTCTGGATAGATTTTCTCGACACATAAATATTCCATGTAATTAGCAAATCCTTCGTTGAGCCATAGATCATTCCACCAATTCATGGTCACCAAGTTACCAAACCACTAAATCATAATATTCATATTTTGCCACTTCTCAGTTCTACTCTCACTCTTTTTCCCAGAATAAATAAATGAACTTGGAATAGTCACCCATTAAGATTTCAAGAATAAATGTGGGGAATTTATGTTCATGAAAATCTATTTTAATCCGAAATCCATATTCGCATCGCTATTAATATGGAAAGTGATGAAATGTCTTTTCTCACTTTAATCACTTTAATCCTTCTTCCATCCGTTATTATTTCCTATAAGATTACCTGATGCGCATATTCATGACATATAACAAGTGCTATCATTTCCTTGCTTCTTGTCGTCGATCTTTTTGGATTGTGCAACAACATACCATCTCGAAATGTTATCATACCCCAGTTCTCCATAGCGCCTTCCGCAAAATCACTTAGGGCAATCATATCTTCAAAAATTGTTTATCTTTTTAACATCATATTCATTAGTCATTAAAAAGCCTAAGCTTCAAAAATTTGCCTTGTTTAGTGAGTGGATATGGTATATCGAAATAGGATTCAAAAAATTCTAAGGCACCAATGCCTGTTTTTAATCCAAATTCTGCTTGATCAGCGATTACATTCGATTGTGCGAAAACGCTCACCTTCAATTTAACTTTATAATACATATCAAATTATTTTTTTAATATTTTTTTAAAAATGGCTCTTAAAATGGTTTTTAGAATGGAAAATGGTGCATAATAATTATCCATATAAATGCTGAAAAGCCATTCGTATTAGAATCTCTGTTGAAAGAAATGGTTTCACAAAGCGGTTTCACCTCAGTGAAACAACCCAAACCACAAATGTTGCGAGCATTTAGAAATATTTTACACTCTAAATTAGATTTTTGCAAATATTAATTTAAATTTGTGCGATAATTTAAATGAAATGGATTTAAAGAAGTAATGAAAAAACTAGATAATTCAGTTTTTTTCCACTCACTTCAACAGAATATTTCGTTTTTTGAGTGACGTTGGAAATTTGTTCGTATTCATTGAGTACAGCTAATGCTACCAGATAAGTGCTCATCTTTACAGTTGGAGCAAACTGATCAATTACCAGTCTGAAAATTTGCCTCATTTGTCCGAATCGTCCCTTAATTCTTCTTTTTTTCAGCTTATAAAGCAAAAATGAACTGACCCATTTCTATAGTACATGGAATTAATGAGGTGCATATTCGTGCGAACAATGTGGGTTGGGTCATGTATAACAGACAAATCAAAAATGGCTTTATAAGATGGTTCATCAAAGCATGGAAACATCCTTCTCGCGTTTGTTGCTTCGAATTGCGTTGATGCCGATATTCTAAAATTAATTAAAGAAAAGGTAAATTCAAAAACAGTTGTGTATGATTTTTTTCTTCTTCTTTCAGCATTACTAATTAGGTCGATTTCACTGGTCACTAGGATCAAGCGTTTCATGAAATTAGTTAGAGCCACTTCTCCCACCGCTTATAAGTGTTAATATGCGCCAGACCAGCTATGCTTCTAAATCTCTCGGCAAAGTGTTTTCTTCGATTATTATATTATTGAAAATTGTTTTCGAAGTTTTGAGATTTTAGAATTGAAAAAATGGCTTCTGATCCGTGGATTTAACTACTATTCACATACATTTCATTTCCTTTTTCGTTAAAATGACGATTAACATAAAATCCAACGAGATCGTTATGAATATATCCTTTATAATTTATATGAAAACGAATCGTTTCGTTCATATGAATTTTGCGATTCAGCTGAAATGCCCATTGTTCTAACCGTTCACAAACCATCTGTAATATTCATCCATTCTATTTCAAAGAAATTCGGTTGCATTCTGCATTTTTTTGAACAACAACAATCATCTCGTTCTCATTCACCAATTTTCTCCCTTGTATGGAATATATTTTTTGTAAAAACAACAAATTTTTCTACCTTAATCAGCTTACTTTGGAAGTTATTAAAAATGGGGAGTGCTTATTTGAGGAGTCGCGAGCCAAGAAAGAAGAAAATACGATTCCCGGGAAGAATGATGAAATAAATTCGTTTTAAATAATTGGTTTTAAATGGTTATGAAATGAATAATTGTTTTAAATAATTGAAATCGATAAATAATTAAAATGGCAAAAAATATTTTATAAAATATATGAAAGCTATTTTATTTTAATTAGAAAAGAAAGTGTTTCGAAAAATATTTTCTCAAAAAAAGATTTATCATTGAAAACTAACATAATTTGTAATATTAATTTTACTTGATGGATAAATTTTATAAGATAGAAGTCTCAAATTTAAAGCGTGTAATATAATGAGATTTGTTGCTTGCAATACCTGAAATATTCGAAAATCTGCAAAAAATTTGAGAAAATTAGCAATGTTTATTGTTAATTAGCGAACAATAGTAATCATCGATAGCCCTTATCAGTTACTGCTTTCCTAATTCTAATCTGTTCGCTTATTATTTAGTTAACGTGTTGCTCAATTTAGTTCACATAAAAAGGAAAGAATATTATTTAATCCAACATCTGAGCCTTTTCGCCTCATTTGGATTTATCAACTTAGAATTATATTTTCTTTAATTTTTCCATTTTTTCCGCATTTGTCAGGTGGAATGAATTATTAGAATTTCAAATATTTCGAAGATATTTAAAGAAATTAAGGAAGAAAATAGCTATCTTATGAATTTTCTTCATAAAATTCGTAAAACATAGATTAAAAAAAAAAATTGATGTCCTATAAGATTTAATGAAATATGAGCTTAGACGGTTGGTGACGGAATGGCTTCAGCGTTTTCTGCTATGTCATTGGAACTAACCATCTCAGCTTTTTATTCAGGAAAGCCAGTCAAGTGAGAATGATTGTAAAGTGTTTTATTTGCCTTGAACTTGAAAAGCATCATATGTTTTATCAGTCTAGCAAATGGTATCGATGATGCTTGATGTCATATTTTGTCGTTCAAAAAACTATCTTGAGATTGATTCGCTTTCATGTTAAGTACCACTTAGAAGCATTATTAACAAGATTCAACTTATATTTCACTTGCTCATCGAGAAATTTTAAACCAATTATATTGAGATATTATGATCATATTATCTAAGATCGTTCTTAATTATATATAAAAAGATAATATTCATAAAATTGGGTATTGAGCATTTAAATGCTTTATTGCTTAGACATTTCTTACTCATTTCTTACTTACTCATTTATGAAGATTTAAAATTCGGAAAATCACGAAACCATTTGCGTTAAACATACTTTTATAGTAACAGTGATGGAACCTGTTAGAGATAAAGTGGTTAAGTTCGGCTGAATGCGCATGAGATAATAAGTGGGATAGAGATCTGATGGAAGTCGAATCTTTCGCCAAGGATAAAATTCGCTACAATTTTGCACTATTTGATCTTTTAACGATAATGGTCTCTCAGTGGCCATCTGTAAAATAAATTCTCATGAAGCAACTGTGCGAAATTGGACATTGGGGTTATTATAATTGAAATATTTCTTTATCAGGAATTTAAAATATTTAGAGGACAACTGCAAAATCCTTTTCTTTCATTTATAAGAATATCAATTCTCAAGAAAAAATCAACATGGTACCTGAACTGTTTCCGAAAGCTCATTTGAAATGCACAATAGGTTTGTAAAAAAGAGGAGAGGTAAAACAGCTACAATAATAAGCATGATCGAAATAATTAATAATAAAATAAAAACTGTTATAAACCGGCAGGTCCATTTCGTATTCTTTCGATTAATTACACAGTCTAAAAAATAACGTTTATGATATTCAAATTCTCAGTGGATTTTATCGGTGGAATCAGAGGACTTGGCCAAGTGAGAAATGGTGCGCTTTGCTAGAAGTTGCTCTCTATTCCAATAAGAATTCGCCAAAAAAGGACCAAAAAAAATATAAACATCAAAACCTTTTTTGAAATTTTGAAATTAAAATTTTTTAATTTTTTTTTCATCAGAGGAAAGATTTCACTATTTTACTTTTTAACCAAAAAATTAACAAGTTTTTCCAGAAATTCGCAAATTGAACAAATAATTGGCCCTCTTCTAGGCAATGAGTGCTTTCGCTAGTAATTAGTGGATTAAGCCAACTTTATCCAGACTTTTAAATTCTCATATACGGTGAGATTTTTACTTCCTTCGTTTCTTCCTCCTTCGTTTAATTCACTTTTCGGCTCGCCAAGGAGTTTCGTTACCACGTGTGCGCTCATATCGCTAAAATCATAACCTTTTCATCGACCTAAAACTTATAAATTATTTTAATTACATAAATTAAGGTATAAAAGTAATAATTATTTTATCAACACAAATAGTGAAATGTTTCGCTTATGATGCATGAAATCAAACAAATTTTAAATTTTAAAGGTGGCGTGGCTTTTTCGTACAGCCGCTACAAGCCACTCAAATATAACGTAATATTCATTATCACCTTTCGACCTATTTTACCTGCAGAAGTCGGATTGAATTAATAGGTAATTATTTAGATTAAGCTGTGAAGATTCACTTAGATAAATACATGTATGGGCATTTGTATTAGGTGCGATTTCTTAAAGGTTATCGCAAACATCAAAAAATTCTTTATATAGTCTAAATATAAGCCTATACAAGGTTCCACGATTTATAATCGATATTCAACAAGTCCAATCCAAAAACACTGTGGAACCAACCATCTATGCATTTAATGCCATGCTTGTACCCTTATATATAATCTCACAATAAATCAAGTTAGCATTTTTAAGAAATTTAATCACGATATTATAGAAGTGAAACGGTTCACTAGGAGCAACGATGCTGATATTCTATGTATATCTCTTTTGCCTCTCAATAGGAGTAAACATGTTTTCCATAAATTCGAGTGATGCTGGCTGGCTTTCCACCTGTATTTCTGACTTCGGTCAAAATTTATTAGGCCAAATAAGAAAAATGTGGCGAGTCAAATGTAGCCAAAAATAATTATTTCTATTAGAAAAAAGTTAAGAAAATTATAAGCAAAGTCAATTAGGCGAAAAAAATCTGCTAACATGCGACAATTCTTTTATCAAGAAAATACAATCTAAGAAATTTATAAAAAATAAAAAATATAATAATATTTGAAAATCAATCGCTTCTATTTAGGGAATTTTTAATAATAATTAAACAGCGATATTCTCTTTCCATGCTTGTTTGAGGAACCAACGGAAGAAATATATCTCAGTGAAAGAAAAGCAGAAAAGTAGAATTAGCGGATATGTCGCCGCCACCATCGTTAGCATCAGATTGGATTGGCGCAATTAATGCACCCAAATGCAATACAAAGTAAAAACTGGTGAGCAATTATAAAATAGCATGTGGCTCGGAAGAAATTTGGAGATTATATTCTCTAATGAACCATTGTGGCTAATGATATTTACTTAAAGGCTATATTCTTCTCATTTAAAACGTAAATATTTTAGAGTATTTTAGCAAATAGTGGAAGTAAACGAGAAAAAATTATTGCAAAAAATTCAAACCCAATTGTTAAAATTTCTCATTCATCGTGGTTTTAAGTTTTTTAAATAAACTGATAGAAACTAATAATTTTATCAGTCTTAACAATCACTATTTGATAGCAAAAAATGAGTAACTCGATTTTATTCTTCTAGCAGCTCGTATCATTGCTCGTTAGTCTGGCTCTGGCTCCGCTGGCTATAAGGATAAGGCGCTCCTAAGCCAACCAATCCTATGTCGAAGTCTGAGATTAGAAGACATTTCTTCTTTTTCCTCCGACTAAGCTCATATATCGCTAGGTCGTCTCTTTGTTCAAAATTTTCTGAAACTATAGCAGATCGTCGTCGTTCTTGGTTTTTGGTTCGTCCTGCTCGTCCTTAACGCTATCCATCATAGAGTTTAGCAAATGAGATAGTCGTCAGTTCCTACAATGAGCGGCGAAAAACTTGGTCTAACCAGCATGAGCAACGTGATGTGGTGCAGATGGCAGATATGAGAGAAGGTGATGCAGTTATGTGAGATTTTATCAGCTCACCAATACATGCAAGCTTCTTCCACTGTCATTGGCCATATCTCGCGACTAAATAACAAGATGGTACATATTGTAACCATTCTTCCATTTTGATAGTAATTTCACGTAGAAATTCCGGCAGACAAAAGAAGGGATTTATCAGCGCTGAGGGTTATCTGGGCTACAATTTCGTTCTTCGCTTCATCATTTGGTGTAAGAATAGATCCAAGATATTTCAGGTATAGTATTTCCTCAAACACTAAAAAAAGATAAATTGATGGATTGATAAAAAAAAGCTTTTTGGCGCTTGTATAAGATGAAAAGGATGCCTTGATGTTTTGCTACAGTTGTCGATATTTTATCAAGTATTTCTTCATAATTATCAGCAAAAGGGACAACGTCATCAGTTTATTCAGGATATATGATATTATATTCTGAACTGACTTGTACACCTTTTGAGAGCCGACGAGCGATGTCCATTATCCAGTCTATCGCACTGTTGAATGTAATCTCCATTATTTCCAAAAATATTTATATATTCACCTTAAGTGATTTTTTACCTTATTATAATTGGCCTTTTCAGCAGTAAATCAAATATACTGAAATATTTTTTTCTTCAATTTTTCACATTCTCTATTATTACGCCATCATTTTCCGAAAAACTGGAAATTAGATTTGTTTTCCAAAAATTTTATGTTAACTATCGAAGACATTGTCGTGGATTCAATTTCGCTGGTTTCTTGGGAATTTAGGGCATGAAAGTAATGCGATGCGAAAAAAACATCTGTAAAGAGCTACTTGGGGCAGAAAAAGTAAGTAGGTCCTTGGCTTGGATCACTTGGATTTTCCAGGCTTTTCGTTGAAGACTCTCGACGATAATATTTGCAGCAAGCACTAGTCTACGCCGTTTTCATCGAAGTGGGTATGGCAGAATTAGCTGAGATGTGGGAAAAAGAAAGGAAAAATAAGAACTAAAGTGAGAATTAAGCGATAAAATAAAGCAAAATACGATATGAAGTAAATAAACTGAATTTGCAATAAATCAGTGGGAAATTGTTTCATGGGCAATAAATTTTCCAGCAAATTTCATTATTTCTTCTCCTTCTCAAACACATTTGGAAGTCTGTTTTCAGCGAAAGCCTTGGACGCTGAAGCGCTTTCAGCCGATGGACGTGCTTGCTTGCTTTCCACCAAATTATTCTATCAATTAGTACCAATCAGTGTCGTTATTCTTATAATGAAAATAAATAACAAAACTCAATGTGTATTTTTAGCTGCATCGCTTAATATTATGCTCGCAGTTTTGAAAAAAGTCTGAGCACGATTGCCTTAATACAGTAATTCGAAAGATCGCGTCCAGTGGAAAATTTGTGAAGGAGGGAGAAATTTTGTGGTACGGTAGAGAAAGGGGACAATAGCAATTTTCGAATACTGAGGTAGGATTGGGCAAAGTTCCATCGGGGAGTAGGGGTATATAGGCGGAAGATTGAAGGTGCAGGGGATTTTGAGATGAAAAGTGGATGAGAATTTTGGGATGAAAAGTTGGTGGGGAGTTAAAATTTTTTTCAATCGAAACATTATCGAATAAAGGCGGTGGTCATTGCAAATCGATCAATTTAAATTTAAAGTTTAAATTTTCGGTTTCTTATTCCAGTATTTTTTTCGAATAAATTTTTTCGCATTCCATTCCACTATTTTCTATTCGCACGTGGTACTACTCTGTTGCATTTATTTGGTAATATCTCATAATGGCCTCATGGTGCCGTCCATTAATTTTGCTTGGTTCCATTCGTCGTAACTATTAGTTAATTACCTTTATTACCTTATACATAAGATATCTATGATTACTGGTTCCATTGATCTTTGTCAGAAATCTCCTGAGTGATTACTTATTTAATAGGTTTTTATAATAGGTTCATTTCCATCGAGGGAGCATATATGCAAGCATATCACTCGACTGTCTCTGGCTTATATCGGCGTATCACTGTTATGCCGTAATGGTACCTTATGTGTGAACTTTGCCCACATGCTGCTGACTCCCCATTATTCAATTTTTGCCAGTTTAATCATCAGATTTTATGGGAATTTTAAATTTCTTTTCTTTCATTTAATTTTACATAAATTTATTTGTTAAAAATAAAATATTTGAATTTACTTTATTCTTTTAATTTTATTAATTTATTTACAATGTTTGAAATCAATGTTTTTATATTTCATGTTATTTTTTCTTTTTTTCTACTATTTTTTTCTGAAAAATAAATATTAACAAACGGATTTTTTCATATAAGAAATATCAAAATGTCATATTGATTTTTGTTTCACTAAAATATTTTTTTCACTAAAATATTTTTGTAAAATTATATTTAGAATTTTTTAGGATTTTTTGATGAATATTAAATAATTTTTTAAAGAAAATTAAGAAATGAGCGATCCGACATGGATGGATCAGTCATATTACGCAAGCGTACCCCATTCCGAAGGTTCATTCTGCTTATTCCTGAAAATTGGTTCACATTTTTTTGATTTTTTTGCCGTTAAATTAATTTTTAGTAAATTGGGCACAATTGGCTCAGAATTGGATTTCTATGCGAAAAGCTGAAATTCCTGCTGTTGGAGAAGATTTGCCCTCTTCAATTCCTCCGCCTCCTCCTCCAGGTACTATTTGTAATCAAATTGAAGCAATGTCAACAAATGGATCGTATTTGCCTCCTCCACCTATCAATTTTGCGCCTCCAGGTTCACTAGATTTGTTTTATAAAGCTTGACTAATTTTCGCTAATTTAAGAAAAATTTATTTTGATATTCATTAATATTAAATGAATAAAGCTTCTGGCAAATTGGTAATAAGAAAAATATCGATGGAGTTCTGTCATAAAAGATTATTGATAATTTAAGATAATTCTGGTTATCCAGTTCCACCTTCAAATTGGATTCCACCACCACCTCCACCTGCTAATTATCTTCCATCAAATGTACCTTTTCCTCCTCCTCCTTTTCTTCCTCCTGTTCCTCCTTGGATGGCTGCACCACCAATCGGTGGGCCACCGATAGATTCATTCGGTCATAATGAAGGTGAAGAAGAAGGCGGTGAGGCAAGCGAATTTTTTTGTTTTTGTTTTTTTTAAATTTTAAATTAGATTGATTACTTGGTTGATTTTCGATAATTTTGCTTTTTTGAAGAGATTTTTCTGAATTTCTAAATTTTTAATAATTGATAATGCTATTTTTTCTGTAAAATTGATAAATTTACTTTGAAATAAAAAACTAAAAAGTTTTTAGCCATTTAAACATTGAATGAATTGTTTAAAAAATCCTTATCCGGCTTTTTGAATGCTTTGAATGCTTTTATTTTTATGCTTTTAAAATTTTTTTTAATTTTAATCGTAGTTTCTTAGAGAATTTTTTGGACAAAAAAAAAAAAGTATTCAGATGTATAAAAAAATGTGCCATTTTTTTAAGTATTCACATTATTACAAAGAGTGGGAAGAACAGCAAGAGAAGAAAAAAGTAGAAGAAAATGATGATCAAGAAGGAATTCCTCAAGGTGCTATGGCTCATTGGTTGGGCCAATCTTCATGGTCACCATCTTCAGCTTGGTATCGTCAGTCAGATCGAGAAGTTCAACCTAATGCGCCTTATATTGGTGAGAATTGATTCATTTCTTTAGGTTAATTTTTATTCTTGTATTTCTGGTCAAAATAAAAAGGTAAATTATTAGCCTTTTGATTTTTCTTGAACTACAAGGTATATTTTCAATACATCAATACATATTTTTATTTCCGTTTGCAAAACCGAGAAGAGCTGCCAAAGGCCTGGGGAAATTTGTGTGTTTTAATTTTTTTATATGGATGTGTTCTTTTTTGCTCATAAATTCATTACAATTTTAATCACGTTATTTTTTCAAATTTTTAAATTATTAGATCAACAAACACGAAAAGCTTTACCAGCATGGATCAGAGAAGGTCTAGAAAAAGCTGAACAGGAGAGGCAAAAGAAATTTTTAAAAGAAGAAAAAATGCGTTTGGCTGAAGAGGCTGCAAAAGCGAGAAGAGCTGCCAAAGGCCTGGGGAAATTTGTGTGTTTTAATTTTTTTATATGGATGCGTTCTTTTTTGCTCATAAATTCATTACAATTTAGGTTACTATTGAAATTTGTTGCATGAATTTGCATGAATGAAAAATTTATTCGAAGTGTAAATTTTCGGGTTTATTAGGGATTGTTTTTTATGGTTTTTGTTTGGTAATTATGGTTCAGGACAGTGATAGCAGCGATAGCGAAAGCGACACAAGGAACTCTGATAAAATTGATGGGGAGCCGATATTTTTAAAAAAAAAGAGAGAAAGAGCCATGAAGCAACAGCAAGCTATCGAAAAGAATGCTGAAGATGAAGTGGATCTGCGAACCGATGAGGAAAGAAAGGAAGATGCAGTCTGTTTTCAGTACATTTAAATAAATTTTCCACTAGTAAATTTTCTGAACAGTTTTTATTTTCAGCTGATGCTTTTGCGTCGATTTATGACAGAAATTCTTCTTGAAACTACTGACGAATTATTAAAAAATACCGCAATGAAAACAGTCGAAAGTGAGCGTCTCAAATCGGGTATTATTGCGAAGTTTTTTTAATTTTTTGATCCCTTCGTTGTATTTTTTTTTTGTACAAAAGCTCTTAGAATTTTTATCAGTGTCTAGTACATAGCAAACAGTGGTATTGCTTTGTTTTACATTAGCGCTATTGAAAATTGATTATGGTAAAAAAAAAAACAAATTAGCTTTATTCAAAGTATATTCAAATATTAAGAATGCATCAGTTGAAATTTTTATATTAATTACAGCAAATTTTTGAAATTCAAAACATTATTTTATTTTATTTCTTTAATGGGAAATTTTCTTTCTTCATTCTTTATATTGTATATCGATGCATGGCACTTTCGGGCATTATTCTAATTGAAATAACATATTTTGCCAAATTTTTTCAATTGTAATTTTTTATCTTGTGGAACTCACAATCGATTTTTAGTTAATATAATTGTTTATACAGATATGAAATTTAGCTCAACCAAAGGTTCTCGCGAAAAGTTCGGCTCTGGCCGCTTTATCTTCACTTGGTAAGCATTTACTTAATAATAAATATTCCACCTCTGGAATTAGGATTTCTTGATATTCGTTAGTTAGTCTTTATATTTTTATATTATTAACGCTTATTCATTTTCAATATCAAAAGTTGTTTAGCTAGAAGACGGTTTGAGCTTGCGTGTTCGTCATTTGTGTTATCAAATATGACTTATGACTTTCGTCAAGCACAATCGTCCTGGCTTTGAACTTTTTCCTAAGGCATCTTATAAGGTTTTTACTAAACGTCCCATATTGACTTCCTTTGTTATCATGTGGTGTAAGAATTGTCATTGTTCATCGTTATTCATTAGTTGAATTTGTATAAATTATATACAGGAGTTGAAAGCGATGATGAAGTCGATGAGAATGACAAAACGAAAATAAGAAATTCTGATGTCGAAACTGATGATGAACGTACGCCATCGCCGAATGATAATATATCCAAAGTATCAACATCACAACGAAAATCATCCGGCTCAAAGAGTAAGGCAAAGTTAAGTAGCCATGATGATGGATACCATTCTTCTGAACCTAATCAAGGTAATCGCTAAGAATCTATTTGAGCACTTTTTGGCTGCTGCGGATCCTTTCCGGATAGCGCTTATTCTCCATTCGATGAGGAAAATAGGGTAGTGTGATTTATTTTTTTATATTATGTATGTTATAAATATTGTTAATGATTTTAGATAAGAAAAGAGAACAAAGTGGAAATCCTGAGTTTAACAAAAGTATTGGCAGTGATAAATTTGCAGGTATTTTTTGTCTTTTCTTATAGTGAATAAGTTTATTAGAAATAAAGCTGTGAGCCTAAAATATTATATATATATATATATATATATACACGAGGATAGAATGGCTGAGTGGGTTGGTTGTTGCTCAATTGGAAGCGCCGATGCTGAGGTTCGATTCCCTGCAGGAGTAAATCTGTCCAAAAACCCTAGTGATGCTGGCGACTCCATGTAGTATTTCTGTCTCAAAGGGACTCCCTAGCATATTGCCCAATTGCGATAAGCCATTGGAATGAGTTTAACTGGCAATGGTAGGACTCTTAAAAAATTGTATATATATTTTGGGCCATTAATTTTTACTCTTAGATTCACAGATCGCCAGTTCCCAGTGAATTTGTTTGTCTAATAATATTCGTTATTTTCAGGCACGAAATTTAATAAGCTGAATGCAGATGATCGGAATTCAAGTGATGAAGCTGAGAAAAATCGAGGTAAATCTGAATCAGCTGAAAAGACTAAAGTTGACAATCGCTCATCGCTGAGAAAACGTTTAAGGAAAAGGTCGAGCAGTTTCAGTAGGGAAAAAGAGAGGCGAAGAAAAAGGTCGGTCACATTTTCGTAATAAACGGACTATTGAGTCCTAATATCCAGAATTCTACATCCTGCAGCTTTAAATTGCAATGTTGGAACGACGAGGAAGGAAAAAAGAAAAAGAAGCTTGAGTTGTCTTCTGCGCCAGTTATTTTCATTATTGTGAAGTTTTTAAGAGTAATAGCCTTTCAAGAATCTTCGTCTAATTTTGTCTTTCGATGCGGCAGGAAATTTTTCTCCAGTTTTATATATAACCATATTTTTATAAAATTCATAATTTTCTTTTTAATTTCAGCGGAAGAAATAGCGTTTTTTTAAATACTTATATCTATGGTGCTTCAGAAGTCGAAGCTTTAAACGGCATTATTCACATAGTGGGAGCTCCGATGAGGAACGATCTGATAGTGCAAATTCTGATGATCGTCGTTCTCGTAGTAAAGGTTTTTCTGGTCAAAGAAGTAGAAGTCGAAGGCGTTCTCGGAGCAAAAGTTCTGGTCGTCGCTATTCTCGCAGTAAAAGTCCTGATTACCACCGCTCACGAAGTAAGAATCGGCATTCAAAAAGCTTTTCAAAAATGAATCTTCGGAAAGAGCATAGCTCTTTTTTTTCAAGCCGGCAGTAAGTTGTATTATCTTATGTAATTATTTGAATTAACAATTATAAAACTTTTGGGAATTAGTAATTCTTTTTCACAGTAGAAATGTAAAATTTATCGGTTCCTTTTAACTGCTAAAAGAAGTAGATTTAGCTCAAGAAGCAGAAGTAAATCAAGATCACCAAGTCGATATAGGAATGACTCCAGGCGTGAAACAAGGTATCGAAATAAAAGTTCCGTAAGTCCACGCAGAAAAAGATCAAGATCACATGATCGACGGTTTGTGCAGTTTAATTTTTTCTTAACCTCTTAGTGGGAAAATGGTGGGAAAATGAGTCATCTGGAGTTCTGCTATTTAATCTTCTCAATGAAAGTAAGAAAATAAAGTAATTTTAAGTATTTATAGGCGCAAATTGGTGAATGGTGAAGTTTTTAAGGCTTCATAGTAATAATAATAATTTCTTTTATTTGCTTTTTTCGTTGCCGTTAGGTTCCAAAATTTCAATTGCAGAATTATCTACTTTTATAAGTGTAATTTAATGAAATTTTGCTAATTTAGCCATTTTTCTCGTATTACTTTAAATTCAACTAATTTTTTAAATTTTTCTTTGGAGTAATGAAATCGATTTTATTAGAAGATCAAGCCGAGAAAAAAAGCGTTCTCGTTCTCCAATTATTCGAACTAAAAAATCAAGAAGATCTCCATCTTAATATATTTTTTATTTTTATGCAGATTTATATAGATTTAATGTACTGTTTTTTATCATTTATTTTATTTTTCCATTTATAAATAAGGTTTAATATGCTGAATACGACATTATTTTTTTCTGCTATTGCAGCAATATATGGAAACAAATTTATCTGTAAAGATAAGTTTTTGCAGATATTTTTAATTTGTCCAGTTCATTGAAAGCATTTATTAAAATTTATTATTATTTATTTGATACTTTTAAATTTTTTTTGTTGATTTTTATATATAATGTTAAGAAAAACTATTTAAACTTCGAAAAGAAAATTACGCTACGATGGGTAGGATAGCTGAAAAATTATACAATTTTTTTGTGAATCAAGTATTGACAATTTTTTATAATCTGTTTCATATTTTTATACAGATTTGTTGCAAAAGAAATCAGCACTCTTGTATTTTGTTTGTAGTTATCCAGTATTATTAAGAATGTGCGTTGTTCGTTATTCTTTACTGCAATAAATAAATTAAATTCCAAGAAAGATTTCGAGGAAGAATACTGCAGAGCAAATTTATTCACCAAATGTGTAAATAAGTTGAAATTTTCGATGAGTGAAATTTTCGATAATATTAGCTAAGCTCTTTAGTTAAGGTAATGAAATTTTCGCGACTTGATGGATGAGACGGTTTTTATTAACGTTGAAAATACCTATGAATTGATAGTTTTGAAAAGAGAAGGGTTCGTGAAAGAAAGATAACACGTTGAAGACATGAAATACGCCAAAAAAATAGTTTCGTAAAGGATTGCTCTTTATAGCAAATTTAATTGGAAAGGGGTGGATTTCGGAGGGCCATTGATGAAGAATAAGTTGGTTTTCTATTTCCAAATTTCAGGAAAATTCTGGGCAGCTGTCACATTCCTCCTTTCGTTTGAAAATTAGTGACTGGGTTCATCCATATGCACTGCTAATACCAACAAATAGAAGTGTAAAGGCGTTTATAGTAGCATATGGTACTATGTAAGACGTGATAAGCTTTGAAACATTCCAACAAATTAGCAATAGTATTGGAAGATGACAAATTATATGTGAATGTTTTCAACAGTCATTCATTAATTATTGAGCGAAGTAGGTATAGCACGAGAATGCGGAGGATATTTTCTTAAAAATTAGCGTCGTTATAACATTACATTGTTGATCGGCCGAGCTCGAGCTACACCCGCTGTTTGCTGAATTCTTTATCTATTCCTTCATATTTATCTCTTCCTGATTACACTTGCCACATACATATTCATTTCAGATACGAATCGGCTTCTTCATCGTCCATTCACAATACTTTTGAATTTATTGAGGAAGTCCACATCTGCTTATTGATAATATTGTCGTTCATTCACACCACCACCACCGATTTTATTTGACATATTTATTACTATTATTATTATTGAAAACTTTCGGTTTTCGATTTTATTAATTAATAATTTAATAAGAAAATATGAAATTGGCAATTTTATTAATATTTATTTTATTGACAAAATTTTTGGATTCGAAAAAACGAAACGCAAAACAAATTGAGAATACAGAAGAAAGGATAACAACGCGTCAATCAACATCTCAATTTTCCAAATCATCAAAACAAGTTTTTTTTAAATTTGTTTTTTGCAAAATTATCATTTTAATACATTTATATTTCTTTATGAGGCTAAAGCTTTTTCTTCAAACAGCGTGCAAAATTTGTAGTTTGGCTAGGATGAGAGATTTTGGAGGATCGTCCGCCCGGAATTAGGCAATTGGGTTGCAAACTGGCCGCCTGAATTGGCCCACTTTTATGTAAGGGAAAGGTTTATTGCCGCTGAGGGATTTTTTCTTTTGAATAATTAGGCGGAAAAAAGAGAAAAAAATAATTGCAAAATTTAAAAATGCCTAAAATTCGAATGAATAGTCGCCAAATGAAAAAAATAACGAAGTTCTGAAGCCAAAACGCTTCTAAATCCACTGATTGATGTTGGCTTGTTTGTCTCGCGAGGCTGCTGCTGCTGCTTCTCAGAGATTATGGTTGGTGGTTGGCCTCACGTACCCTTTCTGGCTGTGCCGAAGGCTGTTTTATGTAAAGTGAATTAGACGAATTTCATTTTTCAGCTTCGACTTTCATTTTTGCGAAAATTTTCAGAAAACATCAGAAAATGTTCGTGAAAATATTCCGCCAACATTAGCCAAAAATGAAGACAATACAATTGAAGATGTCGATGAAGATAAAATTGATGAAATTTTGCGCGATGCGACGAAAAATCTTGTTATTTTCTTCTGTAAGTTATCGTATATCGAGGAATTTATTTTCGTGAAATTGCTTTATTATATTTTTTTGTATTAAAACAAAAACTATCGAAAAATATCGATAAACGCCATAATTTAATTATGATCTGATTTAGAAGAAAACTGGAGTTCCATAAGTATTTCATGGTCCTTAGAAGAAAACTGGAGTTCCATAAGTATTTCATGGTACTTAGAAGAAAACTGGAGTTCCATAAGTATTTCATGGTCCTTTGAAGAAAACTGGAGTTCCATAAGTATTTCATGGTCCTTAGAAGAAAACTGGAATTCCATAAGTATTTCATGGTCCTTAGAAGAAAACTGGAGTTCCATAAGTATTTCATGGTCCTTTGAAGAATTGATATAGGAAAGAAAATAACCGTTATGCGAATTCCATTCGATTTTTGGACTGTGCTGCTTCGAAAATCCGAAAAGATTTCAATTTGATTGCAAATAAATAGATTTTTTCTTCAAATTTAAGAAATATGAGAGCACCCCTAAGAGTCAGTCAAACTTCACTTTTAACGAAAGGATTATTAGGGCGAACTTATCGAAAATCCACACCGTTGCCACATTTATAAAAAAAATCGAAGAAATTGCATAGAACTGGCCAATTTTATAATTCTATTCTAGACGACGGTCGCGTGAAATGTCCAGGTTGTGGCGATGCATTAAATGAAGTTGAAAAAATCGACGATGATATTGAAGCGACCGGATATATTCAGGTGCGTATTATATTATTATTTATCCGACTAGGAGAAATCTCGATAAAAAATTAAATAACATCTTCAAAGAATTAAAAAAAGAATTCACAATTTTTTAAAAAATATTTGATTGCTTCTTTTTTAAAAGAAGTTTGAACTTTTGGGTGATAAGAAGTGATAAGAAGAGATCAATCATCGGATAAGTTATCGCATATTGTCTTTTTTTTAGTAAGAAATATTTTAAAAATCCTTTTTTCGTCAACTATTTACTGAAATCCCTAAACGAACTTTTGTCATCTATAATTTTCGAGATTTTGCCTAAGTTTCGGCGATAAACTCTTTAATTCTTTGCCTTAGTTGTAATCCTTATTATTAAAAAGAGAATCCAAATACCTTTTCGCTTTCCTCGCAATTCAAATATAAAATACAAAATATACAAAATAAATATAAAATGTTTAGCGCTAATTCGTGAAAATACTATCATTTAAAAAATTCATTCGAAACTGATATCGTTTTATCTTTCATCTTTATTCTCTGATTTGATTGCCTTCACTGGCTGCTAAAGATAATTGAAAGTGCTTGACAGTTAAAATCATGGAAATGTTTATAGAACAAATAATTCTGCTGAATATTAATAATTTTATTTGTATTTATAAACCAAAAATATTGCTTAAATCTTGTAAATAATAATATTAAATAAATAAAACAATAATAACAATAACATACAATAATTGTCTCTGAATTTTTCACTTCCTACTTTTTTTGAAAGAATAAAGAAAAATTTGATTATGAATTGTTGCCTTAATTTCTCCTTTTTTCTTTTAAAAAAAGCATTCGAGAAAAAAATTTGTTGAAAGATTTGATAATTTTTATCAATTGCTAACGCTAATCACAATTGATAATGCCAAATCCTTCAAACAGTTATAAAAACATATATTCGATTAGTTAGGAATTCGAAATTTCAATATCCATAATAACGGCCTATGGTTTGTACGGATATTTTTTCCTTTAATTTTTTACATTGACTTCTTCTTAATTATAGAAAGAAAAAGGCCAAATCACATTCAATTTTAAGAATTTTAATTTATTTTTTTCATTTTAGACAGAATATAATTTTGTATGAGCATTTAGGTTGTTAAAACAGACGATCGTAGTGTAGCTCGTGAGCTTGGCGTTGCCACATTCCCGTCGCTTATCTATTTCAGGAGGAAACATCCTATTACTTACGATGGTACTCTTCCATTTTGTTATACATTTTATACATTTCGGCTTTTTTGCTACTATACTTTATCATATATTTTGACAAAATTGCTTTTGTTCTCCCTCATAAATGGGAAAAACCGAAACAATAGTATGAAATAACCAGTAGGTGCCTTCAAGGAGACTTCAAGGATTCTGAGGTAATTTTACGATGGCTTCGATCACACGATGAAGTTGTCACCTGGGATTTGACGGACGATAATTTTGAAGATAAAACGAGCAGCTATTCACCAGATGAAGGCTCACTGGATTGGTTTGTCATGTTGTGAGTTTTGATTGGATTGGTAATTAGCAGCTATTCCTTCAACTATATTTTTTATCAATTCATTTCTTTTTCTGAAATGTATTTCGAAAGATATCAATGAAATTTTTTCAGCTATAAAGCTAGCGATGCTGATTGCAATGCGTTTATTTCATCATGGGAAACTGTGGCTCACAGGTAATTTATCAATTAATTGCTTAAGAGAGGAGAATGAAGTGGTGTATTGCTTCGACTAAAACGGAAACACATCATGAATCGGATTCGTGTCTGACGCGAGCAAACCTCTCATTAAAAGTGAAATTCGGTCATTGCTAGAAATCTGAATGTATTTTTATTTCCAAGCATCACAGAAACCTTATAAATCAGTAAAGTCAGCGAATACTGTTAAGTGGTGATAATGACCAACTTACTGCGAGAACAATGGTAGTGGGTTGGCAAAGCTGTCCATCATGCTGAATTTTTGCAATAATTAGCGTCTTTTAATTATAATACATTTAGCAAAAAGATGCCTCAAATTTGAGTAGTTAAACATGAGTGAATTCTTGGAGATTACAATTATTTTACCTGTGGTGTTTAGATTACGTGGGCTTGTACACGTTGGTAAACTAGATACGTCCGTGAATGACGATGTCGCTGAACGATTTCGACTTGATGATGATCAGTGCCCGATCTACCTTCTGTAAGCTAGTATTTGGATATTTAATCTCCATAAGTTCCATAAGTTTTTCACAATTTTGTTCGAATTTCGCTGGACGAAAAATTCAGATTGCATCGCGGCAAAATTTATCGTTATAAGGATGCAGCGAAAGATATCAAGAGCTTAACTGCATTTGCGATGAGGAAATTCAAGGATCAACGGGGCCATCGAGTTCCTGAACCACCCACTGCACTTGAGCATTTTTATGAGCATATTAAAGAGCGGATTTTGGATATAATGGTTGGTTATTTTCGATCTTATTGTTTGTAGCAAAATTAACAATGTTTCTAATATTTCACTCATAGAAATTTGGATTTTTTCCTCCGAAATGAAGGATATTTATTTTATTTCTTGAAATCTTTTATGGTTGTTACGAGTTAAACAAGAATCAATCGGATATTAAAATTTGGATTGGGATAATATTCTATTTGCTGCCTCGATTCGCCATTACTATTTCATTATTTACGATAGCCAAGTGAAAAAAATGAAACGAATGTTAAAGTCCTAAACTCTCGGAACAAACTCTCGGAATTTTTTTTTAAATTTCTTTTTAAATTATATTTTCCAACGATTTATTTAAATCAACATTTCAGGATGATAGTCAAACGTTGTCAGTGATTGGCGTCGGTGGCCTTATTGTCATTGTTACAATTACTTTAGTGTTAAGTAAGAAGCAACAACAACAAAATATCGATAAAGTAAAAGCAAGTTGAAAAAATGAGAAGTTGAAAAAATAGATTATATGAGATTTTCAATAAATATTACGAAGACTGCTCAAATTATCAAAATGATCAATGAAATAATTTTTTATTTTTATTGTTTTTTAAAATGCCATTCGCCTTGTTAAACAGAACGAACAGCGAATGAATTTCTCGATTCCTAAATTATTTCCCAAACTTTAGTGGATGCTAAACATACTTCATATTTCTATTATCAAAAAACGTAATTTATTGTTAAGAACTGATGATTAGACGATGAGATTTTTAAAGCGTCGCATAACCACAACCCCGCATTATTCTGTTCTGTTTTTCAAGTTATATCTAAGATCGAAAAATTAATTACTCATTTTTTTTTTTTATCATGATCTGATTTATTATGAGATTATTTTATCTTTTGCATTTGTCATTTGTCAATGAAAGGGTTAATTGCATTGGTGTTAAGGCCTAACTTTTTAAAAAAATGTGCCGTGGTTCTTCCGTGTTTAGGTGATTTTCGAGATGATTTAAATAAACAGCAATATGTTTAGAAATGTTAATAAATGAATAAGTTCGAATTGCCGAGCTGATTTTATGGTTTCGATCTATTATGCTTATTGCCTAGAATAACCAAAAAATGAGCGAGGGGAGTTCGATAGAAATATTGGAACTATTAGTATAAAAATATAAACAAGAGATAAGGCAATACTCCTTCGAGTATTTTTATTTGGATTTGATCAAATTAATGAAATTCCTTTAAAATTTATTCGAGAAATTAAATCAGGTTAAGCTGAATTTTCTTAAATTTTTTCAGAGAAATTTTCGAATTTTAATTAAAAAATGAGAAAAATTAAATTGGAGATGGAAGGAAGTGGATTAGCACAGTGGTCCGCTTTTTTCATTTTCATTTTGAGAAAGTTCAGAGGCTCTCAAAAAGTGGTGCAGGCGAAGCAACACTTTTCTCGACTGGTGTCTCCTTGGTAAAATTTGTCGAATTCGAAGCGAGCGAAGCCAACCTAACCAGAAATGGTGGGCGCTCTTCACTTAACAACTTTTTTTAAATATGACTGACTTGGGAGATCGATGAAATTTCCCCATTTTACCAGGAAATAGTTATGAAATAAAATTTTGCCCATTGATTTCCTTTATATATTTAATCATCAACGGCCGTGCTCTGTGAATCTCTTGAATTCGATGTTGCGAAAGAAGCTTTTCTCCATCGAAAACAATTTTTTGGACAAGAAACTTACTGTCTAGACTTTTAATCAATTTATATATTATTAAATGTTTCTATAGTGATAATTCTGATTTCTACAGGATAAATAGTTCGCTGATCGAGAATTTGCATTAAAAAAGGATTATTTGTTGCCAAATGATTTTTTCAGCTAAACTTATCGCTTTTTTTAATAAAACTCCAGTTAAATAAAAACTAAGAATATTTAAATCTCAACAGGATTTCTTCTTCACCGAGCACTGTCACCAATGAGTCACTTGAGAACTTGAGTCATTTGAGCTATGAATTTATCAATAACAAGTGTCATTTGAATTTTTCAAAAAATTTTCGCTTCTGTCATACCGAGGAATAATATCTAAAATGATAAAATTGATAAAATGATAAAATAATAAAATGATAATAAAATATCTAAAATGACAAAATTGTATAATTGATAAAATTGTTTTATATAATTTCAAAACGAACATCTATCGAAATATCATAAAATAACATGCAAATTCGAAAAAAATCATTCATTTTTACTCGATTTTTGCAAATATTCTAAATTTTGCCATTATTAAAGAAGATGTTTATATTTTCAAATTCTATATTTTAAAATGGCTCGTTCTCCTTGTTGGCGTGGGTGCTGTGTTCACATTGCTACGAATTGCCAACTAAAAGAGGGCAGCCTGTCTGAATGAAATCCCAGTGGCTCACTGCTATATCTCTATCCTTTCCAAGGATTATTTAAATGTCTTATGTCAATCAACAAAAAGACCAGAAAAGTGTTATAAAATGATGTTATAGAGATAAAAAGATTTTTTCTAAACTTTTTTTTGAAACTTGGCAGATGAATAATTAATTTTATTAAGTAATAATTTAAATCTATCAATTTAGTAATAATTAATAATTCAGCATATAATCAACTGATAAAATTTTAATCGATTATTATTACATATTACATATATTAATTTTACTGTTACTATTATTAATGTTTATTGTTAATTATTATTGGTACTATTTTTTTCAGCTGGTGCGGGGGACACACGTAGTTCTGTCGTAAAGTAATCCTCTCGACTTAAAAAATTTCCCATCGTACTGCTGAAACAACTAGAATTGGCTACTTTTTTACGACCAATTATTATTGTTGTTGCGAGGAATCGCAATCAATTTTTTATGCCTTTTATGAATTATTAATAAATTTCTCAACAGGAAATAGCAATATTTAAGAAGCGATTAATTATGTTGCAAATGGTACCAATTTATTAAACCTGTTGAGAAATTTTTACTCCATATTTAGTTGGCATTGTCCATAACTTTCATAATAAGAATGATATTTTAAAAATTGCACAAAATTATATCAGCAAATATCAGTAAAACTAAAAAATATTCAATAAATGTTGTTATATAGAAAACGATTAAATTGGCTGCACTTAACGAATTAATATGAAATCCAACGTAAAACTCATGAAAATTCAGGATTTACGACTGAATATAAGGAGAAATGCGTGATTATTTGTGAATCGTTGAGAATCTAAGTGACAGCAATAAAGAAATGCCACGATGAACTATCGATTTTGCAAGCGTTGAAGGCCAAATGACCACCGAGCTCAGTTTTTATAGTTGTTGAATATCCATCCATCTGCTTAATATTAGTTCCCCTTATCTCCTTATCAAATATCTCCTTCACCAAATAAGATAAAACCACAATGCAAAAACTGAAATTCAGCCTTGTTGAAATTCAAATGAAATCAGATAAATTTAGGGAAATAAAATTTTATTAATAAAAATTTATCGTTTAGTTCGATCCTTAAGAGCATTAAATTTTCAAGTCATTTTTCGCAGAAGCGTTTCATATATTTGTTTATAATAGGTAAAAAGAGCGAAAATGATGCAAAGCCGACGTGTTGGCGTTAAAACCAACAATAACCGACCGTGCAACCAACCACCCAACCAACCGTAAACCATAAACTATAAAAGGGGTGATAATAATAAGAAATAAGCAAAGCAAAGGCGACAAGAATGACGACAATTTTCTTTGAATCTCAGATTTTTTTAGTAATTTGCAGATATTAACTATGGCGCCATATTGGTTTCTCGGACTAGGAAATGATACAGCGATAGAGACGGGAAGGAATGAAAAAATGAGGCGATTGGAGCAAATTATTGGTGAGGAACGACGATGGTGAATGGAGAAGGGAGGAGAACTGTAAAGCTTGGCGATATCGCAAGCACTGCTTAATTATCGATAGTGCTTGAAAGCTCTTATCGATGGCTCACAATGGCTCGTTGTTATCCAACAAAACGTAGAATAAGGCCCAAGATGGAATAATGCAAATGAATTAGAAGAGCTATAAAATTAGCAAACGTTGCAAGAAATATCTAATATACAATTGCTATTGCAAACGGAGAACGCCAATATTTTTTGTCCAATTTTCCATCACTAATCCTAGTCTGCCACGATTTCTTAAATTTCCTCTTTTTTTCCTAATAATATTCACGTTTCTGGTTTAGTTGGCCGCAGTAATTAATATCGTGAGACCCTCTCGTAAATCATTTCTAAATGGATATTTAATTGGGTAACGAGCAGCAATCTGTATTTTACCTTTAATAACAGGTTTATTCCCCTTAAGAAACTGGAATATAACGCATGTTTGCCGCAAAATTTTTTAATAATCAATGTTCATCTTCAATTTTTCAGCGTATTTTGCTTCTATCCATATCTTCCACGTTATCATGATAACCACTTTATCATAGTATTTCGCTTACCGTAGTTACGATTAAATTATTAAATTGTTTATTAAATTTTCTTTTTTTTTCCTACTTCGTCTAATTTGATATTTTCAAGCAAAATCGATTGAAGTGTTTTTCTGTTTGTGCTAATTTTTCATGGATCGTAATTTTTCCCACACGAATTTTTTGACAAATTCTCATTCTCATCCTTCTTCGCTAATTTTCGGCCATTATTAAATGTTAATGCAGAAGCATCGAAAATCTCGCTGAAATTCAAAAAAATAACAGTTGTCAAGTCATAAGTCAATTTACTGGCACTGACAAACTTTTAATGATCCATTCACCTTTATTTCATTTTTTGCTAAATTCCTATTTTATTATTCGATGTTTAGTATTTATTTATTTTAGTTATTAACGATTAATAAATAATGGCTATAATATATAAAATACAACAATTTCGAAATAATAATAAACCATTGATTAATAAAAGATCAATCACAGTTTTCACATAAATATTTATCAGAAATGATTAGAAATTCGATTAGAAAAATCTTTTTGGGATCAGAACTGAGCGGAGAGTATACTTATACGTATACCCAACCCATAGTTATGTTGGCGAGTGGAAAATTTGTCTGGCCCGACGAGCAACCAGCCGAGTGAGCCTAACGAACTATAGTGAGCTCTCCATTTGTGGCTAGTTCCGCCGAAATTTTTTTTGGCGAAGGGATCGCCAGTATCACGTGGATCGTGTTTTTAGGTATACTTCTGCCGGGCGTGGAACTTCAGCATCAGCGCTCCGAACTGAGAAAACACCCACTGAGCTATTCGACCTCTTTTTGCTTTTGCCGTTTGATGACCGATTGTTGCTCGACAAAGGGTAACGCGTCGGTCGAATTCGAATCCGAGCCAATCAGGTGGCAGTTATCTTGCCATTAAGCCTCCGACTCTCGTTTAAATTAAATCGAAAACTTTCATCGTAATTGGGCTAAGATTTGAACTTCGTATGGAGAAAAAAGTTGAAAAATTATCATAAAAGCATAAAGAAAAAAATGCTGAAAATTTTTGGGAAAATGAGGTTTTTTAAATTTAGATACTATCTGGGAATGGTAGATTCGCCAGTAGATGGATGATAAGCCAATCTTCGACGATAAAAGCCATTTATCCGATCCAATAATCCAATAATTTTGAAAAAAATTACCCTTGAAGGAAAAAATGGAAATAGAATGGAATTTACTCTAAAAAATAGATATATTGGAAAATGAATTTAATGTAATAATATAATATTTCGAATTTTAGCAGTTGTAATAATCAATGATAATTGATAATTTATCTTTGATGCAATAGAAGGTAAAATTTTGCTGAGACTATAAATTGAAAATTTATAAGAATTTTTAAATAATATTTTTTGATATATTTTTATATATTTTAAATAATATTTTTTGATATATTTTTATATTTTTATATTTTAATAGTATTTTTTGATATATTTTTATATTTTTTTGAATTTAATGAAATATTTTTATATTTTATAATCTCTCTTTTTAATCGAAACTGCAAAAATTAAACTATCTTTTATTAAATTCTATTTAGAATTTAGGAATTCTATTTAGGAATTAGAAATAAAGCCTAAGCGTTTCGCGATTTATAATTACTGCTATTCTGAGTAGTTTTTTTTGCAATTTTTAAAATACTTAGGAGAGTATGAAATAAAGAATTAAATTATTATTAATATTCAGCTATTGGTTATTGGTTATAATAATTTCTATCATGCAATTACAGAATTTTTCATTAAAATCTTCCAAAAATTGTCTTATTTTCCAGAAATTTTATCAATCTTCTTTTGATTGATGAAATATTTTTTATATAAATAAATTTAGTGCAAAATAAAAGAAAAAATTAAATGATTTTTTACACTTTTTTCCGATAACTTGTTTTGGCATGGTTCGGTTTAAGTTGCATTTGCATTCACCTTCAGCATTCAACGTGAAAGGAATTGAAAGCCAACGAGCAATAGGCCAGTTGATACGCGACTGTTTTGTTGAGAGGCGCGGCTCCTGCTCTGCGCGAGATGAAGCCTGTCCGAGCGATTTTGGCGACCCACTTATATTCCCATCGCCAGACGACACTCCACATTATCAGCTAACGGAGAGTCGAGCCAGAATCTCAGACATTAAAAGTTTTTCAGAATTTCTTGTAGTTTTTAAGAAAATAGCGAGGCGTAATTGATTAAATTTCTGGACGACAATATTGCTTAAAAGCGAGTCATTCATTTCAAAAGGAAAAAAACGTGAAATTACTCGTTTATTTTCTTTTTTACGGTTTTGTTCAATTAAAACAAAAATTAATGTTTTCTTAAAAATTTTATTCGGTGATTTGGAGACGATTTTTGGTGACTTGGAGGTGGTTGGTGATTAAATTGCTTGGCGTTTTTGAATGATTAGACGATTCGATGACAACCTGGCGGTGCTAAATTCTTCCATAAATTCGTAATTTATGCAACAAAAAAAAATTATTTCATGATATCGCAATTGTTTTTCCATCATATTTCTTACTTATACTTTTTATCTATTAAAAAAATTTAAAATTTAATATTTTAATAATAAAATTTAATATTTAATATTAAAATTTAATTTTATCGGCAAAAAAATTGTTCTATTTATTATAAAAGTTTGTGATTTTAATTTTAATTTAATACTTTAATAAAATTATTTTTTATTCATTTTTCCATAAACTTTTTTGAAATATTTTTTTTTCATTGTAATGAAGAAAGTTGATTAAATTTTTACTTTCTTTCTTCATTCAAATTATTTTTAAAGAAGTTTTTTAATTTTTTTTATTTTTAATTGGATTGATTTTCGATAATTTTTAAATATTTAAAAATATTGCTATTGAACGATTATAAACGAGTCTCATAAATTTTATTCTAAATAATTTCCTTCTATTCGAATCGATTTTAATTTTATTTAAATTTTTTAAACAAAAATATTTCAATTTTTGCGATTGCCATTAGGCAGAAGCTGTCGCTCGATCTGACCCTTTCTTCAGCTAAATATATGCTCGCGCAAACAATTGCTGAATGGTATTTGCTTCCAAGAAGCCACTGTAGTGCAGACTCGATCGAACGTGTAGCATAATCTGTCGTTTGATCGGCAGAGTGTTGGCGATCCAGGATAACTCCTGGCGACTCTCTGGCAGAGCTATCTCGTCCTCCTAGCCTGTGGAACCTGAACTTAGTTAGAAATGGTGAATAGTAAACTCGCAATTATGTTCGTTGGTTTTTTTGCGCAAAATGATATCTCTTCAGTAATTGCACATTCATGGATTCAGTGATTACAAATTTACTGCGGTGTATTCTATTGCGGTGTATTCCATTTATTGAAAAGTATTCAGCTGCAATAAACCATAATTTTAAATTTTCGGGTCTTTAGACGAATTTATTTTTATTCCGATGGTGGATGAAAATTAGTAAAATATAGTAGTATGGGAAAAGACAGAGAAAGAAAAAAATCAGTTGAGATAGGCAGAAAAGGGGAAATAGAACATGGAGCGGTAGGAGAATTAGAGAAGAAGAGAGTAAGAACACCGAAGAAAATTCAAAGAGAGCTTCGAGAATTAGTTTGTGAAAAGAGACAGAGGAAGGTGAATTCGGTGCATTTTTCTCGGCTTTTTTTTCTTTATCGCTTTGTATGATTAACCTTTGACCCTTTATTATGCGGGGGGGGGGGGGGGGGGCGAACCTGCTTCTTTTCGCATACTCTCTCCAGGTTCCTTCCAGGTCAGCTACCCTTCTTCCTCGAATCTATTTCAAATATTTGTTTTTGCTTTTTAACCCATTCAGTTGTTTTTCGATTATTTTTTTTAATTTTGAAAATTTCGGAAAATTTTGCAGAAAATTAAACTTATCAATCCATTGGAATTCGTTTTCTGCATAATATTTCTTATTTTTTTAAAATTTTTTGCACAAAGTAAAAATGTATTTTATAATCGATGAAATTTGTTTTTTTTTTAAATATGCAAATTCCTTATTAAATTTATTATATTTGATTTCTGCATTAATTTTTTTACAGCTTTTTTATATCGTTTTAAACCAGTCAATTGAGATGAGTGACCTCGTTTGACCTTTTTTGCAATTTTTGACCTCTTTAAATTTTTTGCAACATTTCAGCCCCGCTTGACCTTTTTTAACATGTGCTTTCGCCACATTTCATATGATGAACTTCGACTTCTCGCGAACTTCTCACTTTAACTTAATCCCATTTATTCTTTTATGTTTCGTTTATTGGCTTTTTTTATTGTTTATCATTTCATTTGAATGTTTTCTCATCGGAAATTGATAACAGTTTAAGTGATAATAAATTGCGTTCTTACATGAATATTTTAAACATTAAGTATTCAAATATTTGGTACTGGTAATTAATTATTTGATCATTTCCATTATTCCGATAATTTCAACATTCCATTTCTTTTTTTAATTTAATGGGAAAATTTTTCAGATTTCGCTGAAAAAATTGGTTTTTTTTTTATAACGATAGAAATAAATATGATGAGAAGACAAGGACGTATTAATGATATTCCTCGATTACGAAGAAATATTAAAAATCGTGTTCGATTCGGCGACACTCTATCATATGGGTTTGTCTCTTTTTTTTATTTAAATTTTTCAGATTTACTTAAAAAACTGAAAATAGCAGAAAAAGTAAAAAAAGTAAAATATTTTATTTATAAAGAAATAATTACAAAGAATTGTTAAAAGAATAGCAAAAGAATATTATATCTGTTGGTGTGAACACGTGAGATCGCAGCTTAAAATAATTTCAGACGATTCATCGCGGCAACATTTTTCTAGACGATGAGAAAGTTAGGTGAACGAACAAATCACATAGGACTTTCAAACTTAAACCTATTTCATAATATGAGCAGGAACAGAGTAAATTGATGGCTGGAAAATTGAGGGTAACTTGTTTCGAGGTGTGAAAAGAATTAGAAGTGCTGCTGCTATTCAATGAGCAAAATGGTTAACGCTCACGACCTCATGTATTCACACCAATCGGTGTGATTTTCCTTCGCTATTCTTTTTTGCTCCCATTGTTGGCTATTATGCTGGGGATTAAAAATTTACGTCAAGGACTCATTTGGCGATAAGAATGGAGATGGTTCGCCATCTTTATTCTGATTTTTTGGCAAATTTTTTTTCTTAGGATAGAGTCGAACGATTGACTTATCAAAATACTAATCAAAATAACTAAATAAATTGAACTACTACTCACCCAGCCATGCTGCTGTATGAGGGAAATATAATGTTTATTTAACATGTGATCAAAGTGGTGATGTTACATTTATATCTTCAATATTAAGATATATTTTTATATCTTAATATCTAACTCTTTTAAAAATTTTAAAACTATTTTGTTTAATGTCTAAATCGTTCTAAATAATGCATCTGAAACTTTTTTTATTCCCTTTTATTACCTGAAATTATCGCAATTTTAAATTTTGAACTGCTTCTGCCACACATATCATCTACATATTTACATACCCACAGACATATATTCCAGCAAATGGATGTAGACATAGATGCGCACATGCATTTACGCAAAACTTTTCATGCACATGTTTTATTTCGTTATCCAAAATCGTATTACTAACTGTATTGCACTATATATATTTGTGGGTATTTGTAATTCGATTTGCAGATATACAAATGGTTTTGCATACGTAAAATTTATTATAATTTGGTTATTTTGTATTATGATGGATATAATCATTGGTTTTCGGTTTGAACTTCTTTATCCAATTTGGTTGATAATTCGCTATATTTATGATTCGTGTAAATTTAAAGGAATTCTTAATTCATTTCATTCACCCGTTAGTTTTCTTTGATTTATTTCGATATGATTATTTCATGAAAGTAATATATTGTGTGAAATTTATGATAAATGATGAATTAATAAAAAAGTGATATTTGAAATTTGAAATCTGCAGGCATTTGTGATATTTTTTGTATTTGCAACGGCGGTTGCTGATTTTATCTGCTATATATTAATTCCGGTGCAACTGATATTGTTTATTGCAAGTTCATACGTATGGTTATATCTGATATATCAAATTGGTATTTTTTTTCGCAATTTAGTGATTCGATTGAAAAATCTTAAAAGTTCGAGAGAGAGAGTACGTAAGAAAGTTTTCGTAGTATTTTGTTTTGAAAATATGAAAATATTTAAATATTTTCACTGATAGTTATATTTTTCTCTGGAAATTACTCAATTATGCGACATTTTTAATTTTTTGGGAAAAAGCAGTTTGGAAAGTATGTAAATTAAATAATGGCTATTGTAATTTTCAAATGGAATATTGATTTTTTGCGTTCAGTTTCTGCTGTACTATACTGTGGAAAAACTTAGTGTATAAAAAAGGTATAGATGATTAAGGATACTACTAGACTATACGATTTGTCAGCACATCCGAAATAAAGCATAAAAATTCCATCTTTATTATTTTTTCTTTTTTCATTTTTTTCTCGTTAATTGATTTTTAATGTAGCTTTTATATAGCTCTTCAGAAGTTTGCCAATGCTTAATTTGGTTTGTTCAGTAATTTTGAATAATTCTCAACGATAATAATAATAATCAGAATAATTCTATTGCAGAAATAATTCAGCAGCTTTAAGAGTGAAACTAATTTTTTTCTTTTATTCTGAAATTCTTTTATGTTAGGGCGGTTTCAGTTTTTATCGACATCATCAGTTTTTATATTTTATGGATTTTTTGATCAAGGAAGGTGTTGGTGTCGGATTATTTTATTATTATATAATTTAGGGTTTTTTGTATGGATTCATTATATATATATATATATATATATATATTTGCAGCAGAACGGGGACTCGGTACTAGTCACTTATTAATATCTTTTTTATTAATAATTCTGGAATATAATTGGCGATATCGAGGTGAATCATTTTTCGCACCTTTTCGAGGAACAGCTCTTGGTTATTTGATCAGTTTGTTTGTTGGCAAGTATTTTTTGTAAACAGTGAAAATACTGAATAAAGTTTTGATAACTTTTTATAAACATTAATTTAAATTCATTTTTTTTATTATTTAGTTTTTTATGATGGAAAATAACTGAATGACTTAATTATGACTTAATGACTTAATGTATACTTAATTTTCATTGATATTATTAAGTAACCATTTTACCTTATAATTCTGGTTCTTTTTTATTTTAGCCCATGGGTTTTATCTTTTAATTTGTTTGGCTATGTTGGTGTGTAATACCAAGCATTTATAATCTGTCTGCCTCTTACATTCTTTACTCATTAATTTATAAAATTTTAAAGTAAATAATTTATTATTGAATTAATATGTCCGCAGGTGATTATGTAATGGATGGTCGAGCTCAACATTTATCATCAAATGGTTTTTGGATTAGTTTAACAGCCGTTTTTACGAATACAGCTTCATTTTCATATAGATTTGGTCGTCCTTTCGCTGCAAATTGTATTGGATATCCAGTTATTACCTTCGTAAAAAATGTTGCTGTACAAATTAGGTAAGGGGAATAAAATTTTTTTTATTTTTCATCTTTTTCTTTGTCGCAATATCCTTTTCTTTCTTTTCAGTTTTACAGTGTCATTATTCTTTATCATTCAGTATTCTTTTTTTATCATTCTGGTATTTAGTCAATGGCGCATTAAAAAGCGACAAAGAAATGTGCGATGTGAAAATAGAATATTTTCACGTTTACTTACCGAAGCGTTACCTGGTCCGGGTTATGATGATTCAAATCATCTACTAGCAGTTGAAGAAGATTATGGCGCTAGTGGTTTGTTCAAAAAGAATAATTTCCTAGAAATTTTCTCTGCTTGGAAATAATCTTTATATAAAATCACCATCACTATTCACCATCACTCATCTTTGCTGCAATTCATTACAGATTTAAAAGAAAAATTATTATATTATTCCTTAAATCACTTTATTTAGATGATGAATCTGAAATTTTGGCTTCACAGCAAAGTTTAGCGGTAATTCCATCTCCAAATTCAGCTGGTGTGCGGAAAGTTTCTAGAGATTCCAATGGATTGCGAAAAAGACATACTGGTGCTAGTAGACGAACTCTGACGATCAATAATGAGCTACCTGCTCGAAGAGATGCTAATATTTCCGTTACTAATGCCGATGATGATCTCGATAGTACTGGTAATTTAATTTTGGAATTCACTAAAGATATAAGAAATGAAATATGCAGTGGTTCTGAGTTGGAAACAAGCCAATAGGCTTTTAATATTTCAAATTTTAATTTTAATGGTTTCTATTAAATTTCAGCTTCCACATTTACCAGTACACCTCGACTGAATATATTGCGTTTGCCATGGTATATAATTTGGAGTGCTATCACTTGGCTTTTGAATGGCATTGGCATTGAAACATCATATTTAGACGATCGCATATCTTTATCATCGAATGAAATTGATAGTGATGATGACATTATTGAGCATTACGAAATATATCAACAGGCTGTATATAATGCACCAAATCTATCTTCAAGTCGAGTATCTTCAAGTCGTCGTGTCAGTCTTTCAAAGAAATCTAAAGGTTGTTTTTTCACGAATTTTTGATTTTTTTTCTAAATTCATATAATTTATGTAATTTAATTTTAATTTTACAAATAAATAACACTTCTTGTGTTCTATTTATATTATATAATGATATAACAACTTTATAAATTTTATGAATATAGTATTAGAAGCGAAATAAGTCCATAGTGAATTTTTTCTAATTCTAAGAGTTGTAATGAGAAATTTAAGGTATTTTTCTTGTCTTTTCCATTTTTGACTTTCTTTTTTTTTGCCAGTATTAAATTTCTTAGAAATCTATTTTTTAGCCACAAACTCGGTCAACATTAGTAATTACACGAGGGTTCGTCCAACAACAACAGCGCGAGCTCGGGGCCGTTCTTCACGTGATCCTTCTGATTGCATGCTTAATTCTAATTCGCAGTTGCAAGCATCTGATTCTATTAGTATTAGCAATAATTTACTGAGCATAGCTGTTGCATCTAATGATCGACAATTATGTACGACGACAGCAAATTTGAATATTTCTGGAGAATCTGGAGGCGATATAGATGTGTCCGTCGATCCAAATAGTAGTATTAGTGCAATAACAAATATTGATAATTATGTGTCCGTTTTTATTGTCTTTTTTTATCCTTTTTACATTAGTGAAACACCACATTATTTTTTCCTGTTTTTTTAATTTTGCTAAAAGATAACTACTATTTATAATGAGCAAATTCATTTAAACCCTAGGCATCCTATTATGAACTTCTCGATATTTATGGATTTGCAATGATTTGGCACAGTAAAGACTTTGCATAATTGCAGATCGATAACAGAGCATGAAACATTACGGGATGAATTGCGAGTTACTCGTTCTAAATTAAATGACCTACGTAGTCAGTATCAACAAATAGTTAATTCGGAAAAGCAGTGTAAGAATGATTTATTGCAACTGCAAATGAAGCAAGCGGAAACTGAAGCAAAGTAGGAAATATGAATTTAAATTTTATTTGTGTTCGACTTTTAATAAAGATAGTTTTTAATCGATAAATTTTATATTATCTTGAATAAATAAAAAGATAAAATTCAACGCTTTTTAGAAGAAGCAGTTCTGAATGAATTTTTTAAAATCAATTTTTATTTCGAAAATTTTATTTCAGACTTCAAAGTATGACAAAAGCACGTGAACAAGAAAGAATAAGAACTGAAAAGCGTTTCTTTGAGATGCAAAGAAAGAAGATTGAGCTAGAGAATCAGCTAAATACCGAAAGACGTGATATCGAAAAGATGAAAGATGAAATGGCCAAAGCACTTGCTGCAGTGCAGTCTGCCAAGTAAGTCTTAGTCATCATCATCTTTTTTGCTGCGTATGCCTTTTACCATTTATATCTGCCTTTTTGTCTTTATTTTTTAAAAATTTGGTATAATTGTGCACATAAATTTCGCAGAGTAACAAATAGAAGAACTGAGGGTAGAAATTTCTTTTAACCTTCTGGATTGTCATTTTCAACGAAATACAAATTTTTATTTTCCGAGGTATTGCTCTTCTTTGCACTCCTTTATACTCCTCTAAGTAATTATCAGTTTATAGAACTAATTTGTTTGTTTACACAGGAATGCTGAATGTGGCGATGCTTGTAAAACAAGAAAAGCAGAAATTGAACGAGAATTGCCTATGTTGCATATGAACATAAAATCAAGAGATGAACGAATCTGTGCCTTTGAAGAACAAATCCGTGAATATAAACAAAATAATGAGGTTCTTTGGCTTATAAGAATTTTATATTTATTAGTCGTTTATAATATAATCGATTATTTGTTATTACTTACATCTTTGCCTTTCAAAAATTTTAATTTAAGTATTCATTTTAGAATCTACACAGCAAAATTGGTGAACTTCAACATAAAATTACTACTCTTGATTCTTCACTAAGAGAAGAGAACCGTTTCAAACAAATGTTGTTTGCTGATGTCACCGATAAGGGTCAACGGAATGTAGAACTTGAACGTTTGTCTTCTGCTAAATTTGTTAAGATATATTGCCGAAGTCAATTTAATTGCCTTACAATATCGAAATTTTATTTTTAGGTCAGCTTAGAATGAAGGAGCAGGAACTATCTAAATTACGTCACCTTTTCGAGGCATATCGGGTGAGTGGTGATGATGCGTTTGAAATATCCAGATCAGGATCTCATTCTCAGTCTGATGTAAAAATAATTACGACAACTTTCTTTCTTATGGATTTTTTTTTATGCATTTTAAAAATATATACTAGCTATTATTTAAGCTATTATTTTTATTTGGCTACTAATTGAAGTTTGCTTGAGATATTTATTTAGTTTATTCACCTTTCATTATTAAAAAATGTTAATTTTAATCAATTTTGAACTTGCAGATTTCATCTCTCTTATCCAATAATCTCAGGTGTGCTCCATCACCAAATTCGTTGCGCATTTCCCCAGTTGTGAATGGAGTGAGTGAACAGTTAAGAATGCCTGGTGAAAACGTTGAAAATATGTTATCTGCTACCACAACTAGTTATCTGTAAGTTCTGTCAAGCAATGTTGCTCGTTCGTGATTATTCCTGTACATTCCACTGAGAATATTCTAGTCAAATTGTTTTTTTAGCCCTTATCCATTCGGCGGACAAACAGTGACAACAGCGAATGATCGCATGTTTTTTGATGCAATAGTAAGTGCAGTACCACATAATATGACTGCAACAACATCCTCGAATTCTGTTAGTCCAACGTTGTCGGTAGTATCAGGTTCAGGATCAGAAAATACTCATTATATTGATATTAGTAATAAATTTACAACAAATACGACAAGTAGTGCAAGCGTTAGAAGCACATAAATCAAATTTTATTACTATAAGGTATTACCATTGTTGCCAAGATGCTATAATTATTTTATAACATAGTTCTTGTTGCTTCAGATCATCTTGTCATCTTGCTTGCCATTCAGTAATCCGCAGTCTATTCATTAATTCTAAATATTCATTGATTTTAAAGTTAAATAGTGGTGTTTAATTTTACTTTCTCTGTGGTTTATGTGTCGTTTAGAATCTTGAATCCTGTTAATCCAAAAGTATCTTCCGTCTTTCATTTTAATTCACCGTTCTTGGGTCATATCAATGCACACTTAATTAAGACTTTATTAAGTTTGCATTTCCTAAAGATTATACAGGATTTTTTTTTAGTAGATATTCCAATTCCCTTATATATTTTGCGATAATTTCGTCGATGATATAAGCGACTATAAGACGTGGCATAATCATTTTAAATTTTAATCTTTTGTTGAATTATACGTTAAGCTAGCTAAAATCAGAATTCCTAGATACCAAACAAAAATTTCTTATTTAGGACCATAGTAAATTGCTAACTGGTAGCCATATTGGTACTGTATTATTTGGAAAAAAATATTTCCAGTCATTTAAAATATCTATGTTATTATTATTATTCAGTTTACTCTACCAAATTTATGGTGTCCGTATGTATTGACGTTTATTTGTATTGTAATGTACAGTAGCTATTAATATAATGCAGTTCATTCTGCTTATGGTTTTTTTCTGGATCTCCTATTTTTTTACTACAGTTTGTTGTTATTTTTCATTCTTTCACTACGATTTTTGTATCGCCAAAAAGTTTTTCGAGAGGTTTTTCGTCACTTTTGGATTTATGGTTGATAAATGGAGGGAAAACTGAATGGATAATGAATGATTATAAATAAACTTTCTGCATATTTTGTTGCTTTAAAGATCGGTTTAAAAATCTTTAAAATTTTTCCCTTTTTATCTCTTCCAACTGTAATTTTATTTATCACGTAATAATTTTGATAATTATGGATTTCTGCTGGATAGAAATTGCTTTAAAATGATTCGCATCCGACCAGTACAAAGCAAAAATGGCGATGGTTTCTATATTTAAGATTTTTTTAAATATTAAATTTTTTAAAAAATATACTCGATTAATTTAATGTTTATTTTATTTTTTTAAGAACAAAATTTTACATTGAAAAAAATTGTTTTATGCTAATTTTATTTTATTTACAGTGGTAACTTACAAGTAAAATCATTAATGAAGTGAATCTGAAGACCATTAAATAAAACCGTAAAAGAAATGGATGCTACCGCAATCTAACGAATTGAAGCTGGAATTCGTCAATATTTCTTCAGTAAACATTTGAATATTATGTAACAAATATACATGGAGATTATCTCTGATTCGATTGGTGCCGTACTATAGTTTTAAGTTTTGGTACCACCAAGTACTGTACAGGTATTGAAGACTAAGATTCCTGAGGCATACAAAGAAATAAGCCAAAGAAATATCGCCGTTTTATAGCTAATTATCTCGTCTGAAAAAATATCTAAAGTTTACCGACAATTTAAATAATGCCTCAGAAAATTCATGTTTTAACTATTAACTAGGTGTACGCGCATTCGTTGCCCATGAAATCGTTTTACCTCTTCCACAAGCTCAATTAAATTTCTGTCGCTTAAATTTTTCATACGTCGATCGAGATTCCTGAAAATTTAAATTTCTATTTCCAGACTTCATTTCATCCTTGGGATTTGTGAAATTATCTGATTATCTGCAGAGTTAACTAAAATTAATTTATTAGTGAAGCAGTATTGAAAATTAATGGCCCAAAAATTGTTATGCAAATATGTAGACAGAAATAATTTATAAAGTTCCTAATTATATAGTTTACTGATGATTTGACTCCCCAGCAATCACTTAGATTTCATTTTTAACGATCGGTCAAGGAAGAGGAAATCTAAACCATGGTGAAGAGATATATTCAATTCTCGGAAATTCTTTTTTTCTCGAATAATTTGGCTATAGAAGTAGGGGTGAATCACCAGAAGCATCCAGATATACCAAAGTACTTCTGCCCAAGAGCAAAACGTTAGCATCGGTGCTTTGAAGTGAAAGTAGCAACCAGTCGAGCCATCCTATCCAATGCGCTACGATTGTATAAATATATTCTCGCTGTAACTTTACCTGTATTCATCTTGTTTCAAAAGTTCTTCAACATTCACTAATTCGTCGGTTCGTGATGAGAGTTCTGCCAATGTCATCGATTTCATTACTGGTAAATTGAAAACAATAGCAAGAAATAACAAATCGAGTAGTAGTGAAGTTATAAGGTCCTTTTTCTGGAAAAGTGGTTTAAGTGGCCAAAAAATATTTCATGGAATTCGTCTTTTTTAAAAGAACGATTTTTTATTCATTTTGAATTTTTCCTTAAAAAAATTTTGAATTTTACTAGAAAGAAAAAAATCAAACGTTATTAAGTTCGCCACATAGATATCTTTCACACGCTCGTTTAAGAACGGGTAAATCGTTAAGTTCGGCATCGATAAGGAAATCCGCAAAATCTTCGACAAATTCCATCTCAGGCAATACGATTTTATTAAAATACATATTAGCTAATAACTAAAATTAGCAAATTACACCAAATTATCACCAACTTTATATTTTTAAATCACGCAAAACTTCCTCATGGGCGTCTTATATTTATTTTTTATTTTTTAGATTCGCGAAATTATCCGAGTCACCAGAATCATCTGGATTATTTTTTATAGTTCAATCGTTTAGAATATGGTGAATCCATAACGAATCCTTACACCATTTAGATCATTTAAATTATTTTTATAATTTATTATATTTGATTATTTATTTAAATTATTATTGTCTTCTTTAAATATTATTAAGCCGAAATTATTTCTAGAAATTATTATCAATAATTATCAAAAATTATATTATTATTATATTATATAAAAATTGTTAATTATATTAACAATTTCAGTAAATTGTATCAATAAATACACCGCATTAAGCACATTCCTCCGGTTTGCCGCACCAGAAAAATATGCCAGGATCTCTTGGCCATGAAAATACGCATACGTGAGTCACCAGCATACCGGGTTTCTGGACTCCTATCGCGGTTGGAAGCTTATCATCGGAGCTCTAAATTGAGCAACAACCCACTGACTCATTCTAGTCTCTTGTTTTTCTCCCTTAGGCCATCCGAGTCGGCGGATGCGAATCCAAATCTCGGTTGTAATTATCTTGCTATTGAACCTTCGATGTCCTATATATCAATAAATAATTATTCAAAGTCCATAAAAAGTTTACATCATGAATCTTTTCCTTATTTTCCTCAGCACATTCGAAAGCATTTTCATCATCCGAATCATCAGATTCTTCCTTTTCTGAAATCGTTAATGAAGCTCGCTTTTCACAACCTTCACAACATGCTATTAACAGTTTTTTGAATAAATGGGAATTTGCAAGTCCAGCATGAAGACTGAAATCGTTTTTGAAAAATTCAAGAATAAAATGAAAATATTAATATTTAATAATTATATATTTTTTAAATTTATATATTATATTTTTTAAAACATTTATTGCCAATAAATTTAATTATTTAAGCTTAATCTCTTCTTTTCGTAGTAATATGGATCTTCGCTGATTTGTCTGGCTCCATTGATGAAAATAAAAATAGAAACCGTTTCGCCGGAGAGTTACTTAGAGGAACTGATGGATCTTTCCCCAATATTCGCTTATATTTATATTTCGTTATACTTTTAACGATATTATTTTACTTCAGGGGCAGAAATAATACCTGACTGTTCAAAATGTGAAAATAAATTTTACCCAATTCCTAATTCATCACATTCACATTCATTCTCATGCTTCATTTCTTCATGATTCTCACATTCCCTATATTGCTCCAATTGCTCACGTTCTTGCTCCATTACTCTATTGAAAATAGCAATATAATCATTCTTTTGGCTTTCTGAAATAGTTCCATTATGATCTGAATCATTCGGCAAGCTTTTCGACCTGAAATGATTTCGACATCGTTAAGCCAAACTGAATAAGGCAAGCTCTAGTATCAATTATTTTATTCCTTAGATCCAAATTTATATCTTAAAGTGTTATTTATGGAGTTCTTGCAACATATATTGCGATTAGATTTAAAACATTATCCAACTGCAACTAAAAATGGTCGAATTATTAAAAAAAAATTTACTGTACCAATTTAATTTCTTATTTTGCATAAAAATTTCTGTTTTACAGCTAGAAAATTTACAGATTCGATTTTGATTCGATCTTGTTTGACTAAATAATTTTTGGCAAAGAATTGATGGAATAGCGTACTTCCGAGACTTTCTTCGAAAAACTTTCGATGATGCTCTTGCGCGATAATTTGCAGTTAAAAATGAAATATATGGCGTAGGTGTGTGAGTATTCAAATAGGATTCTGGATTAAACAGTTTTGCTGGCATATCCAAAAACAACGCGAAACGAACAACACGACCGATATTCGCCTAAAGAGATTCGATAAAATTTAATTTTTGTTGCTGAAAACGTGACGTCCTGGGAAAATGTTGATATATCATTGTGGAAAGTTCGGTAGCTGTCGAGCTATCCTTATTTCTATCTATATGCAACTAACTCTTTATACTCATAACACTTATCTAAATGTTTCATACAGCCAAACCAGAAACTAAATATTATTAAAAGAAATTATGGAAAAATATTATCTATTCACTTTTCTAAAATTTTCTACAATTTGCACAACCTCATTTAACACAAAAAGTACCATTTACCTTTATATATTGTGAAAAAGAAGCACGATCGCTGACTGATAGCTCCGTTTCTCGTCCTCGTTGCATAGTGATAGATTTACCTAAAAACTTATATCCAATTCTTCAAAAAAAAGTTAAAGATCTAAATGGAATTTCTATATTTCATATAAGATTCATCCGAACGCATCACATATCCTTGTATCCTAGTGTGAGCAGATATATTCATTCAAACTCCCGTCTCAGAATGACTGATTTTTTCATTTTCCAGATCGTAACATTTTAATTTTTGTAGATTTCTAGTAAGAAATTAACTTTCTCTCCTTCTTCTTTCTTTTGACGGAGAAGTAAACTTTCAAATGAAAATAAAATCTGGGTGAATGCAGTTTCTTAAATGGCCAAACGAAAGACCAATCTCCAGCTCCTAGCTATAACAGAGAATGTTTTCTTTCCCTTAGCGAAACTATTATGGAACCATCAAAAAATTAGATTCATCAAAACCAAAATATTTTGCTGCATTTTGCTCCGATATTCCCGTCTTGACCATTTCTAGATAAATTTCGCGTCCCCTCCAAGCGCATGTATAGAATCTCGCACAGTTATTCATCTTCACTTAAATATTTATACATTGTTAGTTAGTGATATTTACAGAACCTACTGGTTAGGCCAAGTTCTTTATCGCCCATGGGAGAAGGGAATTTGTATATTTTTCGTTTTTACTAAGGATCATGAGGATGGTCAAGATATCAAAATACAATCAAGGAACTGATATGGCCAAGAGAAATTTGAGCGCATAGGTTATCCAACTCAGAAGGCGGTAAAAACAACAGCTCATTTCTCTATCAGTTATGGCATCGGACTGATATTTAACACACTCCATTCCTGTAGACTATACAACTTTAACCAAGAATAATGCGCACAGTTAGACGATGAATTAGTTCTATGATAATTAACGAGTGATTTATTATTGATAAGGTTTCGGGAAAATTTTAAAACTATTAGAATCAAGGGATTTTTATTTTTTTCTACCTAAATAAGCACAGCATAAATCAGTTTCAGTCATTCCAAAATTCGTCAATTTAAGTGCATCGTTCATAATGGTCTTTAGTTTCCCAATAATAATAGATTTCAACATAAACATGTTTTTGCTTTTCCTCATCCCGAATTATTATAAGGATTTCTTTCGTAACTTGCGATATGCTGTGGATTTAAAATTATAAATTTAAAGGATAGTTCGTTAGTTCGATGATTTAAATCGGTAAGTGAATGCATAAACGGTGAAATTTCGGTGATATTCAATAAAATAAAGAATTAAAAAAAAGTGCAATGCAAAATAAAATTCATTTGAAATAGCCTTTGATTGGCAATAGATCGTTAAAAGAAATAAACGCCCTAAAATCAAAAGGGATTCTCAATTATTCAAATGGTACTTTGTAATGGGAAAATGAATTTTTCGAAATGTGTCTTTGCAAATAACAACCAACCATTTTCACCAACATTTTCAATGCAATTTTTTATGACCAAATTCTTTTATGAATAAATTTTCATAATAAATAAATAAACATTAAAAGGGAACCGCAAAATAAAAATTTAATTTAAAATTTTAAAATAAAATTTTGCCGGTTGAATATCGAATGTCAGTTCTTTCAACATTTCTCATATACTCAGTTATATTCATATAAATATTCGTCAGCAAATCACAACGATAATTTGTTTATCGAGATTCTTTAAATTATTTTCATTTTCATTATTTTCAAATTATTTTGATTTTGTGCTTAATTATTTTGAGATTTCCTGTGGAATTTATCAACGAAAAAAACTACTGAAACAATTCTATGCTGATTTGAATCAAATATTTATCAATTAATATTTATATTAATTAGGTTGGTACTAACAATTTTAGCAGTTTTACGAGTAATAAATGAGTAATTCTCTTCTTCTTGCAACGTTACACTCAATATTTCTGGTTTGGCCGAAGATCTATTCTATTATCTTTTCTCTCATCCATTTTTTAAAATTTTACGAGCGAACCTAATGCGAAAAGGAAAACAGACCATCATTAATGAAGTTCTTCGAAAATTCATCATCGCTGTTGCATCTTTCATTGACCACATTTACTGTAGCGCACAAATCAACAACTGGAACTGGTCCGTCGTTGAAGTATAACGATAAAGCTATAGCATTGTAGACTCGATCTGCTTCATCGTAACTTAACGTATCTAACTCTTCGTTTAACGCTTTCTGTAATAAGAAAAATGAGGACAGAATCTTTCAGACTGAAATGAAGAAGAAAAGTTAAGCGTTTCATGGTCCAGTGGACTCTCGTTTTCATTAAATTCAAGCTATATCCATATATTCAATTCCTGTCCATTGATTGATTGATTGAAGTCTATCGAAACTAAAATGGTGCTGAAGATCCATCTGCAAGTCAGCTATTGTCAGAAATAGTGAATGAATGCTTAACGATACTGACGATTCTGGTGATTATATAAATGAATTTTCGAGTTAGAGTTATTCTGTGGGTAATAATAGAAGGGAATGGATGCATTCGGATTTTTAATAAAGTTTCTACCTATTGCGCATAATTTAAGTTTACGTTTAATAAAAATATGACATAACTTTGCTTTCAGGTAGAAAAATAAGAGAATTTATGCATTTTAACATGATGAAAATATTTAAAACGAGATGAATTATGAGAATTGTGTCCGTTTTCCATCGTATAGTCGCCATTCTTAAAACAAGTAGCTTCATTTTCAGGAATGGCAACTGATGGGGAAGCTTGGGAATGTTTTGCCTTCGTAACCAGTGAAGCGAGCGAGAAGTGGTGCGAGTCATATATTCTTTGCCAAATGTCCGGGAAGCAAATGTCAAGGCCAGTTCTTCTTCCGTGATTAAAATGAGATAAAATTGTTCAGAACTGGTGAAATAAACTGGTGTTATTTGGTTATTTATACTGATGATCTGCTTCAAATTATTATGATTTTGTAAGGTTCATTAAGCATAAACCCAAAAAATGCTCATTTCTTTCTGCCAAAAAGCAAACTTATGCCATATGAAAAATTTGTATGTTAGAGCCAGTGTTGGAACTAACCAGATAGGTACTACCATGCATTTTAAGAGACCACTGAAAAGAAAGTCCATCGTAGACCGTCGCAAATTTAGGTGATACTTGCAAAATAACTGTTTCTGTAGGGCTTAAATTGCGTACAAACACTCGCGTAGTCCATACATAATTGAATTTAATCATGTCCACTTGATCATCACTTTTCATTATCAATAAACCAGTTGTTAATTGTCAACCTTAGTAAAGAAAATAATATTGCTTATTCGCAATCCTGAAAAGATCCCTTCTTGATTTATTGCTGCGAAGCATTTAATGGATACAACAGAATTGTTTTTTTCTGCAAAGACGCAATATTTTGACGCAATAACAGATTAATTTTATTCTAAGCGCATTAGATAAAGTTTGTATAAATAGATTGGTAAACAATAAATAGTAAATAAATGATAAATGCGTCGTAATAAAGAGAAAAATGATAATATATAATAATATAAAAAATAATAATAAAATAATAATAAAAATACTAATATAAAAAAATCTTCGAAATTTTTTTAAAATATGCTTTATTCATCAAATTACCAAGGAGAATTCGAAACTGCACCAGTAAACCTATAAACTGAGAGGTGAATGTGGCAACCCACCACACTTCTAATAAAATAAGTTCTGCTAGCCTTCAATGCGAAAAGAAATTTTTTCGAGGAATTCGCTCACCATAAGTGGGTCGCCAGCAAACATGTGGTTGCATATCTAAATTTGTTGGTTCAAAAGATTTCAACAGAATTTCTCAAAATTTGTAGTGCACAATTGAAATTCTCGAGAAAAAAAATAAGAAAAATATAGAAAAAATATTGAAATGATAATAAATAAATAATAATAAATATAATAAATGAAATACAATAATAAATGATAATAAATAAAATAAATTTGAAAATAGGGTTAATAAAGTAACACGGAAAGAATTTTTTTTGAAGATAAATCTAAATTAGTGGTGCAATAATAATTATTGTGACAATCAATCCACAACTATAACCTTCCAACCCCTTAGCTCCGTCCAACTATAAAATTTTCATATTCAATACATTATAAAATTTGGAGTTGGCAAAACTTTGCAAATCTTTCGTGAGAGAGCACAAAAGAGGGAATATTAAACTGCTTGAAAGGCTAGTTGAAATCAACTCGCACAGCTATTAATTAATTAAAATCGAAGAAAATATTTCTAAAAGCTCTTATAATAATTTCGCTCGTTGGGTAAAACAAGCGATGGTAAAATTGCTAAAATAAAACAACAGAAATAAAATAATTTCGCGGTTTGAAAATAAAAATATGTAGGAAAAACTTTACTTTATGACAAATTAGATGAAATAAGAATGCTTTTTTTGCTGAAATTTTTTCGGGCTCCATTAATGGCATTCAAAATTAACAAAAATTAACGAAAATAGAAGATTGATACTTAATTAATGTTAAAGGAAACTAGTTTTAAAGAAAATAAAAAGTAGAATACTTTTCATTTAAGTGCTTAATTAATTATGAGTTTGAATACTGCCATCCATGCAAAGAAATATATTTCAGGTTTAAGTAAAAAACAAATAAGCGAAAAGCGCTTGCAATTCTGCTTAGGATTCCGCAAGCTTGTCAAACGACTAAACTAATTTTGCCACGAAGTCACTATTTTCGATTTGCGAAACTTGCATTTAACGCAGATTGCCGTGGGCAAGAACAGAACAAAAATGATAAGCTAGTTAGATAAGTTATTACAAAATTTATATAAATTTAGATATTTCATATAAAATTAACGGAATTTACGAAATGCTGAGTTAAGGAAGTATGCAACTCAACTATTCTCAATTTGTTTGTAAATTGAGAATTCAATCTGCGTATTTTCAAATCAAATAAGTTGGTACTACAAACATTCAAATTCAGCAAATTTTTTATAGTTCATTATATAATTCACGGCGTTTAGAGAAGCGAAAAGCATTATCACATTCTACTTCGATATATGCAAACTGCAATAAGTCAGCGGTCTTGAACTGTTCTTTTGGCTGAAGTTGAGGACTAAAATCAATAACTAATTGGGAGTTTTAGTAGGAAAATCTTAATATTACAATATCAGGCAATATTTTAAATAATAATAATAAAATAATAGTAACGAAAAAACAATAATAAATCAACAATGGTAATAAAAAATTACTGAAAAATAATTAATTTGATAAATTCAGTTTTCTCTAATTAAATGTCCTAAGAAGTTTTTTAAAAAAATAACCAATATTAATATGCGTTTAGTGCAAAATAGAAACATATAACGAATATTTTTAATGGCTTATTTGTAAGTTAACTTGGAAATAGAAAGCCGAATAATGAGGATTCGAGCGACGATATCCAATATAATACAAATTTGCAATAATTTAGTCGTACAATGGGACAATCAAAGAATCAAAGTATTGAGCAAACGCTTTTAGTCAAAACACTTCTTTCTTTCTTGAAAATTTAAATAGTTATTATTTAAAAAATAATAGAACATCAATACAATAAAATATTGGAAAGTATCGTCCCGATGTAAAGTAGAGAACAAATATCTCGAAATTTCAACAATATTCTTTAAAATTTGGTACGAAGCGAAATCCTATTGAACGAATGAATTAAGGAAGAAATAAGTGTAAGAGCTGTATTTATTATTCCTCAAAAATACTGTAAATATGTTTGAAATTTGCAAAAAAATATTTCTTTTCTAAATTTTTCAACGAAGTTTTGCACTTTTATTAATATCCATCCACAAGTTAGTTTCGTATTTTGATAAATTCACATTTTCTTTAAAAATTAAAAAAATCCTATAAATTTTTTAAAAAAATAATCAATATTAGTGCTTATTTTATCAAAAAAAGTAAAAATTTTGAAAAGAATGAAAAAAATTAAATTTCAATCGTAAGATTTGATAAAGTCATATTTATATAATCGAAATTTTTTTAGGAATGAATTTTAGGAATAATTTGTGAACTGCTAAATCACAGTAATAAATCATTATCAGCGAACTTTGCATTAAGATGAATGGCAATTGACAAATCTTTGGGAAATCCTCATTGAAAATTTTATCATATCAGCTGCTAATTTCAATATGTGGTTTAATGGCAGACATTAGCTGAAGAATATGGAAAAATTTGCAATTGTCAATGGGAAAGGAAATTTTCAAAAGTTTTCGTTTTGAACAACAGATCGGCAGCAATTTACCAAGTAAAATGAATGATCGATTGCTTGCACATTTATATTATTAGCATTTATCAAATTCTAGGAAATTCATTCGAAATTCGACGTAAACAAGCCACAATTAAATTGAATACTTATTGTAATAAATTCAAAGTATTATAATTTAAATAATAAATTGTTGCATCGAAATTTCCACTCATTTCAAACTTATTGTGCTTCTCCCATTCGCCATTTGAATTAAAAAGGAAAGATGAACTTGAGGAAATTTGCAATTAAATAAAATAAGTGATTATTAATATGACTAAATAAAAACGCTTTTCAAGAGTTATTATCAGTTATGGAAATATGACGATAAAAGTAAGCTGGCGATGACTGCAGGTTCGTAGAGCGACATGGTACTTCGTCTGAATTTAAGCATCTTGCTAGATCAGCGTGTGAAGTCTGAATAGTGCTTAATACCGTCTACACACAATTCTATTCCTAAGTGGCTCTCCTTGAACCTCACTCGCTGATCAGAGCTGTTAAGACGAGAAGAAACTATGATACGCACAAATTTGTGATCAAGTAGCATTCCAAACAGTTGCAATAAAATTTGAAATTTTTGATCAACATTTTCGTTGAAATTTTCAATAAATCGATCTTCGATCTTGTTTTATCATTATATTTGCAAGAATTTTATCATTAAGTGCTTTAAAAATGCACTTTGACTTGTAGCTTAATTGATAATCTGCCATATCGTTAGCGCTATTTCTTATGCTTAATTAGTTGCACGAAGTTACAAAAGAGCGAAAGCGACTGTTCTATCAAACATATGCATCCATCCATGAACTGGACGCTATTGTTACGGACGCTTCACTCTGGGGATTTTCATAAATCACTTTCAACAAAAAATTTTCAAAAAATCATTCAATTCGCATAGTCGAAAATTTTTGACGAACAGAATCCCTCCGAAAGATCTCATTAAAATCTCAATTTCGTATTTATTTTTTTACTATTTTTTATTATTTTACAAAAAAATTAATAATATGCATTACCACAAATTATCTTGCAAAAAATTTCCATTTCCTGTTAATTTTTGATGCACTAATTTGACGGATATGCTTGAGAGGGTGCGCTGTTCCCGCTGACGACAAGAAATCTGCTTACTGTAGAGAGAAATGCGAGATAATTAATGATAATGCGAGATGAGGTAGTTCAGAAGCCTACCTAAAATGCTGCAGTCCGCCATCCGCAGACGAGTCCGTCAGGCGAGTTTGGTTAAATGTTGTCAGTCAAAGAGAAATTCATGTTTGATTTTAAAGAATCTCATAATTTCTTTATTTGTAAAACTATTTATTACGCGAAGACAATCGTTTGAATATTATGCAATGCAAGAAAAACGAAAAAAATATTGGCAAATATTTGAAGGAAAACAGTTTCCTAAAAAATAAAAATTAAAGGCAAATCGCTTATTTGCTTACTTTCTTGTTTTATTTTCTTGTTTTATTATTTCCAACGATATTATTTAATTTTTCAAAGGACAAAACACTTTCAACTAACTGAATTTTGTAAGCGATAAATGCTTCTTATTTCTAAAGATTCTTCTCAAATTATAATGAATTGCTTCAACTTTTTTTTTGCAAAATTTCAATATTCAATGTAATTTACCACAGTTTTTTTCATAAATTATTAATTTGTTTAAAAATTTTAAAAAACCAAATAAATTATTTCGAGAATAGAAAAGAAAATAAAAATGGACAAAATTCTGTAAAAAACTTAATAATTGCACACTATTGTTGAAGTACACGCGAGGTTTTTGCTGACATTATTTGGTAACCAGTCCAAATCAATAGGTAAATCTAAATTTATTCGCCGATATCAATAAATTGGTTATCGGTAGATGATAAGTGAGTGGGTCAACAGCGATTTAGCACCTTTGATCTTTTTTTTTTCGTTGAGACTTTTGACAATCTGGTGAAACTAACGACTTGCTTTAAGGTCCCTGGATCCTTTCTTTTTTTTTCATTCTTGGATATTGGTTTTAAATTCTTTAAATAAATACTTGAGGCTAAGATTAGGATTGCAATACTACTATTTTCGCTTACATTCATACTTGAAGGCCAAATTCAAATTAGCAGGCCAGTGAAAAAAAAGAAAAAACAGTTCCCATCTAAGTTCAGTGATTGAAATCATGCTTAATCTCTGGAAAATCCATGAATCGCCACTTGAAAAGCCTTCGACTAGACAAAATTAATGTAGCACATTGAAAATGGGAAATATTTTGGTAATTTGAGAAATGTCTTAAACGAACGATCTATTTGACTGCTATGCTTGATATTATCACCTTATCACATATCACACCAAATTATCCATATTATCAACGATTCAACTTGATATTACTAGGCGAAGTAAAGTAATCGTAACAGTGACCCATTGTTTTTAAAAAATTTTTTCCTAAATTTCCCTTCAAAATTTAACTAAAATTTTTATTTTTAAAAAAAGTTGAGAAAAACGAATTACAACAATAGTTTAAACATACGACAGTTGGAATGATCAATAAATTTATGCATGGATAGGTCCGAATCGTGTATAATGGAAGAAGTTATTATGTAAATCCTTACGACACGGCAATCGATGCAGTTAATGCTAATCAACGAACGAAAGCGAAAAAGTCACTTTTCATTCCATCACAAATAATTTTATAGGTCTCAATTCCTTTCAACTGATGGCATTGAAATGAACTAATAGCCTAAACCAGTTCAGTCAGTTCGCCAGTTTACACGTTCTTACCTAATGATTTAAGGGAAAGAAAAGAGAAATAACTGAATAAATTCAGAATATTACTAACAATTTACCAAAATTGTCGCTTTTTCTCGCTCATTTTCCTTTTTATTGCGCGATTTTATAGCATTTTTTTTGTCAAATTTTTCTATAATAAAGGAAAAAAATATTGAACATAAGAAGTAAAATTTCGAAAGTTCGAAATTAAAGATGAAAAAGAATATGGCAAAAGAAATAGTTTAATTGATCTGACGACACTAATAAAGATATATAAATCGCTGATCGTATCAACTCGTAACCAAAAGATTTCTGTGGTGAACAATTTGGGTTCGATTCTAATCCCCATTCATTACTAAAACTAATATCCGAATGGTGATAAAATCTTTCTTTATCTCTGCAGAAAGCGTTCCATTATAATAGTGAAAAAACTGGAACGATAAAAGTACAAATAAACGGTGATTCGGTGACTCGAATCATTTCAGTTAAGAAAGCTATAATAAATGCAGACAAGTTTAAATGCACATAGATATTTGCAAATACGCACACAAAATGTACAAACCAATCTCATGTCGACCAAATTATTCGATGAAGACGCCCGAAGCTAGTAGAATGTAGCTTGTGGAATAGCCTGTAGCTCGCTAGTTAGTTGTCGCTCGCTCATTTATAAAGGCTAATTTGATATTACTTATTTCCAATTTCCAGTTGAACGTAGCATTCTTTAAGGTGGAAATTAACGCTAACGTATTCACTAAATATTCAAAACGATGCTCGACAAGCGATTTGATTGTAGTAAAACTGCTATAATGAACAATGAAATCACAAAAAGCCAATGAATTTTAGAAAATTTTTAATGATTTGTCTATGTAATCAGATTTAATTTAATTTAATCTAATTACCTACCATAATTTGTTCAAAATTTTTTAAAATTCATTTTTATTTTTTTAAGGAAATAAAATTCATTATCGATCAAGAACTATTAAAACTAATCAGTTCGCAATGGATTAAATCCCATTTAACAAATCCCATTTCTTCCGACTTATTAAGAAAAATGAAAAGAAGCAGGAAAAACAAACATCCAGAAATTCATGAAAATAATTCTTTATTACAATATTATTACAATGATTTTTTAAAAAACTTTTGCTTACTCTCTATTTCAAAATAATGGAAAAGACAAGAATAATTCGATTAAAAAAAACGTATCTATAAGTCGAAAACTATCAAATTTCTACTGCAAAAAAAAGATTTATAAAGGATGCAAAAAAAGACACGGAAATAAATCGAATAAGGTCACCGTTGACAATTTGCAATCTTTTAATTACAAATAGAAATTTTAACCTTACACGATTCAAAAAAAAGGAAAAGCTTAGGAAAATTGAGAAATAATGACGATTACGACCAGCGAAACCGAAGATTTTATAAACATGAAGAAGCGGAAAAATATGTAGTAGGACGATCCGACTTCTCAACTGCATTATAAAGCTTATCCAAATCAGACAAAAGAAAAATATTTCCATCATTATTTGTGGGTGCAAACAAAATTTGCATATTACTATAAAGATAAAGCCTATTTGATCGACTGAGTTTCAATCTGAAAATTAAAAATCTTATTAATTTATAAAATGTTTTAGAAGAGAATATTTCGATTACCACAAGAATTATAAGAAGATTTAGCTTGACGTAACCATAAAGAATAACTTATGTAAATAAAATACAAGTGGGATTTCAAATAAGCCAACTACATTGATAGAAATGTAGTGCGGAAGTTAATCTACGCCAAAAGTGGCGGATTCCAACATTCCAACTTCCGGCTTTTTCCCTATACTTTTTTTCGCTTTTTCTTTTCGCGCAAGAGTTTCGACTAAAACAATTAGTGTTCTTATCGGCACCAACTTTCTCTTCAGATAATTTCCGCTAAAGGCGATTTACATTGCCTTCACAAAAATACTGAAACTGCTTCTCATCATGTTTGATTAATGATTTTTTTTATGCATTTTTCATAAATTTATCAATTCAAATACCTATAAAACATTTTTATACTTTATATCTCTGCTTGAATTATCATACTTTGTAACATAAAGTAATCAGATTTAAGATTTATCCAGTGATAAGATTTTATATGGGACTCACTTTAAATGGATAAGGCATTTTAGAGAATTTTGACCGACTGATGTATTCACAGATTTCAAGAAGGTTTTATGCCGAATAGAAGTATGTGACTTCGGCAAATCTGCTGCATCAATTGGTATAAGAAAAATATGCACAACTGCTCCTTTTGGATCAAAAATCGTCTAAATTATATATATATATATAATGGTGAAAAATGAGTCAATATAGAAATGCAAATCCACTTAGCCAGCAGAATAAAAAAATTGTTTCCAACTATTAAAAAAGAGATTATTTACGACGAAATGGTTCAACTAAAACGAAATAATTAGTTAACGAAAAAAGGATGAAACTCCTTACTCCTTGAATAATGCCCGATTTTGGAATGCGATAGCGATTAGAATTATGTTCCACATGGCAAAGTCCCTCAAATATTAAATCATTTACCATAATAAGAGATTTCAGCATTTTCAGAATTTTTAATAGTTTAATCCAGATAAATCGAAAATGACAATAGAATTATACAGAGAAACTTTACCTTTACATTAAAAAAATGTAAAAAAACTCACGAGATGAAGAGATGATGAAGCACCATTATCATAATTGCCAAAATAGAAAGTTTCTAGTGGGAAAACTTTATGAGGCGAGTTGAAACTTCCATTGCCCGCTAAAATTAAAACTTAAGATATTGAATGGAAATGATCAACATTCCTTGGTTACCATTGTTTATTAAGGTCCTTTCTAAAGAAACATCCTTATTGTATGGTGAAGTTTGCTTACGCAGTCTACCACAGGAACTGACATATTTCTCGCTATGTCCCTGTAATGGATGGCATCAAAATCGAGGACTAAGAACCAAGATTTGATACATTCAGAATAGATTTCAAACTTATAGATGGCTTAGCGATATATAGGCTTGGAAAAAATGAATGGCATATGCTATTTTCAGATGTGACATCGGAAGGAGGGATGCTTTACATTTGCAGTGCAGCTGGCCTAATTGTCAATAGTGTCAGCCATATGATTAACAAATCTTCAAAAAAATAATTAGTATTACAAAAAATAAACTAACATAGTTCAAGCATGAAGCCTTCAATTTTTGAAACTGACGGAGAATCATTTTTCCATTCATAACATTCTGTTACGATTCCTTTACCAGCGACAGATGAACAAAGATTACTAAAAATAAAATAAATAAAAAATAAAAATAAAAAATTTTTACAAACAAAAAAAGTTATTTAACTTTTTTTAATCCAAATTTAACCACAGAACAAATGCAACTCGATAGGCAATATCATTTAAACGAAAACTTTTGTGAATAGGCTTCATGTAGAAACCAGTTAAGGAATTTCAAGGCAAACTGTGGTTCTAACCAAAAAATGAATTTATAGTTTATAAATCTATTTTGATGAAGATAAAAAAATCGATCTATATTAAACTTCACCGCTATTTAACTCTTAAAAAGAAATTTCCCCTATCTATACTGAAGTCGACCCTTTTTTAAGGATACGCTAAAGAATCCCGAAATGTATCATTTAGCCGATTGGAAGCAAAAATTAAGGAAGCAGCAGAGTAAAAATCAGAAAAAACAACCTGTAAACCGATAAAATATCCAGCAATAAAATGTCAGATGATATTTTTCGATTGGAAGCAACAGAATTCGGATTTGAAAATGGAAATGCACTTGAATTGCCGGCAGATTCGATTAATTCTCCATATGAAGATTTTACACCATCAATATATGTATCATTTTCACTATCTAAAAAATCTTCAAAGATGAATGCTCAACTCGAGAATGTAAAAATGAAGTATCTTCAATCAGAAAAAAATAAATAATAAAATAAAAAAGGGTTAAGTTCGATTCGGGTCCTTTGATAAGAGTAAATTATCATTAAAAATGAGACGACTGAGGGGGAAAAACAACTGTCGGCTCTATACACTTCAACTTAACAACCAGCAGAGCAGATCAAATGAAAAATGGAGTGACTAATAATAGCGAATGAAAAAAAAAACAAAAAAAATACCAAATATAAATTTATAGAAAAAAAAAATTTAAGAAAACCTTCAGATGAGCTTGAAAATGGTTCATTAATGGATAATAACTGATCGAATCCCTTACGATATTTTGTTTTCTTGAAATTTATCTCACGTCCGAATGGATTTCTGGATATTCCATTCTTTCGACATGCCGGTTTTTTCCTATTTAAATCTTTTCGAAACTTAGTACCACTAGCGAAATCATCATCATCATCTGAATCTAAAGACCGTTGAGATTCTCTGCGCCTTTTTTTCATAATAGATTTATAATTATCACCAGTGCGACCCGTTTCATTTATCTTACAAGACAGCGATTTTTGTTTTTGTCCTTGAGTTATAGATGGCAATAACCAGAACGAATCATTTTGCTCTGATTTGCTTGATTCGTCGCTATAACCAATAAGTATGAATGCGGATTGATAAAAATGATGTTTGATAATATTTTTTAATTTAAGATGCATAAAACTTTTAGCAATGATGACATCGCATATTTATTTTTAAAAAATTTGCCTCTTTTCTCATTCTGAATAATAATAAATCTTTTAAAGCTAATGCATAAGATTCCAAGCCATCCAATTTTTTTTTTGCTATCTATTTATCACCACAGTCACATTGTCAAAAAAAAAATAACCCATAAAATACCACCGTAAATAACCGTACCCATAAATAGTAATATTCATCATAGTGTATGTCCTTCCCTAAGAAAAGAGATGAAACGTACACTCGAGAGGCGAGAAACCTGCACAAACCAGTTTAGAACCTAATATCACTCGAATATGCTATCATATTTGCCACAGCTACGAAGAACTAAAGGGAGAATTACAGAATAATACTTCGTACCCAATTCTAGCAATTTCAGTGAATCTATAAACCGAAAAAGTCTTATTTTTCGAATTAAATTGAATTACTCATTACTTATTCCACTCTAAATTTCAGTCCATTCTACGCAATCATAAATTTTAACAGCCCACAAACTTTGAGAAAGGAGAAAAGAAGAGGAAGTTCAAAGTGTAAATGCATAAGAAATCTACTTTGACTTAGCTGACTCGATATATCTGCTGTCGATATCGTGTAAACACACGTTATTCCACCTCATTTCAACTGATATACATTGTTTAGTATCGTAATTCACATAAGGGAAAACTTCTTTTTCCATTGAAGATGATAAATATCCGAATAAATTCTGATCATCACTTAGAATCAATCTGAATTTCTTCTAAAATTATGTATAATAAAAAAATTTTACACCGACAATTTAATCACTCGACAATCTGATAATCTTCAAATGACAATTCTGCCAATAATTTCAAGGACACTTTTGACAAAATTTTATTTCTATGATCCATTGTTAATATAATATATAAATTTCGTTAAACCAATAAAAAGTATAATTGTCTAAAATCGTTAAATAAATATTTTAAAATTTTCAAACTTGCAAACACATTTATAACTGTCGGGAAGTTTGCCATTATTATTGATGATTAATGAATTCAATTGTGAGAAATAAAGTCGAGAATTCAACGCGTTTTCTAGGAAAAAATTATCCAGAATCTGCAAATCCGGAGCAATTTTAAAGAAACAAATTTTATTAATGAAGGAATTTAATAAAATATTTATAGAAGAAAAAGAAAAATCGTATGGATTTTTTCTATTTCCTCATTTCGTTTCGATTTTCGATTTCTCCACCGTTTCTTTCGCCTTCTTCATTTTTATTTCTTTTAGATAAGAGGATTATGAGTGGTCGGAATGAATGAACAATAAAAAGCAGCACATTTTCTACATAAATATGAAATGAACGATGGTGTAAAGTAAAATAGAAAATAGGGTGTTAGGATATGCTTTGCTTATGCATATATAGGGCAATATGGATTCGACTTTCTGGTTCCCGATGTCTGCGAATTTGCTGTTAAAAATTCAATGAGAGTGGTACTAGGTATCCATTTTCACTGATATTTATATCCTTCAGGTTATATCTTTCTGGCGAAACAGCCTTATCCTATCAGTTAGCGAAGCCAGTAAAATCCAAAACAGCTGATAGGTCTTTAGAAGATTAAACTTATAAATCAAAAACTATTAATTAAAGCGTATTTTAATTATTTATTATTTTTATTATTTTATTATTTTAATAAAAATGATTTTAAAAAATAAAAAAAAACCTTAATATTTCTAAATTTTTCAATAATTTTTATAATCCAAATTTCAATAAGTTTCCCATTAATTTCGCTAATTAACCTTTCCTTTCGATAATCTTTCATTAAATAAACACAAATGAAAATCGTTTTTGCAAAACCACTTTCTGACAGAGCATTCTCAATCTTCTCATAGATATTCTCCTCCATTACAGTACCACAACGTCCATTAACTATCATACCAATTATATTTCGATAAAAACCATTCTTTGCCATCTTTCTGGGCGACACACAAAAAGATTTTCACCAGTGCAAATTCCTTTTTCTTTTCTTTCTTCCTTTATTTAATCTGCAAAATTTTTCCATTAAATCAATGCGAAATTTATAAATCCATCTTAAATATTAATAATCTCGTCGAAAACGATAAAAAACAACGCGATAAATTTAATAAATATTAATTTAATAAATATTTCTTTTTTAAATAAAAATATAAACAAATATTTTTATAAATATTATAAATAATAATTAAAAAGAATTTTATGAGATATCATCGAACAAAGATGACTTTTATAAATCAAACAATCAAAGCAGAGCAGTTGTAAATAATTTGCTTCACTAATGAGCAATAATGATGATAATGATAACAATAATAAATAATATTGATAAAATATAAAATGAATAACATATGAAATTAGTTATGTTATAATTATAATAATATAATATAATATAAAAAATAATAAATAATGAAAAAATAATACCAAAAATATTAATAATAGTTTCACCTTGAGCGGTCGTTATTTTTCGTAAATTTTTCCCGTAATGATTTCGTAAATGGTTGAAAAAAAAATTAAGTGATAAGCGCTCATCATTGTTGGTTAGACTAGCTTCGCTGGCTATTAGCACGATTAAAGATTTTTGCCAGAGAACCAACTGGCGATATAAACGCAGATGAGTCGCCAGCATCATTAAGATACGTTTCCAGTGACATGTTTACTCTAGTCGCGAGCGACAGCCAAATTCTTCCTCTCAAAACAATGTTACTATTCGGTTATGCTGTCCACTCGTAAGCAATTAATTTTTTTTCCTCTCCGTTCGACGAAAGCAAATTAAAATCAGATAGTTTCTGGAGGAAGCCAATTGTACCTTTATTGTACCCAAGCGACTCTGTGGTTAAAACACCGCACAAAAACCAATCGTCTTCTAAGCCAATGGTTCGAATGAAAAGTAGTAGATCTGGATCGAAAAAATCACCATATTGGTGGCAAAAAGCCTTAAATAAAGGCAGTACTCTAGATTTATTATGGAAACCAGATGTTAATGAGCTCTATTCGTAGCGAAACCCTTGCGTAACATGACCGCAGAGAATGCCAGGATATCGTAAATCGGTAGCCAGACGATAACTGTCCATAAAAGCACCAAGTGGTATCGTTTGCCTATTCGATGTTCACCTTTTTCACCTCTAATCTTCAGCAAATATAAAATGGAATCGCGACTATCATTTCTCATAAAGCTCGGTAAGCTCCAAATTACAAAGATACTCTAAGTTCTCAGTTTAAGTTGCTGTGCACCTTGGACAAGCCTGCAGCAGCTTCTGGGCAGAACTCCACTTGTTTACAGAATCTCGTCTGCAAAACCATATAATCATAGAAAATCACAGAAAATGAGAATCTATTGACCCGGACGACATGTCTGACACTTGACTTTTTCAATTATCGGACCTTTTTATTGAATATCACCTCTTTGTTCTTCTTATTAGTGCATATATTTAACCTCACGATAGTTGTTTGCCATCGTCCGCAGGCGTATTAGCCTCGTACAAAATCGAATCATAAGTGGAGACTTAAATACGTGAGGTTACGATGAACTATTAGAACTATTAGAATATGTGCCAGTGCAAGTGCCAATTTAAGCCTTTTCGCTTTGTAGAGAAGATGAGAGCTTCTTCTTTTCACATTAACTTTCAGCATCAGAAAATGCATTGGATAATCAGCATTCTAATCACATTGACTGCATTCGGGCAGGTGCTACGAATTCCGTACCAGCCATTACGATTGCCGTGCTGGAATTGATAACTATCATGGATAAGAGCATGTTGCGATTCCAGCCAAGATTCGAGAAAACCCAGCTGTCCAAGAAAGGCCTATAAAGCCTATTAGGCTTTATTACGAATGGCATCGAAAGAAATTTCAAGAATGCTAGACCGCGAAGACGAGTGCTCCCTATTATTTGGCGTAGGATACTTGGAAACGACTCATCCTTCTTGCCAGAACCAAGCCAACCAGTAATGATGCACGCTTTTAGAGCTAAAATAATTTTATAAAACCACAGTAATAAATATATTTGTTGTTTTTAGCATATTTTTGTATAACTGCTATTCGCCCATTCCTGTAATTTTCATTTTATTTTATTTCAAGTTTTCTTCGAATCAACGATAAATTCAATAATTATATCGAAAATAAAGGAAAATAACATCGAGAAAATTGCACCGCAACTGAATCGAATATCAGTCGATATCGAAAAATCATAATACATATGGGTTATAGTTGTCAATAGAGTGAACTATAATATTTCTATTATTATCAAATAATAAATAAGAAAGAGAGAGGTGCTAATGATTTACCGAACCCATAGCCTGTGAACTCAGCCAAGCACTTCACAAATACACCATACACCGAGGGAAGAGTTCGTCTGCCGGCATAATCTACCACGGCCTATGCAAAAAATTAGCTTCCCTGATTTCCCTAAGTGATATATAACTGATAATTTTTCCACTGTTTACTCAAAAGGCGGAATTTGAGTTATAATTGTTCGAAATTACTCTCATCTGGTAGAAATCCTCGAAATAAAAAATATAAAGAACTAAATGAATGCAAGAAAGAAAACAAACTGGACGACTGATTTGCAGCATGGAACCGAAAATTTCTATTGATTTCTAATAATAGCTAGCATATTCGCTTAAAGTATAAATCATGCGTGCATGAAGGAGAGATTTTTCCAAGAAGCCAATTAGGGATAAAAGTATGCTTTGGCTCTTTGCATCGAGTAAAGTCCGAATTTCGATACTCGAAGCGATAAAGCGATAATTTATCAATCACTCGGACTGCTACATTCGTTATTATAAAAAAAACTATGGAAAGCACTATGAAACTATGGAAAACTATGGAAAAACTATGAAGAAAATTTTCTTATCAATACGGCCGAGTATGGGGAAAATTTTAATAAAAATACTAAAAAAATCAAATTTTTTTGAAATTTTCATCTAAAAAATATTAAATATTAATAATAAAATATTAAATAAAAATATTTATATTATTAAAAACACCATATAAAACAAACAAAAAATTCCATAAAACTAATCGTTTTTTTCGAAAAAAATAGAAAATCAAGTAAATCGATTTGTAAAAATATTAAAAATTAGCAAAAAAACATTTATAAAATAATAAAGAAAAATAAAATTTCTAGAAAAGCGAAATTTTTCAAAATCATCAAAAATCATCGATCGAAACCTAAAAAAAGAAATTATCGAAAAAATAACGAAAGTAAGCAAAGAAAGCTCTCCTACAACTGCAATGCTTGTATACGAATTAAGTACGAATTAAGAAATATGGAAATCTTTTATCGAAACCTTATTTCATCTTTTCACAACAATCAGTTAACCAAGAGGCCATCGCTCTGGCCGGGTCTCCACGTGTGGCGATAGTAAATCTGTCACTGGAAAATCCGATTGGTGCCGACGATCTGCCAGTACCATTACTTCCATTTAGCAATCATTCTACCTCGAAGTGACTCACTGGTGCGAAAGTCTCAGCCAAATATGCATTGGAGTATCTCAACTAAACAGGGAAAGTGCTTCGTGCAAATCGCTAATCATCCTAAACAAAGCGCAATACAAATATTTATTAATATATAATATAAATTATTATTATTATTATCGTATTATTATTATTATTTATTAATATTTCTCGTTTGGCCGATGAATGAAATCTTTTTTGCTCCACGTCAGCCATTTCGAAAACTAAAAAATCGCGAGCATAGGATTTAAAATAAATAAAATGGATAATAAAAAATATTACAAAAATGGATTAAAATAAAATCAAAACAAATCAAAAACGAAGCCTAAAAAAGAATCAAAAATTATACATAAAATGCTTAGCAAAGAAGCGAAATTCTTTGGAAAAATAAAATTTAACTCAAAAAAAGTCACTAAACTTGAGGAATTTCGCGGATCAAAATCTTAGATCTTTAGATTTTGAGCTAATATTTTAGCGTTCTAAACAAATTAGATAAAAGCCATGCGTTGGCGAATTGAATTGAATCGCAACGAATGAAAATGGCATCATTATTGACGATTTATGTTTACACCGCATGACACACACACATACACTAATATACATGGAAGGATTCGAAGATTGTCAAGGAATATTATTAATGACGAGAAAAAAGAAATGATGGAAGAGGAAATGAGGAAAGTTATCCTGAAAAAACGCGACTCCCTGACAGTGAAGCATTTGAAAGCTTCAACTAAGACCATTCACCATTACTTCCATTTAGCAGTCATTGAAGGCAAAATCCAAACGACGCTGGAGATCAACCTTATTGCCCCGAGCCTTTCTTCAGCGCATCCAGCCAAAGCAGCGAAAGACCGTGCTGCCGGGAGAAAAAAAAATGTGCGAATCCCGCTGGCTTCGAATGCACATTTCGCATTGGTTCAGATTTACATGCCTAGCAAATATGAGAACTGATTCAAAAAAATGCAGCATGTTGCTGAAAATAATCGCAAAGCAGATTCAAGAAGCGATCCAAATCAGTGAAAACATTTGGCGCTGACAGCCCAACTGTAATTCTGTAGCGCCAAACAACTCCAATTTCTTATCATAATGAATCTTATCAAAAATGGTAAACCATTTTTGTTTATTAAAATGACCCAAAAAATAGTTCAAATATTATTATTATTATTATTATTATTATTATTATTATTATTATTATTATTATTATTATTATTAATATATTTTTTTATTTCAAATATTTTGAATGCAAAATAAAAATTTTTATGGAAAAAATTTTAGTAAACTATTTTCTTAATTTTCAATTTTTTTGCCAAAATTACATCGGATTTTTTTTTTTTCAAATGGCAAATTGAATCGATAATGAAAATTGTAATAAAACAATTAATGAAAGATTTCCAAGAAATATCTTCGAATATCGCTATCGTAATGACTGACATGTACGCGAATAACTAACTGAAAACGTCTCCCCAAACTTTTTTAATCGCATAATTGGCAAAATTTCAGAAGTTTTGCGACTAAATTAACGAAAAGGCCAACAAAATGCTAGCCAAACTACGGAACAAGGATGTCGAATGTGCGGCGCGCGGGTCGCAAAACACCCCAAAAAGTAATGCGACCCCACAAATTCGTAAATTTCCAACATAAATTTTCCACGAACTCATACATTATCGGCCAAAAACGAGGTCGACTCCGCGCCCTCTTTTCTTTTTATTTTATAATAAAAAATAAAAATATTTTTTATATATTATTCTTATCTTTTATAATTAAGTATACTTTATGTGCGGCCAAAAGGTTGGCCCTCTTTCAAGTGTTCCCAATTTATTTCATTTACAATATAAGATTACAGGAGCTTTCAAATGTCTGAACGTCTGAACATGTACCACGTTCAGTTGACTAAACTAAACAGGAATGGCGCATGCGTGTTAGAAGTCATTTGAAATTGCCTTATGAACAAAAATAGGATTTTTAAAGAAAAGTGGTTTAGTTGAAAGCACCAAGAATCGTTAAATTTTCATAACAAATGAGCAACCAAAAAAACCACTTTGTGTGAGCGCAATGCGTAAGAAAAAACCTGGAGCAACTGAACCACTGAAAGCACAAAGCAATCATTTCAAAAAATCTAAATTTCTTTTTCAAAAAAATTCGATGAATTCAATGACACCGTCGAAATCAACGTGAAATCGTCGAAATTTTAGATGAAAAAAGAAAATTATTTTGCTTTTTTCCAATAAAAATCATAAGAAAAGCAAGCAGAATAAAGGAAATATAATTCAATTAATTTCATTTCTAAATCATCTGCTTCCATTCGAAATTTCCCAATGTTATTTGCTTTTTATAGAATTTTCATTTCATTTGTTTGTTGAATAACTGATAACAATAGAAATTTTTAAATGATCAAGCAAGCATTATCATTCATGCCAAGCGTTCGTATAAGAAAATTGTAGAAAGATGCAAAATGAATTCCAAAATATCGTCTATTATGGCTCTTTCGTTACCAACAATGCTCGTTCAAATGAAATATGAGAATGGATTAACAAACCATTAAAAGATTACAAAGCAAATAATAAAGCAAATAATTTAACTGATAACAAACGACAATGATAAATTTCCACTTCATTGCTTAATAAATAATAATTATATTATATGATTTGCTGATCCAACTTCTAATGAGCATTAAGAATTTATCCTAAAATTTTAATGCTACAAAAGGCAATCGAATGCATAAACCTAGGAAAATAAAATTAAAATTCCAATTTTTCATTCGTAATATTTGTAGTGTTTATATCGACTACAAATTATGAAATGTTGTTACTGAAAGCAGTTCAAATAATTGGTACTTGTCATTATTTTGAACCAAACAAATCGAATTCACTGTGCTTCATAGATGTCAACAACTGGACAAATTATCTCCTGATGTAATTTGCTCCAACTATTTCCAGTTTTAATAAAATAAATCTCTATTTACACCATAGTAACCATAATATTATTACAAATATTTATTATATGTGCCATTTTCTATTATTTTTTAACATAAAGCATACGGCTCAAGCTTTGTTTGATAGTGTTTTGCAAACATATTTTGAGTTGCTGTTACGAATCCACAATCCTCAATCGGCCCTCCGGTGTAATAAATGGACTCAGCTCAACAGCCGAGAATGGCAACTAAATTAAGAATTATGCATGCTGTTAAAAAAGGATGTTTTGAGATTACTTACTGAAATGAACAAAAGATATGCCTTGCCATAGGCCTTTGAATATTCCTCGTACAAAGACTATTATTTAAATGCGCCACTACTTGGTCTACCACATCGTCGCTGCTGCCTTCTTCTTTGTCATAAGTTGCCATTATATACTATAAAATAAGAAATATATGAAACTGCCAGCTGCATTTTTGGCGAAAGAAAGCTCCGCTACAGTAAAATACAATTTTCCAATAATCTCCACCTTTGGCTTTCACATAAATTTAAATAGAATGAATATTTCCATAAATAAATAAATTCTCCAATTTTCGCTAAAAGAATTTACAAAAATTCCCACAAAATACCCAACAAGACGGAACAAAAAATCGAAAAACCAAGGGTCTCGGACCACTGCTTGGCCTAAAAATTAAAAATTCACAGCTTTTTGTTAACGATCGACGATAAACAAATATAAAAAATAATTAAAGATCGGTGAAATTTAGACCGGAACGCACCATATTTTACATGAAAAAAACGAGATTTACCTGAATTACAGTTTTATTGAAGCTTTCACCTTCGATTTCTGATCATTTATGGATGAATAATTGATATTTAACCAAAACTGAACCCTCTCTCTCTCTTCTTTTAAGTTGTTGTCACCGTACAACAATCCACTAATTTATCAATATTTTTCAATATTAATACAAATCAGTCCACTAAATACGATGGAATTAGAAAATAGAATTTATCGATGCCATTAAAACAGACAATTTATCGCCCCTAATTATCTAATAATTTGATCCGACGTAGCACAAAAGTTTGAATTCCTCTAAAAATTTAAGGATTTCGGAAGTGTTCTCGTCGAGAATTGTTGTTCTTTTCGAAAATCGTCCTTCAACAGACCGTTTATTAAGTGTAAAGCAAGTATTCGCACTGCAAACTAACACCGACTTATCTCTCTTTCCACATATTATAATATAATATGCTATGAATTATCAATAATGCTAACCGTTTTTTGATCAATAAAAAACTTATATTTTTAAAAAATGGCAATTAAGCGATACGTTTGTGAAAGGAACTACGACATATGTGTATATAACAAATAATATAAAACGAGGAAGATTTATGCTCACATTGACTTTGTCCTCGAATTTGACGCGCACTGTGAATTGCGAATCAGCTGATCGAATAGACCAAGAAAGACGAGAAAATAGGAGAGAAAAGAACATTTAGAAAATATAGTAGCAGAGCATAACAAATAAACATCGGCCTGCATATACACCAGCACATTCTATAAAATAAAATTAAAATTATAGCAAAAATTGATCATTTTTTCCAGTTTTGCTACGTTTTTCAAAAATGTTTTACAAATAGCAAGCAATACGGACGCGACTCCTTTCCCTTAACAAGAGAAAACCTATCATTAAAAGTAAACATATTCGGTAAAGATCCCACCTAAGCGAGCGATAAGATATGAGAGATAACATAAGATAAGAATATGAGAATATCATCTGATAAGATAAATTATACATATATATCTGATAAGATAAATTATATTTATCAAATTATATGATAATAACAATTTGCAAATAGCTTTATTTCTGAATTTTTCGTCTTCTTAAGAAAAGACAATAGAAAATATATAAATGGTATAATTAACAGAAATTATCACAATGAACTATGAATAGTTTTGAATTGAAAAATAACAAGAGAAATGGGAAAAATGGTAGAAAAAAAATTTAATGAACGATTGAAGCATCTGCTGCCGAATACAATAATCGTTTTTTCGTATCACCTCGTTTATGCCTTTGCCTATCGTATTCACGCATTTCGTCCTCGATCAGCCATTCAGTCTCAAGGTCGCTTCCTGCTTCTCGTTTATCTGCGATAAGATCATATTTTCTGTAATCAGTGACCTGAAAAAATCTTCTTAATAAAAAAATTAATCGGCTAATAAATCAGCCTTTAAATTTCAACCAAAATAAGAACGCGAAGATATTTGCAAAGTTATACTAATAGTTATAATATTTACAATTAATCTTTCAAAAACCAGAACAATGAAATATGTTGAAATAAAAATGAAATAAAAATATGAAAAATGATAGAATAGTAAAGAAAAATGAAGAAAAGAAAGGAAAAGATTTTTCGAAAAATGAAAATAAATTAAAGGATAAGAATTGAAAAAGGCTTAATATTGCAATTTTTAATAAAAACCTCAATATTCTTCCGTTTCCGAAAGTAAAAAAAATGCAAATTTTTCAAAAATCTGACACTAATTCATTGAATAATTTATAAAGGTTTATTGCTAGATGATAGATCTAATTTCACTACTTAAATAAATATTTTCTATCCAATTAACATCTGATGGAACAATTAAAGCAATAAAATGATAAATGGCTTCTATGCCAACAACAATAACAATCCATATAAGGGATGATCACGGATTTGACAATTTATTACTTAAATTTCCTTAATTCAAGTTTGGAGGCGAAGAAAAATTCAACAGAGACATCTCGTCATTTGTGACAAGATATCTTTCTCTCAAAGTGATGAACTTAGACGAAAGATGACTGAAGAAAACGACAGAGCCGTAATAGCCATAAATATTAAATACTAATAATTAAAATATTTAAATGCATTCACAGTTATAAAATGCAACTAACTAAAAATTATTACCGAAACTAATAAGAAAAATTTTATTTAATGAATACGATATTGAAATATAATTTTAAAACGAAATCGATGCTAAATTTTGCTATAATCAAAGCTCTTAAGAATAAAAGCAAATAAACGATTCGAATGGGTAAAACTATACCTTCGTTTTCTGATAAAATTTTCGCTTAAAAAACGGATTCACTAAAGGCCAACAAAAATCGATTCCTTTATAATCATACAATTCCCATCGTCGTGACCAAGGTGGATTTCGCATTTGTACCTTAAGAAAAGCTAAAATTATAATGAAATATACCAAATATTTACTAACTATATCCAACGAAAAATAGAAAAAAAAGAATCCAAAAATCGATTAGCACTTTACAACTTTCTAAAACAAATAATACAATACAATACTACAATATCAACTTTGGAACTGGAGTTTTTTCTAATTTTGTAAATAAACAAATCGATACGCCATAATTTTAAAAAAAAAATAAATAATATAAAATTAAACGATAAAAAATATGACCTTGGTCTCATTAATCGGTACTGGTTTACCAATTGTATGAGCAACTGGTTCCATATGAATATCAAAACGACTGTACTCAGGTAAAGCATCAATCAAATAAGAGAGATCATCATCAAGACGTTTTTCCAAACGAATCGTTTCTATTTTTAAAATAGTGGGATTATACATTTCATACATAATTTCCACTCCTAAAAGAAGATAATGGGCAAATCGTTTCTATTTTTAAAATAGTGGGATTATACATTTCATATATATAACTTCCACTCCTAAAAGAAGATAATGGACAATCAAATATAAAAATATTTGGAATCAAAAAAAGAAAACGATTCGATAAAATAAAATCACCTAAACCATCAATAACATTGCGCAAAGTAAACTGATGTTTAAGCCCTTCACGTTCTCGTCGTATGCAAATTCCAAGAAATCTATTCTTTCTATCGATAGTATTAGGATCAGACAATGTAACTGCCACGATCGAACCTAAAAAAAAAAATGGAATTTTCATCATTTTATATGACTCCAATTAATCAAATATCAATAAAGAAAGACGATAATGAAAATAGTGTCGCAATTTGTCAGAATCACTGAGTGAAATTTTATTCTCGTGAATAACTATTAATATTTCCACATAAATTATTGGATTATTCAGTTTTCGAAATCAGATTTTTGAATATTTTTTCAAAAATCGAAATAAACTTTAAATAAACATACCAACATAAAATTCGGGTATATCAAGTTGCATTCGCCTTTCTATCATATCAGCTCGCTCTAATTCTTCCCTTAAAGCGTTACGTCGACCCCATATTGGAGTTGGTATGAAATCCGGATAAATTTGTCTTAAAATTCGTGATTAAATAAATAAATGAAATAAAGAAAAAAACTTGAGAACGTTATCAATAATTTATCAATTTATCAAAAAAATCGAAAATTTCAATATTAAAGATTTATAGAAATTTATTTATAGAAATAAACTGAAAATTTAAAAAAAAAAAAACAAACGGAAAGTTTGCGATACGTTTCCGAATGGAATCTCCTGAATGCGATAATAATTTTTCACTCATATAAATAAACGTTTTTCTATTGAAACGGTTGAGCAATACTGGAAATGCTTGCATTTCTACAAATTAATCATTAAGCCATCTCCAAACTAATCTGAAATGCGCAGTTTACAATAATTAATCGCATTTCAGTCGCATAATTTTCGAGCAACAAATCTACCAAAATTTCTCACAAATCTTCGTTTTTAAAAAAATAAACCAATGTGGTACCTGTTGGTTATTCAACAACAGAATCATGTGATCAGTGTTGCCAGTGTCTGTCTCGTGTTTTTTCTTTTCCCTTTCCTTTTTCTCTTTCATTTTGTAAAATGTCCTCCAAAATGATCGTTCTAATATTTTTGAAGAATCTGTTAGGACGACATACTCTATACTTCATCCTAAAGTCATTCCACGGCAAGAAGATAATAGAAGCGAAATCGAACCCTATCCCTGAACCCTCTATATTCTACATATAGTAGAATTTTTTCTCCTTCTCTCTTTTTGCCTTTCAATATCACTTTAATGTGAAGAAAGAATTAGTTAGAACGCTTAAACCAAGCCCGAATAATGACGGCAAACAGCCAACAAGTACCACTAGCATTATCCAGTAAATATGCTATAATTTGAAAACTTACAAATATTTATAAGCAAAAATAATATTTATAAACAGAAAACAACAAATAAAAGTTAAAAAAATGAACACAACCAAATAAAAAAAATACACAAAAATAGGAAAAATAATGTAAAACATTTATAAAGAAATAAAAATAATCATTGTCGAAGTTTATCCGACTGCTTCACTTCAATCGTTATATGTACAAAAAATGCATTAATAACAGCCATAACATATTAATGATCGAAATTAAGCAACCATCTTCTCGGCAATGACCTAAAGATGATGGTCCGCATGAATCACCTTTTTCCTTTTTTCAATATTTCCTCACCTCTGCCACCTCCGAGCTAACCGATTTATTGCATTTCAACGGCCAGTCTCATATTTGTTATTACCTTATTACCTTAAAGTACTACAGTCTTTTTTAATCTTTATAATCCATTCTCTGACCAGCAGCTGAATCTTACATCATAAAACTTAAAGTAAAAACAATGCAATAACTAGAGAAGCCAAAATATATTTTATATTCTATAGGTTGAATGCTGAATAAAGAAAGACATTCGAGGAAAAAAAAGACAAACAAATAACAATAAACGCTGAATAAAATTTATGTTAGATTTTGAAAAAATTTTGCATTAAAAATGTCAAATAACATTGCTCGTTAGAACAAAACGCATCTTTGGGAAAATTTCTTTAAATAACGTTTCAGAATGAAACAAAGGCTAAATTCAGGCAAGAAAAATATCATGAATATTTTCAACTTGGACGACAAGCATAAGCTGATTACCTTCGCGCAAAAGACGATCAGCGAATTCCACAAAATCTTCTATAAATTCCGGTTCGTTTAATTTCGAATCGAAATTAAAAAAGCCGATATCGGCGATTTGACGAACCGTAAACCAATGACGTGAATTCAAAAACGGAATATATGCATTGCGTGATGGTACATTAAAAATATAACCAAAAACTTTCGTAGTATTTATTATCGAAGACGACTGACGTGCGTCGAACCATCTCACTTTAAAATCTCTCGTCTCAAGTGCTGCAATTAAAACATTTACATCATAATTACCAAAACCGAATGGCGATCGATGAGGATTAAACCAGTTTGTTGAACTCGAATATAAATTTTCCGCTATGCAATCCAAATCTGATTTCGTGAATTCTTTCCGCTGGAAAAGGCAATTCAATGTATGTAAAAGGCATAATTGCATAGACTGTTTCTCATGATATAAACTATATTCAACTCCATTAGCATTTGCTATTGTCGTTGTCGGCAAACGCACGGATGAAGACTGTTCCATTCTGCAAAAAAACAAGCATATTTTTAAAAAATTAAGTTTCGTAAATCTCAAATAGGCAACTGAACAGAAATAATTCTGTTTATGAAAAAAAGCAGATAATCACAATTACGAAACTAAACAAAAAGATAAATATAGTACTTAAAAGTCCTGAAAATGCTGTAAAGAAATGTCGAAAACAATATTCAAAGATTGTAAAACTTTTAAGATAATCTTAATGATAGTAAAAAGAGCACAGAAAAAGAATGTCATTAGGGAGGACAAAGAGATTACAGATGAAACGGCAAAAAACCTTAGGGAATAATAAGGGAATGGAATGACCTGCAAACATATAATATTTGGTGAGTAAAGCGGTTTATGAAAATTCTAAGGGAATGATGAGTAAGAGGCGATTATAAATCTGAAATGTTGTTGGAGAAATGTCTAAAACGATTTATTAAAGTGTTCGAATTTGAAAGAGCTTTAAGGAAATATTTGGAAATAAGGCTGCGAGGACGTTAAGCAGCCATCAACGGATTCGGAAAATATAACGAAACCCCCGAGAAATTATTCGCGCTTCCTGGATGCATCTCGCCGACACGCAAAGCAATAAACGTACAAGAAAAATATACTGCGTAAAATATTACGGCATTTTATTGCAAAGGAAGGAAAAACGAACCAACTAAGCTGAAATCTCGATATGACTAAAATCAAAACCTATGAAAACTTCCCTCGCCTTTTTTCCAGAAACCTGAAAAAAATGCCAAAAAACAAACTCCGAAAGAATTGTGGCGAGCCACGGCCGTATTTTCTGCCGACCGAAAAATCTTTTTAAAAGGATCGACACAGGCATAAACTCAAAATTGTCACGCGCGTCCTCTCGAGCCCCGCCCAACTTATTGGTCTCTTTGTTATTCGTTTTGTGCAAATTGAAAGCAAATTTCTTTTTTTTTGTAGAGAATTTCGACAAAAATGCTTTTAAAGAAAATAAAAAAGATGGAAATCATTTATCAACAAATAAAATAATTTCATAAAGTTCCAGGATCAATAATAAGACAAAGCGATTCAGTTGTTTGCTCAGGCGTTAAGCCGAGAGGTATTTCTTTCCAGTCGTTGGCGTTGCATAAAATCCAATTGCTTTGTCCATTGTTCGCGTCATAATATGCCGATAAGCCTAAAAACAATCCTTTAAATGTCATTCAAATTATTTCGCAGAAAGTTATAATCGATGATAGTTAGCTGAGATCATTTACAATGGATGGACAAAGGCGATGCAGAATGCTCAGAGCAAAATCGATGACTGGAAAATAATCCAACAACTGATGTTAAGTGAGCCAAATATTGGTGCAAATCGGTGCAATGCTCATAAAACTAACTCCTCTAGTGCATCCGCGATCTTACTGCATGTCGCACGAGAAAAACCACGGAACGACAGATGATCGAATTGCTTGTAAAATTTATTTGTGTAATTTATTTGATTAATTCGTGAACTAATCATTAATTATTTTCATTTTTAATGAATTTTATTCGCTTGAAAAAAATCTCACTTGGATCATCAGATAATAACTTTTGTAAATCTTCCACCGTCCGCACTGGTCTATTTTCTTCGTTGGTGCAAGTTTCATTTTCTTCCACTTCGAAGTTATTGCCGAGTGCTATATTTACTAACTGACGCAAACATTTACACTTTTCCGCTTCTTCTCCACCAGATTCCAATTTATTTAATACTCTATAACAAATATTTGAAAAGTGCTCAGGAAAGAAAAAAAGTAAATCGTAAAATAAAATACATAAAACCACTTGTTCCAATTATTTAATAAAAAATTCTGATGAAAGAAAAGAACTTTTCAAAGTGGGAATCCAAATATTTTTGAGGAACGCGCAGCATTCCTCGAATAATTCGAGTCCAATCTGAGTTTGGCACAATGTCACCTGAAATATTCAATTGCCTTTTTCCAGTTTTGAAAAAAAATAATTGGAATATTCATTAGGACGGGCAATTTCTGCCCACAGCTCTCTGGATAAAATCATTTAAATCGAGAATAATTAAAAAATTTAAGTAGAGGATATGAATTAAAATATCAAAATTTCATAACAAACAGTATCGATGAAACTGTCAAAATTATTTTTATATTAAAAAACTTAGGTAAAATAAAAAAGAGCAATGTTTTAAATTGTTTTAAATATTTCATGGCATCAAATGGTCATCAAAGGATTTCCTTTTGCCTAAGGGCTAGTGTCATCTCTTATTTGATGACGTCAAGTTATATTACCTTTATCATAGATTTATTTTTTTTTCACACAACCTATGCTACCTTTAACCGATGCAAAATCTCAATGACTCAGGTATTCTACTCCAATTAATAGGCCGAGATTCCACTAGAATTCAAAGCCAAAGTTTAGAAAAACTACAAATAATCTAATTTAATTTATAATAATTTAAACTTAATTTAATAATTTCAATTAGATTTATATATTAAAATGATTTTAATAACAATTAAACTTAATAAACCTAGTTTAAACAAAATAATTTAAACTTTTCAACAACAATGAATCCACTTTAAACTGAACTGAATTGAATTAAAATTAAATTCGAATTCTCACTGTATAACTTGTGGCATATAAAGAAAAAAAATAAACTTTTGCAAAGTGTCGAAAGCAATAAATGAATCCAGGCAATAAGCTGTCGATCTCTAATTTGAGAATTGCATGGATCGTCCAGTGCACTTACTAACTGAAAAGTCAATAAAAACTGAAAAGTCAAAAAAAGTCAATAAATATAAAACAAAAACTGAATCCATTTAGTAGAAATGAGTGAAATAAACTTTTCACAAGATCGATAAAAAGATTGACAGTGAAAATCTTCGATAGCTAAAGACACATTCTCTCAAAAAACTCTCAAAAAATACCCCGTACAATAATTCTGGGAGAGCTCTAACACGGCTTAAAATATGAAAAACTGGTTGCCAGAATCGTTGAAGTGTCTCTGGTATATTCCAAATTAATGAATCTGAAAATTTTCTATTTTACTGGCGCATAATAATAAAATTCAATAAAAATAAAAACATGATTTTCGCAAGCAAAACATTCATGTATCATATCATTCAAAATACGATTTTACTTGCTCTATTAAAAACCAATTTACATCAATTCTTCCAAGACCGAAAAAAATTGCTAAAAATTGCTATAATCTCTAATTAATATTATGATCGATTATCATTAGTTTTTATCAGATTTTATCAGATTTTTTATCAGATTTTTTGAAGAAAAAACTTACCACTAACAGATAAACTAAAACCAGCCATTTGTATTTGTTTCTGAGTCATTATTAAACGGCCATCTAGAAGCAATGTATCCAAAAAATCTCTGAAACGATAAATAAAAATCTGTATCAACTGATGAAAATTCATGAAAATTTTCTTTATTGCTATGAACGCTAGCAAATAATAATATTGTACACTATCACTCATTATAAGATTTTATTATATATTGTTCACCGATCCCTATTTTTCCCATTTCTATCCTCATTTTTGGCTTTAAAGTCGATAAAAATAGAGAAATATTTCAAATTATAAATGATAATATAGGTACCTAGGATTAGACATAACGAGCTTCATGAGATTGTCCAGTACATCACCAGAAAAAGAAACAACATCAGTTGAATCAGAAAACTGAAAAAAAGAATCATAGGAATGAAAAAGCAGTTAAAGAAACGATAATTTGGTGCGTCAGTGTCAAGACGATTGCCAAGAATTGAGAACGGTTCGAATCCGAATCAGATCGATGTACCATGTTTCGTCAGATGTTGCCAAATGGCAAAAACAAAGTGGAGTAATGAAGAGCTTATGATAGCGTTTTTCTCTTGGTAAAGATAAATGTTGCTCAATTCCCGTGATGCTGTCGACTTACCTGTATTCCTATTGCCAAGAAACTCTAAGGCAAAATTTGTCTAGTCCGACAAATCAGCGGAGCGAGCCTTATCAGCAGTGATATTAGAAAAAAAATTTGGACAATATTTGATAAATGATTTCTTTCTCCTCATTTTCGAACATCATGCAACTTATACAATGCAACTTGTATAATCCATTAACTATTAGGAAATCTTTGGCCAGAGAGTAACTTGAGAACAGAGGTAAGAGCCCTTATGCTGTTCTAATTTCACTTGTAACGATAGTTTTTATTAGAGACATTTTTTTTAAAAAGCGTACAACATACTCTTGCTCTAAAATGGATATAAGATTCAATATGATGGCTTATGTTGTTAATCTGCCTTAGGTATTCTTCAACAGCAGCGCTACCACTCATTGCCTGGGCCAAAGGCTTTGACCAATGATTGTCCTAAAATCAAAATGTCAGAAAAAAATTTTTTTCCAATATTTCACTATATTCTTATATATTCAAATTTATTTTTGCATAGAATATAAATCTAAGGTTAGAAAAAACAAAAGTGGAACTAAAAGCTAAAATTTAAACTCTATCAAAGTTAAGATAATTTTTAATTTATAGCAATAGCATATAATATCTCACTGAAATCGACTCTGATATGCCACATTATCGAAAACTTACCCACAACCATTGACGACAAAAGCGCGCAGCTTTGCGGAACATTTTTAATGAGGGCATATGCTGATGAGTAGCCTTATGGCGTACTTTTACAATCCACGTCGGTATACCCACCTTAAACAGAAATTCTAAATTTAAAAATTTGCACAATATTGCATAGTCAATCATTTTGATGCTAAATTATTCTATCAAACACGGCAAATTACGTTAAAGCATAAAAAAGACATTACACTAGAGAACTGAAATCGCCGCAAATATTAAAGATTAAACGACGGAATAATGACCAAACGGTTAAAAGCAGTGATAATTAATTGAGTGATCGCCTTTTGCTTTGAATATCTTTCGCATCAGTCGATTAAATTATTCCTTATATTATTACATGAAAAACAAAAACAAGGAACTGTCAAATAGCTAATAAAATGAACCTTACTAACGGCCACGGCCATTGACGAGAATTCCGTCGTTCGTAACTGGCAAATTTCATTTACATAATTTACGAATCTAAATATAAGTATAAAAATTTACGAATCTAAATATAAAAATTTTCATCGTAGAAAAATTCCAGTAAAGAAACAGATTTCTTCTATATTTCATAAATTTTCTTTCTCTTTACCAATATAATATAAGAAAATAAATAGGAATACCAAAAGAGTACCAATAAGGAAATTATTTGGGATAACATAAGATAAGACTAAAGATAAGATTTAGAATAACAAAAAAAATAATCGCTCTCTTTTGCTAAAATTTTGCCTTCTTAAATAATTGCCAAAATTAAATGAAACGCCAAAATAACATGAAAAAAACTGAAACATTGCCAAACTGATATGGAAAATTTTACGAAAAAAAATTTGTTGGCTTATAATTTGGCCACGATTTCTTACGTAATAAATCGAAAATTTTTTTCAGCGCTTATCTCCAAAAACTTATTGAATAATAAAATTTCCTCAATCTATTTTAATGAATTTATTGAGGTAATAAAAATGTCAAAAAATTAAAATTGATAAAAAAAGAGATGAAAAACTTTATTATTAATTAATAACTTATCGCTGAATAATCAAGAAACATAAACAGCTAATAGTTTTCGAGGTGAATTCATTTTCATTTGGTGACAATATGCTGAGAAGACGAAGATGGATCGTATGAGACTATCCACTCGACGAGTACGCAGAGCATCTTGGATAACAGTTCTCAAAGATAGGTAGTTTCGTAAAACCCTCCACTCTCACTGAACATGCACCACAGCTATAGAACAAGATCGCATGTATTGCAGATAAACGCGAAGCTTTGTTTTAATGGTAACATCGCGGTGATTGCATGGCGGTTTTACCAGACGAAACAACACAGTCGATTATTATAAATTCGATTGTTCTTTATCGATAATTTTTCCCAATTTTCATTTTCTCGAAACTCTTTAAAAGTTTTGAACTGCAACTCTGCAGTTTTATTTCTTTTAATTGATACTTTATTTATTTCACTAATTAGAAGTAAAAAGAAAAAATAAAAAAATAAGCCAGGGTACATCCGCTCTGGCTGAATGGAAACTGGTTAAAATACGGTCTATGCCCAATTCAAAACAAAATTTATCATTAATACATGTGCTCCACGCGCAGATAACCGTGAAAAAGATTCTATGCTCGAAATATTTAACAATATTTCTTTCGAAAGGTGATATAGAAGGTGATATAGCCGTAATTGGGATAAATGAAGGTTCACATGGGTCATGGCACGCCAAAGTAGTAATTGCAATTAGTAAATGTAGCATTAGGCTCGATGCACCAATGTAGATTTCGCTTTGCGAATAACATGAACTTTTAGACTTTTAGACTTAATAATACAAATATTAACGGCATGTTAGGAATGATATGAATATTAGTCTCGACTAAAGATACGCTAAATATGCTACTCGAAAAATACGGCAATAACTGTCCGACTGAAATGACTGGCAATGCACGAATATCAGACGACCTTGCTTATCTGATGTTTTATACAACATTATGTCCCTGAATATGGAAATGGTTTCTCAAGTAGGCGGTAATAGGAAAGTATCTTCATAAAACAACCTTAAGTAGGGAAACGTCCGGGACAATAATGATGTTAAAACTAAAAGCAGCCTCGTACAGCGAAGAGAAATCTTTAGGACTAAACATAACCATGATGCACGATCTGGTATCCCAGATATAGCTTAAGCATTCATCGATGAGCATATAACCGCGAACCGAGCAAGAAATAATCTCCATCATTCTCATAAGCTTAAGGCTAATAAAATTCTCGGAGAAGACAGTCTTCCGAATGAAGTCTTCAAATGTTCTCCTTCGTAATTCACTTTCAACAAATGTATCTCTGGTATGGAAGAAAGAACTAATACCTGAAGAGAGGGACTGCTGAAAAATATTCCTGAGATTCCACCAATTGTTATTCGAAAATAAATTTGCGGAATTATTATGTAAAAGCTTTCTTATCTCAGACTATATTTTAATTGTTTTTAAATTCCATTAAATTCGAGTCCATATAAATATCGTTCATCTCATCTTACTTTCATCTCTCATACAGGAAATCTTCCACCATCTGGTACATTCTATGCCTTCCTATGACGTTCTATTATTATATACCAATGCATTCCTATATTTATATATGACCCTATAAAAACCTTTCCCTTAGGTTGTGATGAATGCCTCCTGTGATTATTAATGGAATAGTTATCTGGGTTATTTCTTGGTTCGTTATTGGTAGTTTCTATTCTTATCCTCTGGATATAGTATTTTCATATTTATCCTCCAATATACGCAAGATATAATAGATGGATGAGCATAGGTAAGAATTTTAAACTATTATTTTCTCTCAAGGCAAACTTCTTCCCAATCCTCAAAAAAAGTAATAGGACATATTGTAACAATTAGCCTATTAGGAAAATTCATCATTTGTTTCACTGATTTTGCCGCTGCCTTCGATTCAACTGGCAGAGTTCTGGAGAATGATGAAGTGCGATGGTGTTCCACAGAGGACCGTTATATTCTCAATGACATTCTACCAGCGTATATTTGTAATATATGGGGAATGGAGATCCTTTCGAAATAAGAACTGATGTTGGTCAGGGCTGCACTCGTTCTTTCCCCTACGACAGGCTGGATCATGGACGTCACTTGCCAGCACTCGAGGGCAAAGGATGGGCTTTACGCCCTCAACAACACAAAAGTCAACCATAATTTCTCTGGCAATAATATTGCTTTATCTTCCTTTTCAATAAATAAAATGCATTTAAGTATTTACTTACTATTTTTACATTCATATTTAATAATGATGAAGGAATCAAATCGGTTTCAAAAAAGAGTTAAATGGAAAGAAATGAATAATAATTGAGGAAGAAGGCAGAAAGCATTAACATATCAATAAGAATTTATTAGGAAAGGGAATAAATTCGATCGAAAGTAAGTGGAAATATAAATAAGTAAGTAAGGGTTAGGTAAAAGAGACTTTGTTGAAGATGGAGAAAAGAAGGTCGTTCTTGAAGAGATTTTATAAAAATTAAAAACGAGCAGATGCTATGGACAAGTCAAAATTAATATTATTGCTTCAACTGGGTTGGACATATTTTAAAAAGCCAATCAAATTATTTCCAAAGATGAAGAAATAAATGATGAAGTTGACAGCGATGATGACAACGTCTCATTATTATCACCTATGGCTGTTTATTTATGACAAGCAAGATAACGAATGTCTTTATCACTTATGGCTACGATCATCTTTTATTCATATTTTTATTCGTGATATCGATGTCTGATATTATTATAGTTATTATCAGTTAATAAGATGACAACATCGTTCGTTATCTTCGTTATCTTCTTCATCACTTTTGAAAATCAACAACTAATCATCGCTTGAATCGCTAGGGATAAAATAAAAAATTACTATTGCTATCATAATTACTATTACAGTATATAAATAAAAAATGGTCATTTTATTTTATTCACCTACTATATTTCCACCTTTTGTTAATTATTATTGATAACAATAGCGAGGATAAATATTAATATCGACATCCTTTTTTAGTGGCGAAAAACACGCAGTTATCATCATTATCCACGTTGACACCGATGATAAAGAACGATGACCTATAAATATAAAGCAAAAACTAATCAAATGATAGAAGTGATAAAGTTTCAGCAAACACTTTCCCGGTTTTATTGAAAGGTTTATCTCAGTGGACATGAATTAAATCCTATTGCTTGACCACGTAAGCTGATATCGATGACGATGATGAATAACCACAATTATTAATGACGATAGTAACTATCATTAATATCTAATTATTTCCAACATCATGTCTCCAATAAATTATTTATTCCTTCGTTCCCTTCATTATTCAACCTAACTTCGATCTTCTTTTCACCTCCTTTTGCCTTCTCTGAAACCCCAATCCTTCTTTAGATTCTTCCTTCTCGCAATATTTTTTCATTTAATGCTTTTTTCAACAAGCAAAGTTGTATTTTTTAGGAATATAAATTGAAATAAATTGAATCGTCATGCTTATTCCATGTGATAATTTCATTTAAATAAACTATGTATTTGCTGAGATTTCTCACAGTCTGTTGTTACACAATTCAGTTCGGTAAGATATTTTAATTCTTTGCAAATCATTTGTCTCAATTAGTTTTAATAAATTCCTTAGAAGCGATCACTTTGTAGAAGAGGGAACTGAAGGCGAATTGATAATCGACGTGAAAAAGCGTTGAAAAGCCGTCGAGAAATGGCGGAAAACAACGACTCGTAATCCTGGTTTCCTTCTGTAGTAATTATATTAATAAAATTTTTTCATGACAGACTTTTTGATCAACGAATTCGAATAACTATTAATCTTTGTATAAATGCTCCGTCTGAACTGGCATAACCTGGTTTATTTCATTTATTATCTAAGACACCACAGATCAACAAAAAAAGGAAAGTTGAAAGGAAAGGAAACAAAAGAAAAGGAAAAAAGGAAAGGAAAGTTGTTATAGATAGTAATCTTCAAACTTGCGCCGGCATCTGAATAATAATTATTTCATGATAAAAATTGCTAACCAATCGAAGCCATCATTGATCTACCGTATTCAAACACTTCTTAGCCAAAATACCCATTATTAACGGACGCATAATCTCATATGAACTATGATCTTAATAATATTTACCTAATCATCTATTCTCAAGTGGTACTCACATTCAAATTATGGTCCTCCAATTAACCACTGTTTTCTCAACCATTAATTTAATAACTGAAGTGGTCAACTTGTAATAAATAAGTCAAAAACTATGGCAAAATGCATTTTATAATTTATTAGTGCAGTCTTAAGTCTTAATATAGGATTTAACGTGGGAAATAGCGGTGAAAAGATTCATTCAAGCAGATTTCTTCATTATTTTATCTTTTCAATTCTACACTTGTGAAATCATTAAAATATGAATTTTCAGAGAAAGTCATCGATTTTAAAGTAAATTTGTTGATATTCGCGCCTAGCAATAACAAAAACCAAAATCCTATTATAGGTCAAGCAATATTTTGTTACGATTGTCACTCGGATCATGGAACGTGTAATGACGGAAAATGTGATGGAATCGTTTGCATAAAGATGGAAACATCGAATAAAGATAACGGTTCGCTTTTTTGATATAAGAGATTGATAAATCCATTCGAGAATCCCTTGATTGCACGTAAGGAAATTCTACTATTTTAAATATCATCTACATATATAGTCTACAGAGCAGAATACTTCAGTATTTATGGAACTACAACTGAAAGGATAAAGTTTCAAGAAAATTTTCCGAGAGCACCATTTCTGGCATTTGGCTCACTCCATTGATTAATTAAGATTTTCCAAGATTTACACAAATATGTGAAGATAAAAATCAAAATTTTCCTATTAAAAGAAATTTGCTAAGGACAATAAGGAAATTTAGAATTAAAAAAAAGTGCCAAATAGAACCAATGGAAAAAAAGACAACAAATTATTATTAATTATTAATATAATTACTAAATTACTTATATAATTATATAATTATAACATAAATTAAATTAGCGAATACCTAAATTTGTTCACGTAACTTTTCTTTCGATTTCAAAAAAGGTAAATGGATTAAATTCCTTAAGCAAGTTTGCTGTACTTGAGTATTTGCATTTTGTATGATGGAGTTGTAACTGTAACACACAAGTACCACTGAGATTCAATCTAATCACTAAAATGCGTTATTATCATTATCTTAATGAAATTATAGAAAGGAGAACTGTACAAAAGGGCTGTGGTGATGATATCGAAGAAAACGGTTGTCAACAAAGTGGATTTGGATCAAAATGGACATCGCGATGTGTATGTGATCGATCTTGGTGTAATGGTGATGAACAACTCGCTGCATCAGGTCTTGAATCATCATCTGGCACTGTTAATACATCACTTCCAAAAACACAATTAGCACTTATACTATTTATTTTTGTTTTCCTTGCTGCCTCATGCTTACTTCTTATTTTTAACACGATTTGTGTTCAATGTTCTCAATAAACAGTTCGCAAAATCTCATTTTCATGGTTCCACATAAATTTTTATCTAGATTTGCATGGATTAATAATAGTAATTGACTTCCATGACTTCCATGACTTTAATTATTTAATTATAAATTTAATTATATTAATAAATAACGGCCAACTAATTATAATGGTACTTAGCCTTTACTTAAGATCTGTATAACAAGAAAATTTCTATATATTATAGCTAAAGATCGATGAATTAAAAATGAAAATTATAGTGGAAATATTTAAATAATCTAACTGCAGTCAATTTTATTGGTGTAAATATCGTAATTTATAAAGAAATTATTCTTTAGTTTAACTGGCATTGCTGAATACTATAATCAGAGCATTTTTTCGGGAAAAAGATGTGACAAGTCGGGATATCACCCAAATTTCATTATTAATCACATTTTTTCGTTCTTCTATGAATCCATCTTGTTTGCCCTCAGCGAAAGTAATATATAATTCAACCTTATTAATAAAAAATAAACTAATCTATTTCTTCTTACTCTTTTGCAATTAAGAACTCTAAAAAAATTTATGATAAAATATGGAAGAACTACCTGCAAATGTGATTACAACCCTATTGTCTTCAAACAACTAAATATCTCTGAATCACCTTATTATATTGCTGGTTAAGTAAATGCCCGATTTCAAAAACCGAATGGCCAGGTAAACGACGAAATTGCAATTCCGGATAACCGCTAGAAATGCTGCGTTCTTCCGGTTGACGGAATCTTTATGGAGCCGTTGCGAAATCACCACAAAAACGAAAGACCGCATCTATATAGCCGCGATCTGCTAGTGGCCGATGAGATATGAAGAATTATCTGCCTTTCACCAATCATGTCTAAGGTACATTTTACGGTTTCATCCAGTGGATAAAATATCATATGATCGCATTCACCTTCGTTCAAATACCACTTTCATTAACAGCACCATCACAAAGCATCGCTGGTTAGGGCACGTTCACCAGAAGAGTTAACACATATTTCGTTACTTGATAAATCTTATGATGGATGGCGTCAAAAATAGCATCAATAGCGAGGTGGACCAATCAAGATCTAGACTGGCACTGTCGGAAAAGATTTTAAACGTATATGTGGACTAGCAATATATGGACTTTGACGATGGAAAAAAGGATTGGTTTCTAGTACTGTCGATGATAGCATCAGATCGCGCAGCTTGGAGACATCTTCGTAACCGGTGGAAGCAGTCTAACGAGTAAGGTGAAGGTTGCGAACAATACTATTCTCTTAAAGTTAAAGCTAGCATAAATGATCTGTGGTACGCACAACCAACATTACATTGCGACACAATCGTTTCGAAAAATAACCTTATAATCGCACTGTTATATACCAGCAAAAGATTTCCTATAGCGAACCAATCATTTTCATCCGTTTCTTTATCGGCTATTATTGATCTAAGTATCAAATCAGAAATTTCGGCAGCGATATGGAGCGCCAACCCAGACCTGCAAAAAAATTTACTGTTTCCAAAATCTTGCTATTTCCAATCTGGGACAGATAACTTTAAAAACAACCTTTATGTAAGAACAGTACAAAGTTTTCCAGTAAATATTTTGCCTTAAAAAATTATATATATATATATATATATATAAACTTCAGTGATAGATTTAATCCAATTGGGGGACGAGATTCGAATCCACGCTAATTGTGCCCAGCAATAAAAAAAAAAACAAATAAAAAAATTGTCGGTAAATTTGGAGGAAAATGATATGAAAAGTAACCTCGCTCGCCAGCAACAGAATATAGCAACTGCTTGCTTAAGATCTTCTAAATCGTCACTTCTAAATAGTGTTGTGACTCTAGCCCATTCCGTTCTAAAGAAATTTATTGCGAAGAATGAAAAAACTTGTGATAGAAATGATTTGAATAAATACATTAATAAAGACTTATTAGATACTCAAAATTGGCTGAAAATACTAAACCGTTTCCAAGTCGCCAATATCTAAGATTATCTAAGATCGCCCCAACGAAATGACCTATGACCTTAAATTGGAACCGCGAAATCCACAATACAAAGGACGAAATGAACGAATGAGGCTGAAGAACATGCAGAAAATAGAACAATAAACATGAATAGGAAAACAAGAGGAAAAAAGCGGTGAACTAACTCCGTAAACGCTACTCGAATACTTCCCGCAACCATTATTCCCACCGAATACAATTTTCTAAATGAAATTAAATTGATCTGAAAATATTTAAAATAGAATAAAATCACCATAAATTAAATTTTAAACTTTATTTAAAAGCACGAAAATATTTCGAAAACTGCGAACGATTTACTTTAATACAAATAAATTTCAAATGAAATTCAACTAAACATAACAACACTCGAATTTTGATGTAGAAATCGACCAATATTTTAAGAATCGATTGCAGTCACCTTAAATTTAAATAGGTACTAAGAAATTTTGGCGTTGCTACAGTGCCTAAGTTATCCTCGCAAAACTGACACCGTCTGTCCCGATCTCGACAGTTTGTGGGAAATGCAGTCAACACAATCTAACCAAGACAATATTAGCCGAATGAATATATTAATTAGGCATCTTCTGCATCTGGCAGCTTACTCTTGAAAAAATGCGGAAAATGAGGTCCCAACTCCCATCAGCATCTATGAACCCTCGAGAATGCACCTCATCGTAACAATAGCCAACGGATCAAACTTAAATACAAATGGTGAATGCGGACCATTTTATATAATGGTGAATGCGGACCATTTTTATGACTAAAGATTTGCGCTGAGATTGCATAGAGAGAATGAATGTTACTCGATATGTGGACTCAGACTGTAGAAAAATTTGATATAAGCCTAGGAATGCTTTACGCTATCAGCTTATCAAATCAGTAGAATAGTTCGCACTATTTCGGTACAAAAATAATGTTGTGAGATAATTATACACTCATCACCAAATAAAATGATTATTTCAATGATAAATTATTTTTATAAAAAAAATGTTGATAAAAAAATTCTTTCAAAATTTTATATGATTAATTATGGAAATTTAATTGCATACAAAATAAAATTAAATGCAACCACAAAAATTTTTATAGAATGACAAATTTCAAACTATTTACTAGAATCAATGTGTTTCCCGAGGGTTGATAAAAACGTCTTATAAATTTTACCGAGATTTCAGAAGATGGAATAAAAAAAAACCAGGAACCTCATTTTTTTTCCAACCACCATCACCCTTTTCTTAAAAATTTATCTATAATTGATGAAATTAAATTGGCAATTTAAGAAAAAGAATGCATATACAATTAAATTACATTAGGCATAAATTTTTAAAGGATTAAAAATTGCACAGAAATCATTAAAATAATTTTTTTTTTCACAGAAACAAAAGTTTTTCATTTTTCAAATATTCATTCAATAATCCAAAAAAATATATGAAAAGAAATGCAAACAATAAATAATTTTTCTCTTGATTCTAAGAAAAAAATAGAAATAAATATTAGTAATCTGAATTCACTACAATTCATACAAAAAACTGAATAATTCATAAGTAAAATATTCAATAATATAGCTCAAACGGGCGAAAAAAATAAGTGAGAATATGGAATGTAACTTAAAAAAAGCACTTATCTGAAGCAAACAATAAGTGCATGAATAATATTTAGGCACAGAACTGCTTTATTTATTAAAGAAAAGAAAATAACAATTTAGATATATAATACAATGAAAAAATGATTTACTCCAAATTACATTGTTTTTCATTCATTCATTATTTCATTAAAAAAATATGAATTCCAAAAACAAATTTAAAGATTTAGAAACAAGAAGGAACTTGTAATGAATTAAAGAATCAGTGGAGTAGATCTGGTGTTCTTGACTACGTATTCAGTAAATCCGCGCAAAAACTTTGGATATTCACGTTTATATATCATCCTCAAGCCTGCTACTGGCACCCAACCACCAGGATCCACTGAAATAAGAAATAAGTTTATAAGTCTTTCCAATATCAGATGGACCCATTCTTTAAAAATCAAAAAGAAAATCAAAAGAAAAATAACCTCGTGAAACATAAATTATTCGACAAGAAACGTCATTACGAGTCAAATCTTCTACTGGTTTCTGATAATCTTTACTGATAACGGTTTGGCAGATCATAGCAACAGTAAGGCCAACTCGAACATTTGAACTTTGTTTTAACTAAAAAATATGAACGAAAATAGATCACTACTTTTCTATCGATGATAAAAACACCACCAAATGAATAAAAATGCATGATAATCGCGAAAATAAAAAATGACCGGAACATCAGGGCGTACACAACTATGATTGCAAACAAGGAATAAATCCAACGCATCTGCATCTCTATGTTCATTAAATCGACGCGTATGCGACCAAAACAGAGATTCACGTTGAGCTGTTGGCCATACACGTTTGTGTACCTAAATGAATTCCATAAATATAATAGTCGCAAAACCACTAGATTTGAAAAATGTCAAAAGACTGATTATTTAGATTATTCTCACTTTAGAGGACTAAATTCATAAAAGAAGAAATTATTCTGATTCTAAAACTTTACTTGATGAATAACCACAGTATCAGCAGAAATCTGTTCGACGACGGATGTCTCTTCCACTGTTTCTAAAATATGCCATATTTATTGAACAAATGAACTCATTACATAAAAATTTAAAGTAAAATTTTCCATAGGGTCAACAAATTTGTAATTTTAATAAAATAAATAAATAGGACAAAATAAATATTAAATTACAAGAAAATTTCTAATAAAAAAAATAAAATAAATTAAAAATTACCATCCCATTCAAGTTTGAATTTTGGTTCGAAAAAATAATGTATATATTCTCGAGCTGTAACATTCTATAAAAAAAACTGATAATGAGAACCCGCAATGAATAAACAGAGATTTTCAGCTTACACAATTTAAATAAAATTTCGGAAGAAAAATTTCAAAAAATTATTCACCTTAATGAATCCGTGCATCATTTAAATGCCAGTCATCTTTTTATTGACTATTTCTATATACAAAATTTTTTCAAAAAATTCGAAAAAAATTTGAAAATCCATTATGGTGAAAAAAATTGCAAACTTTGACTAAATGGGTAGCCTTCAAAGGATCTTGAACTAAACCATCAATTTCCAGATTTCTTTTATACATTTTCATCTCACCCTCTTCCCAGAATAATTCCCAAACCTGAAAAAATAATAAATGATCAAAATAATTGTATAAATTACGTAATTATATACAATATATTTCGATACAACTATTGTGATACTCAAATTTTGAATAATTTTTATTTTAATTCGGTGCACGAACTTTTCTTCTTTTTAGTAAAACGTACTATAAAATGTTTGGAACAAAATTCCTATTTCCTTTATTCTTCCTTTGATTTTTTGATCTTCCATTAAATACTTACGCGATCATCAACACCAGCTTTCGCATAGCGAATTTGTTCTATCACTAATTTATTAATTTTTTCAAAAAGACAATGCGATGGTAATAAAGACAATACTCCATTCGGCATATATGAACTATATTCTTCTCGAAAAAAATTATTTGCACAAATTGTTTGTGGCACGATAGCCGAAGAACTCTGAAAAATAATTTCAGTCACCAGTTTTACTTTTATTCTTTTTTTCTATACAACAAGTAAAAGAAGCAGTCTATTAAACATACGCATTTTGCTGGAGAATGATTATCACCCTCACTCGCATCAAACCACTCAGATGGTTCTTCATCGCTTAAGAAACTATCGGTAGCCTAAATCATTGATTAAATATAACGAAGTTCCAGCGCAAATGCTTTAATTACATTTTAAAACGAAAAAAAAGAACATTATAAAGAAAGTATAATAAAATAAACAAACAAAATAAAATAATTTATTTTTTAATAATTATTAAAGCGTACTTCTAATTATATTTTTTAAATTTTCCTAACATTCCATAAAGCTTTATTCTTTTTTTTATTTCTTCTTTTTCTTCTTTTTTCTGATAGTTGTTTCGAAAATCTTCTAACGCTTTCAGAATTTTAATTATATATTTAAAATTTTTCTAACATCTTTTTCCTTTAATAGAAAAATAGAAAAATAAAAGAATAACCTTTTTAGCAAGTTTGATATGTTGAGAAATATCATTTACTACTTTCAAACTTGCATTAGTAGAAATGCAATTTTCCTCCAGTTTAAGACCATTAATATTTCCATTTGAAGATTCCATAACCGATGATTCTATATATTTATGTAAACGATCAATTTGTATCTGAGCGAGATCACGATAAAGTTCCAATTCTTCCACTAGATTTTTCAGCCGCTCCTAAGTAATAATAATTTTCACAAAATTTTTTTTTAAACGAATATTGTTAATAGAAAAGATGTTAAATCAAAATGTTGAAAAAAATCAATTTTAAAGAGACATACAATTCTACAGATTTAAAGAGACATACAATTCTACGAGATTTAAAAGTAACTGTCGATATGGAGTTGTTGTTGTTGCTCTGTTTTCTATCTTCGCTAGACTCTTCTAATTGATTCTCTGAAGTTTTATTGTCTTCAATTGTAACCTGAAAATAAATAATCCTGTTAATAGGAAACTTTTCGTGAATAAAATAGGAACTTAAAATGTTTTCAGAATCTTGAGCAATAAGTTCAGGAATACTTAGGAAAGTTCTGAACGAAACTTTTTGCGAAAGGATTTCTAAAGCTATTCGAAAAAGTAAACTTGGGAATATAATTTTTGTTATAAGTTTATAGACTATTTAAAACCCATTTAAAACGAAAAGAAAGTAGGAAAAAGTAAGATTTAGATTTTATCGAATAAAATCGACAACAATTTATTCATTCAAAAAATTTAATTAAAAAAAAAGAAACAGTTGCTATAGATAAATAACTAACAGAAAATGATCGAAGGGCAGTAATCCATAATTTTTTTTCTTTAGGACTTTCAGCTTTTAAATACCAAACTATTCCGTTTGTTGCGATATCAAATCTTGACCGATCTATTTCACTTTCCTAAAAAAAACCGCATAAACGTTAAAAGTGATCAGTACCAAATAAATCGTTATTTTAAAAAAAAAAATGATGGCGATATTTTCTACTTGTAATTCATCATTCCTTTCTCTTTTACACTCTATCTTTCTCCAAAATAACGAAGAATACAGAAAAATCAACAAGCAGTTTTAAGAAATAAGAAATACTAGTGACAAAGTACTAAAATTTTCGATGAACCATGGACTCATTTACTCTATGAGACTTTGAAAAACTGTGGTCCATCTTAAAAAGATTTTGAAGAAAAAAAGGTAATTCGAAAGAAATCATCTTGTATATCAATGAATTTATAGACTATTTAAAACCGTTTAAGAGTAGTTATGGAATTGATACATTTAATATTTTATTAGAAATTTTATCAATTAAACAAATAAAATTTAATTTTTATCATTTAAAATTGGCGCTAAATTTCATCCATCATTTTTATCCATATTTCTATCCACTTCTCATAGTAAAACAAGAGAACAATTGCGAAAAAAAGTGGGAAATCGGAATTAGATCGAATTTTCGAGTATAAAAAAATTAAAATAAAATATAAGTGACAAAAAACCGAATAAATGAGCAAACAATAAAGTATTTTGGCATATTTCTATAGGTTTTCTAAGAGGAAACGAAGATAAGTGGATTATTGAGCTGAAAGACAAGAATTTCGCTCACAACCTTGATAAAATTAAAGCTGTCTTTTAAAAAATAGCAGTGATGCTGGCAACCCATTTGTATATTTAGTTAAGTGATTCCCTCATCAGAGCCACTCTAATTAGAAATGGTGAATACTTACTTTTATATCTTCATAAAATTCACTTCTAACTTAAATTATTTTATAAACTGTTCTATTCTATTTTCTTTTTTTTTAAAGAATTAACTTTAATTTTGTTTTAGAGGATTAATTTTAAGGTCAAATCTAATTTCATAGACGGCAATTTTTACCGCCAAAATATTTTCCCATAAATATTTTTTGTTTCCTTTTTCCTTATTAAATTCCCTATTAAATAAATTTTTTTTCATCCATCCCTAGAAATGACACAATATTTTTCTTTGTTATCTCTCCTGAATGATCTTAATACTAGTGACAAAGTACTAAAATTTTCGATGAACCATGGACTCATTTACTCTATAAGACTTTGAAAAACTGTGGTCCATCTTAAAAAGATTTTGAAGAAAAAAAGGTAATCCGAAAGAAATCATCTTGTATATCAATGAATTTATATACTATTTAAAACCGTTTAAGAGTAGTTATGGAATTGATACATTTAATATTTTATTAGAAATTTTATCAATTAAATAAATAAAATTTAATTTTTATCATTTAAAATTGGCGCTAAAACATTAAAAATGGATGGAAAAACTGCTGTCTATTAGATTTAACCAATTTTAATTCTTTAATCCTTTACAAACTTCTAATAATAGCAAAATAGGAAAAGCAGAAGGGCATGACTGGAAGCTATAATATATGGAAGCGCAGTTTGCTTTATGTATAAAATATTATTTATAAAAATTATTATTTATAAAATATGAAAATAAAATTAAAACGAACCGCAATAGTTGCACAGCGAATTGTTATTGAACCGCGACTTCCAAATATTTTCTCATTTTCTGATTTATAATAAAGTAATGAACCGTTTTCAACTTCAAAATATCTTTGTTGCCAACCATAAACGTAATTCGTCCATTTTCGTAAAATTCCTTGGATTTTTTCTCTAAAAAATTATAAATTAATGTTTTATATTTTATTATATTTTTTAATAATACAAAATTAACTAAAAAATTATAATTTTGACCACATAAAATTCGGAAATAAAAATAAACAGATAAATTTTAGATGAAATATTTAAAAAATATTATAAATATTTATATTTACAAATTTGTAATAACAGTTATATTCTAAAAATAGAAAAGTTATAAAATGCATCATTTGATTAGAGATAACCCCGCCCACGGGGAATATTATTTTCTTTTTAGTAGAAAAAAATTGAAAAGGAAAAACTAACGGCTGATCGCTATTATATATGAGTAAGTTTGCCGATTTATCTTCTAATAGAACATTTGACTGTGTCATAAAAGGAAAATGAGAAAGAGAGAGAGAGAGAGACAATGCAAGAAATTATTAAATAATCTGAAATAACTTGGAAAAAATCAACGAAATAATCTGAAAAATAACGTAAGAAATTCATAAAAAATTTGCTTGTTTTACAAGAGAATTGAAGAAATTTTTTGAATAAAAAATATAAAACAATTTAAATTTTTTATTTAGAAGAGAGAAATTAAAAATTTTTCCATAAATTATCAAATGAAATTTCCATGAAAATTTTGATTCAATGAGAAAAAATCAACAAATTTTGAAATTTATTGCATCGAAGACTGAAATTAAAATAAACAAATAAAAATTTAAAATTATAAAAATTATAAAAAAAATTTGAAAGTTTAACACGATAATTACTATCTCTCAGCTTTTCTAAAATTAATCCGATACTGCATTGTAGATACAACTATTAGCTTCCTTTATTTCAAGATGTGAAGCACAGTTTGGTGTGCCTACGTTGGTGGGGAACAAGTCGTGGCAGTAGGGATTGCAAATTAGGCTGAGGATGGAGCCGGCGGTGATCGGCTGGTAATATGGATGGAGTAGGTCGAAATAGAGGGAGTTAGATTGGCTGAGGGTGGGGCGAGCGGTGATCGGCAGGCAATATGGATGGAATAGGTCCAAATAGAGGGAGTTAGATTGGCTGAGGGTGGGGCGGGCGGTGATCGGCAGGCAATATGGATGGAATAGGTCGAAATAAAAGGGAGTTAGACTGCTACATTAATTGGATTCTTTTCCTTAGAACTCTCACGATTTCTGCTTGGACTCGCTCTGTGCCTTTATCGGATCGACTAAATTCTGCCACGGAGTAACTTTTCGATATAAGTATAAATGAACTGCCAGCATTACGAGATTTTTGGGAACGGGTTTACTGTTACCGAGAGTAGAATTACAGTATTACCCGTGCGCATCCCATTTGGCCATTGTATTACAAATAAATATGGAAAAGGGATTCTTTTTGAAATTTTACAAAAATAAGATTGCAAAAATTTCTTGGACTAATGAATAGGACTAATGAATATGCCATTTCATTTTTGTCTTTTCCTTCTTTTAGATTTCCTTGTCAGATATTTTAAGCGTCGATGGTAATTTCTAACTTATAAAAGTGAAACACTGATGAGAAAATGTTTGGTGGTTGAGAGCGCTGAAAAAGACAGATGTTGAATTTCCTAAAATGTCATATTTCATCGAATTTAGGATGATTTTCTTGCGTGCCAGTTGTGACAATCTATTATTTAAGTCCCATAGGGATAGAATGGCTCAGTGGGTTGTTGCTCAATTGGGAGCGCCGATGCTGAGGTTCGATTCCCCGCAGGAATAAATCTGTGCAAAAATCCGGGTAATGCTGGTGACTTACCTGTACTTCTATCGCTAAGGGACTCCCTGGCACATTGCCCAATGCGACAAGTCAGTAGAGCGAGTTTAACCGGTAATGGTGAGGACTCTTTAAAAAAAAATTTAAATCCCATATTTTATTTATCCATTATTGTTTTTGCGAGAAATTGGATTCTATCTTTTTTTCAGTGTCATTCAAGTGACGTTTGTTCCACTATTTACTTTCTGCATTTCTGTTTCGTATTTTTTCATTCAGTTAGAAAGTCAAGAGGGATGTCTTCTCGATTTGGGCCGCGAGCACTCGGCACCGATGGTACTGATTTTAGGCATCGACAGCGAATTGCTTTTCATTATCAATTTAGGTTTGTTTATTTTATAAAAAAATAATATTTTATTTTGTTTTATTTAATAGATGAACTAGCGATATAGTTGAAAAAGCAGTGTTTTTAAAAAAAATTAAATTTTACTAATATTCAAAAATGTTTTGCTTAAATCTTTGTTATAAAAATTTTAAAAATAATTTGATGTCAAATTTTGGAAAATATGGTATAATTTAGCGCTTTATTTATAAATTTTTGAGAAAATTAAATTCGTTTTATTTTCAGTGCACAGTATAAAACATATTTAAAGATAATCTTTTTTTTCCATTTCCTTGTGCTTATTGTCATGTGGTTAAAAGTTGGAGGTGAAATATTGGTTCACGACTTATCTCTGCAATGGTCGTATTATTCTTCTTTGGATTTGCCGAGTGCATATCCTTGGGAATATGTTTGGTCATTGTCATTCATTTCGATTATCTTAGGTTTGGCGTCTTTTCGGCGTAATAAGGTAATTTTATATATATCTACAGTTAATTATCTTTATCTTTTCTTTATTCATATTATCTTTTTTCATATATTCATCTAATTTTTATTCGTTCGTTTTTGTTCATTTTTTTCGTATACGGGAGCTTAATTTAACTCAGAAGTGTCAGTAGTGAAAATTGACAAATAATACATTCAAGCCCTTTAATGACAAATTAAAATCGAATTTTCATAAAATTTTCTTTACATTTTTTTAAAATTTAAGATATGATGCAAGATTAATTTGCTTAATATTTAAGATTAATTTGCTTCGGATGAGTTATTATAGCGAATTCGTCTTTGGAATCTTACCTTGTGCTGTCGGACTCGGCAGTTTATTACCTGAATTAATCGACTACTTAAGTGATATGGAAAATAGCCAAACACCAACTTTCAAAGGGAGTTTTCCAATGGTTATTATTTGGTATATATTTTTTATTGTTGTTCTGCAAATTCATATTTTTTCGATGTATTTTTCATACCATTTATTAGCCGCTTGGCAGCCACAAGTCAAAAAAGATTAGAAATTATAAGGTGCACTTTTCATTTATTAAAATGATATATAAAAGATATTTTAATTTACTAACTTTCTGATGTTTTTAATCTTTGAAAAAACCTTTTTTTTGTTTTTTATTGTATATTTATACATTTATTTATATATTTTTTATATATATTTGAATATATATTTATATATTTTGTTTCTATAATACTTGCAGTTAATAGATTTGTTAATTTGCTTCTTAGAAAAACAATAAGTAAGGTAATGAGCATACCAGGAATTGTATTGATAACAGTAAATAGTTATAATACAGTTAGTTATAATAGTTATAATTATACAAATAGTAAAAAAGTTCATTTAAACGGCAGTGAAATTGAAAATAAAGGAAAAAATTAACTATCTAAAATGAAAAGTGTCAAGGGACAAGGAAACAATTAATTTAACATATTCTAATTATTTAATGCATGGTCGCATCGAATTATTTCTTGAAAGTAAAATCTAGATGTAAATAGATCTAAGGCAATTTAGCGTTCTCTTTGCGCAGTGGAAGAAGGAATAGATTAAACTTAACCACGATTTGTGATCTCAGACATAGGTGAAATGCTCATTGGGCTATATGAATGTAGCTACAAGCCACTAAAGAGTGAGTAATGATCTTCACCATTCAGGAGTGGTAAAACTCTGGGAGAGGACGATCTACAGGCAAAAAATGCTGTTCAACTTATTTTACCTTTCCTTTTCTCAGGTGTAGAAGAATAAATCAATACCTAATGATTGAAAATCCTACCCCTGATTTCTCAAAGAGTGATTGGATGTATTGCGAGTGATTGGGTGTATATACTTTCGAGAAATTACAAATTTCGAATCGTTTTATTAGAACTGCTAAATTATATAATTAAAATTACAATTGGAAATCCTACTCTTGATTTCTAAAAGTGATTGGATGTATTGCGACTTTCGAGAAATTATAAACTAACTAGATGCCTCTGAAAGAATTTTTTATCCCATTCTGCTGATGGTACCGGTCGTCTTTGGGTAAAACGGTATATCATTATCATATAAATATTATCACATAGAAGATCAATTCAGATCCCGGATGTATTGACCAAATATTCGCGCAAGGAAAGATTTTAGAACATCGCTTCAGATATATTTGTTTTGCCTTTATCTTCGATTCAGTGGATAGAGTGGTACTCTGGAGGGTGATGGAATGCGCTGGTGAAGATCATTCGACTTCGACATACCTACCTTATTTATTCTAGTCGTTGATACAAATAATTATCAGTCCTTATCTTGCAGGCAATTGGTTTAGGCTAATTGCTTAAAGTTTTGACTTAAGTCTTAATATTTACAGCGGCCAAGATTTTTATTACTGAATATTTATAATATAAAAATAATATTTTTTAACAGGTTTTGTTCTTTAAATTTTCAAAAAATCAAAATTATTTTAAATCTAAGTGTGAGGTGAATGATGTGAGAATTTGGATTTAAGCGATTCAAAATTATTCTCGTAAAGTATTTTTACTTATCAGTGTTATAAGTTAGACATTATATCTTTTCAACAAACAAGAAATTTCTCTGAAAAACCAATTTTTTCGAAAAACAATAATGCAAATTTGTGGTGCAAGTTTAAAGATTTATTATTAGTAAATGGATACTTATTATTTGCATCTTGCATAGTTTGTTTCAGATAAGCTTTTCTAATATTCTGCCAGTGTACAACGTTCATTGACTGGTCTGTAGAGGTTATATTTGTTATCTTTCCCGCTGGCAGAATGCTAATTATGTCAACTAATTCTCCAATCTTATAATTTCGGTTAAAACCTTAAAAGTTAAACACAGTGGTGAGGCGAGATTGTTTCAGTAATTTTAAATATCATGGCAAATTGTAAGTCGATTGTCTATTGATTATTCTTCTAACAGTACTGTTGCACTGTTTATTTAGCTCCATTCAGTGCTAGAATGCGACATTTAGATGGTTTTGCGAGAGATGGAATTGTAGATTGGTCGTCGAATAATATGTCGCTATGAAATTTATGTTAACAGCAATTTCATGTTGGTGCTCTTTACGATTGTACTTCCTTCTTAGTCGTTTATATCATTTTCTTTTTTTCTTCTTATTTGTTATATTTTTAACAGATATATCGATTTGATTTAATTGATTTGATCGTTAAATTTTTTTGGAACGTTTTGCTGTGATAATAATCCATAATGTCATTCACGTTCTTCAATTTTGTTTGGCATTTCTTCTTTTCTCGCTTATTTTTTTTGTTATTTCTTTTTATACTTGTTGAATATGTTTTACTTGTCATAATAAATATTTCATTTTGCCTATTCATCGGTAAAATATTAAAGTTATAAAAAATAAATTAGATTTGACTTGGAAATTTTATCATAGAACCGAATCGTAATGCAACAAGTAGGGAAATTGGCAGTCGTCATTTTTAATTCGCGTCGATTAGTGACTCGCAGTGGGATTAGCGGTGAATCTGCTAGAGAGTCACTTGTGGATGGGAATTTAGCGGAGCACCATAGGGCTCTTTTAGGGGTAGATTCGCCGCTACCGTGGTGCATGGATGGTCATTTTTAAACTATGTATCTTTCAGTTTTTTAAAAAATTTTGGTATAGCGATTATATAGCGATTTTTTAAATGTAAAATTTTTTTGTGAGTCGTACTGCGAGGAAATTTCATAAACATCTGTTGTATACGTTATAATCAGTTGGTTTTTTATTTCCTTGGTTTTGTTTCTCGGTTCAATGGCCGCACCAATTATTTATGCACCAAATCATCGCTTTTTTCAACGTTTGCATAGCGATGGTACAAAGAAGGAGAAGAAAAGGTTCTTAAAATAGTTTCCGTTCGTCGTGTTTAAATGGATTTATTGTTGTAATAATTTATCAATAATTTTGTAGAATTTATGTAAAAGAAGAAATGTACTTACATCGTATAAATGAATAAAATTTCCTGGAGGGGTGGGAGAGGGGATTATTTTTATAGAAAAAAAGGCGAACGAGGATTATCAGCGGAAGAAAATAGAATGGCATTTTTTTGGTGAAATATGGAAAAAGAAATAAAATATTGAAAAAAAAGAATCGCTGCATACCCTATTATTACCCTTTTTTAAGCGCTTAACGCCACTCAAACCTTTTTATTATCTTTCAACACTCCTGGAACCTTATCATTATCTTCTTTCTCTTAACACTCCTCCTACTATTATTATCTCTCTTTTAGTACAGCAAAAACCGAGTTTTCTTCCAGCATCCCATGGAGAATTGCCTTTTAGCACATCTTATCCTCTCTCATTACTTGCTTTTCTCGTTAACTCCTCCACAATTCCTCTTCTTCGCTTCCTTTTAATACCCCTCAAATCTCGCTATTGTCTTTCTTCTCATCCCTTTCGCTTTCTTTTTCAGTTCAACGAGAAGTATTTTAGAAGAATACCGATTGCTTTTCAATCATATTGCATACTTAAGCACTCGAAATTCTATCGCTAAGAAATTTTTTGAAAGCCGAAAAATTACAGTTTTTTTTCGAATCGTTTTGTTCTCTTAAATCGATTTCATTTCCAACTCTACCTTTTTGTTTCAAGAAAATTCGAATTGTTTGGCTAAGGGAGAACGAAGGGATTGTGTGTTTGAAATCTACAGATTATTGGCGAAAACGAATCGTTTATTCTTTTTAGTGCTAATTTTTTCTTCGGTTCATCTGGTTCAGCAGTTCATCATTCTTTTCCATGCTTACACTCACCTTTGGCCTTTGGTCTGCTGAAGTAAGCCTGTAGGCTCCTTCTTGAAGCCTGTAGGCCTTCCTTGTATTAAAGACGTGGCTAGAGGAAAGAAAGCGGTGGTGCGAGGACCTGTGGCTCCTGCTATTGCGATATCGCAAGCATTGCTGATATTTTGTTACTTTGTTACATACATGTTTGTAGCTGAGAGATAGCCAAATTTCAGGTGCTGGAGGTAAAGATGCAGATTCTCCTCTTAGGACAAGGAGAAATTAAGAGGATCCAAGGAACTCGTGTGTGCTAATTTATAAGGGGTCAACTGATCTGCTAGAATTGCAATTTATAAGCTTAAATTTGGTAATTTAGTATAATTTAGCAATATCTATTTCATAGATTATTAGATTATAAATAATTAATAACAGAAAATCGAGGGAGTTAAAAATAAATGGACGGACCGTTATGCACAAATTAATACTTGGAAAGCCCGCGTTAATTTTAAGTTTGCGGTGACACCGACCGTACAGGCAAAATAAAGTTGGAAGCAAGTGTAACAAATTATGGAGTGGAGTAATTTAGTATTGACTGTCGGATCGCAAGACTGCATTACTGCTGGATCATCTCATCTCGTCTCATCTCACATTCAGCGATCAACGTAGCGTACCAAACTTTTTATTTGATTACTTCCATTTATTTATTTTTATAATTTTCATTTTTTTAAAATCTTTATAAAGATTTCCACAGATAAATTCACGTAACTTTTTCTTATTTATAGAAATTAGAAAAATGCCATGAAGGTACATCCCAAGTTATATTTTCATGTGCTTAAGACTTCTAAAAGTGAAGCAAACAAGCAGCGATGACCTTTGCGCTAACAATTGACCCCAATCGTCCGCATCAAATCAACAGCGAATCAAATAGAAGAGTAAATAAAAGTAATTGAACGAGACTGAAGGAGTTAAGTAAAAATCAACAGCGAAGACCTGTTGGTTTTGAAGAATTTTCACTTTTTTCTCGTCTCATTTTCAAAAATTTCGAATAATTTTTCGTTAAAATTTCGATTTAAATTTTTCGAAATTTCTTAGCAATTTAACAATTTCCGATTTCCCTATTATAAGAATTAAGTAAATTTTAAAAATTTTATCAAATTTTGAAAATAAAATTTCCAAATTAAACTTGAGAATTTTTAAAATAACGTTGCTTTTTGAGAAAAATTCCTTATCCATTAATATTCTAATAGCTTTTGGTGCAGAACGGCCAATCGGTATTCGCTAAGCCACCATAGACTTGATTAATTTCTTT